ATCTGCAATAACAACTTGGATAGGAAAATCTGAAAAATGACGCTAACCAATTTTTGTCGATGATTGTTCGTTGGTAATGAAGCAATCATCAATTGTGAGATTTACAGTGGACTATTTAACACTTGGAATCGTGGGTGCGTTACGTCGACTTCGGGAATGCCATTTATTTGGATATCTGCACATAACGACTACTCACAAGGAGCTGATGAACAGTCGGTTCTTGCATATTACATATTACATATTACATATTGGGGCGGTGGGGTTACCTACTGGTTAACCCGTTAAATTCCTCGTCACGCCGAAGGCCCGGGTTCAATTTCCCACATGGATACAATATGTGATAATACTGGAATATTGCTAAAAGCGGCGTAAAAACTCAGTCAGTCAGTCACTCAGACCTTTTCAATTTAAATTGGTTTATTTGTTGCTATCAAAATTATATATATTCAGGGACTAAGCGTTAGTCTAGTGTTCGCGTACAAGATAGCCATGGTATTCCTGCGGGTAGCACACACAGTGTGCCAGTTTAAGACCATTGGTTAATAAAGTTGTATGGGAGATTATTATATACAAATGAAATGGACGAGACATTTCAGAAAATGTACCAATTCGGTATGTATGCAATACTATTATGTATTTATATATGGTAATTGTACATTAAGCAGGATGTCATACTGGGCGTTTTTTAACTTGGGAACATATGTAATCTACCTCATACCTTTAGTGCAGCAAGTTCAATATTATTAAAAAAACACACATAAGTGAGTATCATCTGTAGGAGTTCCATACACCTGAAGCTGTGGTGGTTGTAGATCCCTTCCTCCACATCGTGCTGACCCCGCTGTGACGTCCCGGTAGTCAGGCCGTCACGTGATACGTAACGTCACCTGAATGACGTGATTGTGTAGGCTATACCACGTCAACTTTGGCTACACCGCGGTGACTATGCATAAAAGTGTACATTTAAAGAACAACGTCGTTAAATCTATTATTTGAGCTCGATCACATTAACCATGCCATCTTTCAAAGTCAACTTGAACGTTTTAAAGAAATAACGTTAATTAACGTCCATTATGACCTGTATACTATACTATTCCACTAAAACAACAGAACGAATAAACTTTGTAAGAATTTAGTTCAACCAACTTCTTACCGTGGAAGTTTAAATTGAATAGTATATTTAACGGCTGCGCGAAGTACGAGATCTGAAGTATCTTGCTGGATTGTTATGTCGCTAAGTGACTGTAACTATAGGGTGTACAGTAGTGGTGTTCCGATTGATTTAAATAATCGAAGATTGGTCGCAGTGACCAAACGACCAAGCAATCGATCACATTTTTCATAATCGAACATAAACGATTTTGGAACTACTGTTTTAGTCTTTGAAATACTTGACAATGGAACATATCGTTGAAGTTGTCAGGGCCTGAAAATGTGTTTAATTCTTAGAACACTCACTTCACTAACTGACTAACCATGACTGAATATTTCATGAAGACTCCGGGAAGTTTATGTTCATGATATATTAGTCATCACTTTAAAGTAGCAAGTTGCATCATGTTATACATATCTGCAATAACAACTTGGATAGGAAAATCTGAAAAATGACGCTAACCAATTTTTGTCGATGATTGTTCGTTGGTAATGAAGCAATCATCAATTGTGAGATTTACAGTGGACTATTTAACACTTGGAATCGTGGGTGCGTTACGTCGACTTCGGGAATGCCATTTATTTGGATATCTGCACATAACGACTACTCACAAGGAGCTGATGAACAGTCGGTTCTTGCATATTACATATTACATATTACATATTGGGGCGGTGGGGTTACCTACTGGTTAACCCGTTAAATTCCTCGTCACGCCGAAGGCCCGGGTTCAATTTCCCACATGGATACAATATGTGATAATACTGGAATATTGCTAAAAGCGGCGTAAAACCCAACTCACTCACTCACTTACTCACTCATATTACAATTGTAAACTTTGGCATCACATAATACATATGGTTAAATGAAAGAATCTGGTGTTCTTAACTCCCTTTGTGTAGTATATACAGCGTGACGTAAGTTAGAGACTAACTGACATCACCAGCAAGGCATGTAACCTTGATTACATAACGTCCAGGTGTTCACCATGCAGGGAGGCGATTTGGGGTCAGTTGCGGTGGTGGTAGTGGCTGAGGGAGGGGATGGTGGTATAGGGAGGGGGTCCTGTGTACACTTGCCGACGTATTTACATGTCATTGTGTCGTCATTGTCGTGCATGGCTACCTTTTTAAAACTTCGTGAACAGTGTCCCCATTATGTACTGAACATTAGCTGAACAAATTATGATTTAATAGAACCCGGGTATCTGCTGGCCATATGTCACTGATGACTCGCCTCCATTATATATAGAAGACATCCGGTGTAACTGCATCTCGGGGAAAACGCTCGTGTGCTAAACCACCCATGTACGTGTCTCGCTCGAATTTCTAAGGAAAAGACAAACAGTCTGTGAGACTGGCGAGTTGACAGAATGGCTGATTGGGCATACAACGTTTAGGGGGACACTCTGACTGTAGGTCGGGGGTGGAGGATATTGAAGGAGTTTCAACCATATCTGTTTTGACAGTGTATATTATAAGTGTTGACAAAAATCAGTGATTTTCACGATATATATTTTTTCTGTCGTGGCGATCAGAATGAAGGTCTCCATATCAAGCCGTTTGTCAGTATTGTCTATATCTTGGCGTGGACCTGTTGTTGGAGGTTCCAGCCTGTGTGAGTCAAGGGAATGTTTAAGTTGGAGTCATACAAGGTCCGGTTCAGTATAGCGTATCTATTTTAGACATAACTGCGCAACTTCTCGCGGTTATCTAATTAAATCATATGATGTATTATATTGGCCGTAGCCCATCCAAAGTGAAATGCACGCATAATCATGGCAGCTGTTTAATAATTAATTATGTGAAAACAGGAAATCGATCTGTAGAATGTCCAAACTGTATGAGAGCATTCGTAGAGTTAATTGTTCTCGTCGTCTTTATGTTCATTCGTTAAAGAACTCCCCCGCTGCGATGTCTCGTTAGAACAGTGTCCCGTATTGAACCTACTGTATAAGCTGGCGGTTGGGTAGCCTAGTGGTTAAAGATTTCGTTCGTCACGCCTAAGAACCGGGTTCGATTCCCCACATGGTTTCATTGTGTGAAGCCATTTCTGGTGAACCCGCCGTGATATTGCTGGAATATTGCTAAAAGCATCGTAAAACTAAACTCACTCACTCACTCACTCCATCATAAGCGCCGTATAACGAGAAACGAGGATCTTGGGGTGATACTGTCAATCACTTGTTCATCTGACAAAGAGTTGATACAATTCCAAAAGGCGCCCTGATGTACAGCGGTAACATCACTAACTGATTCGTAAAGTAACACCCACGGAAGGTTCATTTGTTTGATATTTAACCCTGTACATATACCTGTGGTCATTGTTTCGGCCCCGCATTTCGACCCCAGGTGACCCGGGACAACCTGAAATGGTCACGTCTTAACCCCACGTGGGTCACGTGACCAGTCTTCACTGACAAAGGAAATCTGCATCAGTGACACTGGTCATGTGAATATCTGGGTGGATCATTTCATGCTATCGCATCATGATAATAGAAACTATGTACATGAACTGATAATTGCTATATATAGATATGTTCCTTAGATTACAGGAGCACACACACGCGCGCGCGGTTATAAATATGTGTGATGGTAATAATACTCGGGCGCGTTACATGATCAAAACACTGACGTCACTCATGTGGTCTTTCCTATATACATGTATATTCCAATGATATATATATTTAGAGAGAGAGAATTTCACAAATACAGAGAGAGGGAGAAATTAAAACAACAACAATTAAAACATAATTGGCAATCTCAAGGGATAGGAACATGGTAAGATCGACAATGACAAGAAATCGAAAATATTGACCGATGAGCTGGTAAATCTGCTTGTATCACCGTTGCCCATGCCTCAATCGACACGTCGAAAATGCAATGTCATTACCGCAATGCAGTCACCTGCACCGAGGAAGTAGATCCACGCAGTACGCACATGTCTATTGCCGTGCATGACTCAGCCGATAGTCGGACGACCGTCACCTGATGTGGTGCCCGACCAGGTGGCTCCGCGTAATCACAGGTATACAGCTTTTATTCATCGAGAGAGAAAACATGTTGTCAAAGAGGGCGGGTTATTTATAACTTGTGAATTATCGAAACCTGGCTTCGTCAATCAGGAAGTACATGTGTCATATGTTACGTGATGATCCAAATTAATTCGGTTCAAGTAAATTAAGCAACATGTCATCTTCTCCTATTAATTATTTACAGAGTATTTTGACTTGTAAGATATTCAGATATGACATTGTATCTATAGATACATACTTCAGTAATCTACATCAGTCGTCAAAATTATTAAAAGTCCAAATTTCAGTTTCAAAATATGCCTTCTCAAAGTCAACGGTATTGAATAAATACGATTAAAAGATTTATATAACAACGCAAGACAAATAGGTCGATGCAAGCCTTGAAATCAATAAAGCCAACTCAAACCAGTGAACTAGGAAAGTGTAACGTGGTTACTATATTTAGAACATGTTGGTATATAGACAATATTAAACCTACTTATCGGCCAATGAGATAGAAGATATGTGCACCTAGAGGTCCCTCAACTTTGGCCCTGCATCTAATTTCGAGATCAACCAATCGTGTTCCGTATAAGCGTTGGCCCTTTTTCTACAGTCTGTTTCGAAATGTTCTCAATGTAATGATTGGTAAAGAGAAACCTTTTTTTATACGATATAAGGTAGAGCTGTAACTGAATGCTACTTTAACAAACACATGTTTAAAATCACTGGCTCCATATACTTTCTTCGCCCTAAAAGGAAGTTGTAGTTATTCCGAAGAGAAAGAGCTATGAATAAATATATGACCTTTGACCGTAGTCACATGATCAGCTGATCATCTCATTTCAATATGGAGGCTTTTGCCGGGCAGTCTGACAGATCAGACCATGCCATGGTAGTGTAGACCTAAATACGCAGATGTTTTATGTCCGGAAGTAGGAACATATTGCATGAATTAGACATTATGTAATCGCCTGATCCTGTTTCTTTGACTTCTGTGGACTGTGGTAAGTTATGAAAGCTGTATTTTATTAAGACGCCATGCGACATTTCGCGGAAATTATGTTGTCTGTCAAATGGAGACATGAATTACACGTTTACCGTTACGTTTGTATTTATGGTGTATGTTCATATTTATACTCAGTTCCAACACTTTTATGTTTCGATTGGTCCTTTTAATGTAAGGGTTCCAAGTAAAACGCTGTTATAATTTTCTTTCACGAACTGTACAGTACACAGACATAGATCTTATAATCAGCGAGGCAAATTCACTCGTGGTCAATCATCAGTGATCACGATATATGTATTCGTTCTATATACTGCTATTTGCTTTCATGATGTGACAGTGTTATTCCGAAAGGTAATTCATATGTCTGTAAAGGAGCTGATATATTTGGACGTTGTTTAATCTTTTCATGTGAAGGAATGAACAAAGAAAGTGCAAAGGTCACTCGTGTCTTCATTTCTTGACAGTGGTCATGTTTACGTATTGTGCCTTTGTGCCTTTGTGTTTCACTCTTCGGACCGTGGTCAGCAGAATCACTTATGTTTGCCTCAGTCACACAGTCTGATTACTTGGAAATCTCATTAATATATTTTTATATATACACCAATGGTCACAAGGCAATACTATTAGTAATTAAAAAAGCGTAATGATGACATTTGTATTTTGGTCAAGTTCTCATGACAGTAAACATACTTTTCTATACTACACTCCACATTTTAGGAGCTTTGTTATTCTTTGTATTTTTGTTATGTTCATGTCTACAGAATAAGACAATTCTTGTTAGTGAAAATATTAACAGATTTTTAACCACTTGTTGACTAATTGAAATGTTGACCTTAGGCTGGGCATATTTTGCATACTGTTATTTCATTATGTATAGATCTATTACACATTAAAGCTTTCAAAGGCCTACATTGTCTTCAATCTAAGTTGTTAACCATAATGCTGTAAATTGATAGATGTGACTTAGTTAACATTCTAGTTTGTGCTGGAGAACCCTTGAAGGTCTGGATTAGAATTGGTTTTCAGCAACCCATGCTTGTTGAAAGAAGCGACTTTCGCAGGATAGGGTGGTCAGACTTGCTGACTTCATTGACACGCCATTGTATCCCAATAGCATAGATCGTGCGTATGCTGTTGATCACTGGATTGTCTGGTCCAAACTCGATTATTTACAAACTGTCATCATTTAGCTTGAATATTGCTGAGTGCGGCGTTGAACAACATTTAAAATGCATAAATTTATTGTGCTGTGAGACTTCGACAATGTGCATGTGATATAAATGCTATTCATCTTTTCAGAGTGTGATAGGAACTTCAACATCTGTCCTGTGTGAATAAATCTCTACAGAATGAGTCTTGGTTTTGTTGGCCGGCTGTTCTCTGGGATTAGAGGATATTACAATGAAATCAATGGTGCTACACTCACTGGTGCAATTGATGTCCTAATAGTGGAGCAAGAGGATGGAACGTATTTGTCATCACCATTCCATGTTCGTTTTGGAAAGATGGGTGTTCTGCGGTCAAGAGAGAAAGTGGTAGGGAAATAAAAAGTTTTTTCAGGATACCTGTACTTACTGCTGCTGGGCACTGTTAATACAATGTTATGTCGATTCCTGAAAAGATCAGCATCATTTGTCATTATGAGTTTTCATTAGAGTTTATAGTAATAAATTCATATGTACTGGGCAGACTATCAGCCATTAAAATACACCTGGTTTTCTCAAGTTACAAATATTTAATTTGCTTATAGCAGTAGTATTTCCATCTATGTATCTGTAAAATTGTCTCTACATGATGAATACATTTGGACTGTTAAATGAACAATTAATATGGTTTCATGTATTAATGATAATAAAGTTAAGGCAATCTTTGAAACAGGTTGATATTGAGATCAATGGTGAAGTGGTTGACCTGCATATGAAACTTGGGGAGGCAGGAGAGGCATTCTTTGTCCAACAAGTTTGTGAGCAGTCAGAGGTAAGAGAAAACTAGATGTTTCAAGTTATGTGTTGTCATGTTTCTAACCAACATGTTCTGTGGTATTCACTTATTTGTAGAACATGATTATATTTTAATAAAATGAATATGACTTTTCTGCTTGTTATAATTACTGTGGTACTATGCTAATGATGTCTGAATAACATTGTTATGTATTGAAACTGTGATTTAAGACCATTACAGAGCAGAACCAGTTACGTTTTTTTCCACAGTTATGTTCATGTCAAACATTAAATGTATTCCAAGGAGACAGCATTTTCATTCTGTGACTATGTTACCACCCTCTTCTAGGAATTCCCTGAATATCTGGCAACATCACCGATTCCCTCCTCAATGGCGCTGATGATGGATGGTGTTCAGGGACTGAAGCTCCAGGCACAGCAGTCCGATGAGGCCAAGGTCACCGAGTGGCAGCAGAGGTCACTCCATGGAGCTATTCCTGAGAACACAGAGGACGAAACGTCCATCATTCACACAATATCATTGAAAGACCTCAAGAGTGATAGCTCACATGATGAGCTGTCATCTGCGGGCAAACAGAGGCGAAAAGTTTACACAAAGAAGAAGCAAAAGTCAGGAAAAGCCTCCCCAAGAGCTCATCTAACTGGATCTGATCAAGACGGAGTTTTCGAGATGGACACATCGGAGTCCTCTGATGATGAGCTCAAGAAGCTTTCTGTCATGTCGAAGAGTCTCAGTATGCCGTTACCCCAGTCAGCAGAGGACAAACCCCACATCAAGAGCTGGAGGAAGAGTTCAACTATTGAGGCATTTATGCATCCTTTGAGTGAGCCAGAAATGGACCCTGCAGATCCTAACAGGTAAGCTTATGTTTACACTATTTACAGGGTAAACTTGCACAAAACAATCTTGATGCCATTGTGATCATATTCCCATAACCCTCCTACTGTGATATAGACTCAGGAGAATCTATTGCAAAGATAGTCTTGCAAGTGGGACCTGTACCATAGAAAGTTAGTAAAAAGTACTGGCTCTCTTCTTGCTGAACAGTAAGTAGAACTTCTATTGATAGTTTGTTCGAGAGCCAAGTACTGACTTTTGATAATGTATCAGCACATATATGTTATAGTGTTCCTGTGATTCCAAGGCAAGGTCTCTAAAACTCAAACTACAAGTAAGAAGTTGTTAATGAGGACTGGGTTGGCAACAATCGGTGACCTGGTTGACTGCATGTCATAATGACCCACGTGCATGGATTGTTGTCATACCATCAACCACTGGTTTGTGTGGACCGGATTGATTGACTGTCATTCATGGTATTATTCCAGCCCACTTCCATCACGCTGCTCGAGCCCCAAGAGTGACACTGAGGTTGATATTCAGCGTGTAGAAGACTCACAGCGGTCACTGCTGATGGAGGATAGTGGGACATGGGAGTGGGGAGCCTTTCCTACACCCCCAACATCTGAACTGAATGTTCCAAAAACTGACAGTCAGGTTAAAGAGGAGGAGGGTGAGTTAACAGTCACCACTTTCCACTATTTTACTGCTCTCAAAATGGATTCAAAACTGGTTGAGTTTAAAAAAGAGATACCTTTGCTGATAAGTGTCATGTCATAGTGACTTTGGTATTGATGTTAAATTGTGCAAACATTCTAAAATTCCAAAGGAGGTCACCATATTTTTGTGGAAATTAGAGGTTGGTCAGAATTCAGTCTTGTCACTGCCATGTATATACAGAAAGGCAAGCCATTTTTCTTGACAGTCAGTGTCGAAAGGAAGTTTTAATGTTGAAGATCTTCATTAAGTTTGGAATAGTAACCGGATTATGTTCTGACACAGTCATGAAACATGAATTTTGAAACCATTATGGTAAACAAAATTAGCAGTTGCAAATAACTGCCAAAAGAATATGAAACCCATGATAATTGTAACTATAAGCAGTAGTTTTATATTATGTTTTGTTACCATGGTTACAGCCTCTAAGCAGCAGGGTGGTGGTCTGTTCAAGTTATGGAAGAAGACGCCAGACAAGGACATAAAAAAAGCGACAAAAGAGATCTACCTGGATGAACTGACTCTAGAAGACCCAGAGATGGCCAAAATATACCTGGGTACACCTAAAGGGTAGGTACTCCTGATGGGAAAATCCTATTGGTCAGTGGTGGCACCATATAGGAGACTGGACAGTTGGTAGTTGCATGTTCTGGAGAGACATGATGAGGTGCAGTGGACCAAACAATTATGATAGTCTGTGTTGCTTTGCTTCTTTTGTTTGCTAAACACAGGTTTAAGTTTCCCTGCATAACTGTTGTTTGTTTGGACATATAAAGTTAGCCCTGGTGACTTGGTTCCAGGTTCCAGTCAATCAAGGAGAAAGAAGATGACACAGAATCTGGCCGCGGACCTTCACTGCCCCAGTCTCCACATTCTGTAGAGGGAGCCATTGGTGGACCATCGGTTAGCTTCCTTCAGTCCGAGGTTCGCCATCTTGGTCGAGTGTCACTGTCGCTCTGTGGTGGCCTTAGTGACCCCGATGGTGTCAACCTTGACAAGTTCATGCAGAAGGTTGTGACCTTTGATGACCTCAGTGAGAACCCAAATATGATCGCCAACCCTGACTTGGTGGTCAAAGTGGACGATGCGTATGTATCATTCAGCGATGATTTGAGTTTCTGGTTAATGGAATATTAAGTCATGGTTCCCTTAAAGGTCACATGCAACGTAAAACACAACTTTGCAGATTCTGATACCTTTCGGTATGGACTTACCGAAACAAATCATCAAAATGCAAATTCAACTTATGAAGTTGAAAAATAACGCGATGAAAAAAAACGTGCGAAATTGGAGTTCAAACGATTCACTAATTTTCCCCCAGCACTTGGGGGAATTCAAGTGGTTTCAAAAGCTGGGCTGCGCTCATAGCACATGCGCAGTGAAATAGGTTCGCGCAGCTTGGAAGCGGGTTGTTCGGTGAAGGCTTTGGTGTGAGCTATTTTTCTAATGTTTTGTTGATATTTCACAGGCGCGAGCTTTTTATATGTTATGACAGTAGATTACCGATTTAACTGTTTATATAATTTCATTTGTCTATTTCACCACACATTCTTCTTACCGAGTCACTTTCTCAGTTCGATACTTAAAAGCAATGTCATTATTTAGCTTTGACAGAATTTCTAACTGTGATATAGATATGTCGTTGTCACAGTCAAAACTCAATGTCTGTTTTGTTGACACCTATGTGTCTGCCTGCCTGTCTGCTAATGACAATATTCAATACACAACTTCGATCACTGACCACATGCAATTTGAACCTATCAGGCTATACACCATAAACAAAACGCATTGATTTATGGCCCGAGTTCGGTCGCTGTCACATTATGTAATTACACAGACAGGCAGGTGTGATTCTTGTACACATGACATGTTATGATGTCTGTTGACTGCAAAATGTTATACACAAAAAATGAGCATGTATTTACAAAACGCAACATCTCTATATATACACACACAAGAGGGCATCTGCAAATGAACCAGCCGTTACACTTAAGTGCACACCCACCCGCTCTGACTTGGTTCGGTATCGCGGCGACTCGTTTCTTGTAAAGTAAACCCAAGTACAAAATATTGCACTTTTGATTTGCGATTGTACGCTTATAATTTTGTTTATATGTTTTTTCATAATCAGCAATGTATATTATATGTCATGAATAAGTGATAATTCTGTTTTAATTATGTTTGATTTTTTGGTTGCATGTGACCTTTAAGCTCAGTCAATACACAGTAAAAGTTGTTTCCTCTCAAACAAATTGTGTGCTGATTTCATATAAAGGCTTACTTAAGAGCTTTTTTTGTTTGTAGGCTTTCTTGGCATTACTGTGAAATATCAAAGATAATCATTAACAGAACATTTCTACATGCCCTCCCTGTTGATGTTACCATAGTGACTCTGTATATTTCCAGATATTTCAACTGGGCAACCGCCTCGCCAATGATTTTATCACAGATGGTCTTCCGACAAGATCTACCAGAGGTACTTACTTCCATTGCCTGCTTCAGCTCACTATTAATAACTACAATTGTTTATCATTTTTATGGACCGCCTCCGTGGTGTAGTGGTTAGAGCGTCCGCCCGGAGAGCGGAAGGTCGCGGGTTCGATCCCCGACCATTATACCAAAAGACGTTAAAATATGGTACTTGTTGGTCCCTGCCTGGCGCTCGGCATTAATTGGTACAACAAGGACTGGTCGGCTCTATAATGTGTCTGAGTGGGGTATTCATGCTTCTCTGCGGCATGGTGTCTCAGTGGGCTAGCACTATAAAACCAGTTAAGTCTGGGCTAGTACAAGCAGCCGCACATCCACATACACACGCATGCACGTCGTCATATGAGCGAAATATTCTCAAGCACAACGATAAACCTAATTCACCTCACCTATCATTTTTATGGGGACAGTGGGGTAGCCTAATGGTTAAAGCGTCCTCTCGTCACACTGAAAGCCCAGGTTCTATTCCCCACATGGGTACAATGTGTGAAGCCCATTTCTGGTGTCCCCCACCATGATATTGCTGGAATATTGCTAAAAGCTGTATAAAACCATACTCACTCACTCACTCACTCACTATCATTTTTATGTGACATGAGAAGAGTGGTTAATATGAATTGATGGTTTACATGAAAGAAAATATAGTGAATGGATGTTTTTAACATGATCAAACTCATCAAAGACCTGTTTACCAGAATACCATGTGTATGATAATGTGTAAGTAGTTGTTTATGAAGTATTATCTTGTTTCAGAGTACGAGTCAAACACTGATCAAAGAGCACATGCCAAAGAAGGAGAAGAAGAAGGGTTATTCCTGGTTCTCATGGCGACGTGGTGATAGTGCTGTACCCCCCTCGTCTGCTTCCAGTGCTTCAGAGCTCAACATAGACACATCCTCCAACAAGTCTGTGAGTACTCTCTGTACATCTGCATACGTCTGCTAACATGCTGAAGCTGCCTAGAGGCCAAACAATGTCAGGTTGACATCAGGTCAATTTGTCTTCAAATAATCTTTCTGGTTTTTAGGCAGGCTGAAAGATACTTTTGAAATAAATAGTTTCATTCAAGCACAGCATGTTTTATTTCAACCTTTGTGTAATTCAGGGCTCGATTTAAGAGATGTTAACTTACTTGCACTGGGTGCAACCTAAGATAAAAACCTACTTGCACCAGCCCAATTCCAGTTGCACTGCTTTTATTGGAATATGTAATGAAAGAAATATGCTATGAATTATTTAGATGTTTTATTCAGAGGTTTACCCACTCAAAATTGACTTGCACCTGGTGCAAGTTAGACTAATAACAAGGCTGCACTTTGTAATATTAGGTTGCACCAGTGCAAGTATCAAAGCACTAAATCGAGCCCTGTAATTGTATGGTGATCTCATCCATATATCTTACAAATGATGTAGTGATATTATACTGATATTGCCTGTGTGTGACTCTTGAAGGAAAGAAATGTTCTTGTACAGATACCTCAGTGAAAATCGCTGTTGCCATGGTTACAGTTCCTGAAAGTTTACAACCAGATAGCTTCTGTTTTAAACACTGCTTTCTATATCACAATGTCAGGCTGTTGGCTGTGACTGTGAGGTGCCAGTTCCCTGAATGTAGTTTGTATATTTTGTCAGAACCTGAGTGATGTTGGCAGTCCCCCTACAAGTCCCCCTCCCAGTGTAACAAGCACTCCACGCAAGGTTAAGAAGGACAGCAATGCTGAAGGGTAGGTTCACAGAACTGTCTTATCTTTGTAACACCCACAGAATATTGCCATGTTTCCCTGGAAATGTTTTCCATTTCTTGGCAATATGGTTTCCTGGGCATTATGAAAGGTACATTCCTGAGACTGACCCATCATATTCTGACTGTATTAGTGATGTTCACTTACACCCTCAGTAGGGGCGATGGGGTAGTCTAGTGGTTAAAGCGTTGGCTCATCACGCCGAAGACCCGGGTTCGAATCCCCACATGGGTACAGTGAGTGAAGCCCATTGCTGGAATATTGCTAAAAGCAGCGTAAAACCAAACTCAGTCAGTGAGTACACCCTCAGTAGAACCTGAAGCTGAATTGATTTAGGCAGATAATGACTATTATGATCAACTCTCTGACTTCAGTCTAGAAGAGCACCACACCTCCAGTGAACCAGACACCGACCACTCAGAGAAGGACAGCATTGGCAGTCCAAAGACTAGTACTGTGGAACCCAGCATTGCCAAACCTAGTGTTGTTGAAACTAGTAGTCCCAAGAGTCTGACCCCGGGGAGCCCTCGGTCAGGGAGCGTCAGTCCTAGCTCCCGGGCCAGCAGTGTCAAGAGTGACCACAGTGGTCACAGTGTTAAGAGTGACAGTGCTTTTAGCATGAGTGCCAAGAGTGATGTGATAGCCAGTGTTAGTGCCAAGATAGAGGAACAAACTGCCAAGAATGAAGCCAAATCTGATGATGAGGAATCTTTCAGGCCTGATAAATTTAAGAAGACACTCAGGCTTTCATCAGAACAGATTGTAAGTACATGTACTTGTTTTATACTGACATGGTTCATTGTGTTTGAAGATTTGTAATGATGATAATTTTATTATAACCTTTGACTTGAGTGTAGTGACGTAGTAGGTGTCTCTACAGTTAAGACAATAGAGTTGCTTCCCTTGCTGATCATGGCTTAGATCCTGGATTCTGCCTGATCCTAATCCTTGATCTCAACACCATATTCATGCAACTGTGCAGACTTGCATCCCTAAAGCATGAAGGAATCCTTTGATCATGAGCTCTAAAGATTGTCTTTAAAAACATTCTTTGTTTGTCAGAACCATATCCATCCTCATTGGTTTCACCATAATGGTAAACGTCTGAGACATGTGTCACTGCTAGCTTTCCATCCACATATAGATAACACACCCAGATATGCCTGAAAAATCCTGTTCAGCACAGGGTTGAATATAACTTGATCACTCCAAGATTTGAATCTAACCATCTCTTTGTCACTTCAGAGCAAGCTGAAATTAAAGGAGGGTCAGAATGAAATATCCTTCTCCGTGACAACACAGTACCAAGGCACAACACGCTGTTCATCTCACATCTACCTGTGGAAATACAGTGACCACATTGTGGTGTCCGATATCGATGGAACTATCACAAAGTAAGATCAACTGGTGACACAACTACAAGTATTGCTGTAGTATCTCATCTGCGAGTTGCAGACATAACTTGTGGAATGGTCTACTATCACTTGTATATAACAATAGTGCAGTTTGTGGTATTCAGCAAAGTGTTGGAGACAATATATTCAATCAGTGATGGGCCAAATGTTGTTAGACCTCAGCCAGTGTTATTAAAGTCTTGTCAATCATAGGGGCGCTGGGTTAAAGCCTAGTGGTTAAAACGTTTGCTTGCCATGCCGAAAATCTGGCTTCGATTCCCCACATAAGTATAATGTGTAAACATTTCTGGTGTCCCCGTCAGTGATGTAGCTGGAATATTGCTAAAAGCGGCGTAAAACAGCAACTCAGTCAGTATTATGTGTAAAACCCATTTTCGGTGTCCACTGCCGTGATATTGCTGGAATATTGCTAAAAGCTGCGTAAAACTGTACTCACTCCCTCACTTGTCAATCCTAATTGTTCCAAAGGTCTTGTCACACCCTGACAGTCATTGTGCCATCATCTTCTCCCATACATGTAGTTTCTGTTGCATGAGAGACGTTTAGATCACACATGGTTTGCTTGATTACAGGTCTGATGTCCTGGGTCAGATACTGCCCATTTTAGGTCGAGACTGGTCACAGTCTGGAGTAGCATCGCTCTTCACAAGGATACAGAAGAATGGCTACAAGTTGCTGTACCTCTCTGCTCGAGCTATAGGCCAGTCCCGTATCACCAAGGAACTGCTGAGAGGCATTAAGCAAGGGGAGCTGGTTCTTCCTGAAGGGCCGCTGCTGCTCAACCCAACGTCTCTCATCAGTGCTTTCCATAGGTCAGTATGTTTTGGCAACCTGTTAGAATTTTTCGTCTGGAAAATCTTTCTCTTAGAATTGTGGATTAACAACATCCACTGTGCACCTTTTAATTGAGAACACAAAATTTGTGAAAAATTTTGGTTCCAAGGTTTGTTTGTTAATGTTGCAGTCTGTAAAATGGTGGTGGTCATGTTAATGTTAACTACAGAATCAAACCTCCAGGTTATGGTGATGTGTTGAGTCTGACCTCCCAAAGTCATTGAGTCTGACTTCCCAGAGTCATTGAGTCTGACTTCCCAAAGTCATTGAGTCTGACTTCCCAAAGTCATTGAGTCTGACTTCCCAAAGTCATTGAGTCTGACTTCCCAAAGTCATTGAGTCTGACTTCCCAAAGTCATTGAGTCTGACTTCCCAAAGTCATTGAGTCTGACTTCCCAAAGTCATTGAGTCTGACCTCCCAAAGTCATTGAGTCTGACTTCCCAAAGCCATTGAGTCTGACCTCCCAAAGGTTTTGGTTGTTTCTAGTAGCAGGCCCCATATCAGGTGTACCCTGTCGTGATGATGCAGGAATATTACTAAAACTAGTAAAAGCGGCGTAAACCAAACTCACTCACTCACTGTAGTGGCAGGCATAGGTAATCACAGTACCATAAAGGAACATGATTCTGAATGCCTCATGTACCTGCTCTACCAATGACAGATATGACTACAATGAGAACTGGTTTGTGTGCATATGTGGTATGACAGTTTGTCATTGTAACCTATTAACTAGATGTCATGCTATCGCCCACATGTTATGACACATGTCACTGCAATGATAATTTAGATCATTGCTGGGTAAGACTACAGAATACTGGATACCTTCCGCCATCTTTGAAAGCATGCAAATTTACTTAGGGTTAGGGTAAGGTTAGGGTAAAGTTTAGGGTTAGCATAAGGTTTAGGGCTAGGGTTTGGGTTAGGGTAAAGTTTAGGGCTAGGGTTAGGGTTAGGGTGACATGACAGTAAACAATAATGCTGGTAGGTATCCGGTATTCTGTAGGTGTATCCATTGCTGACAACAACACCAATCATATACACACACATACTTATACTTATACTACTTATAATACTGTCAATAGTCATTGCTTGTGTGAGAAGGGATAGTTAAGCCAAGTATTTTCTTGTTTGTTGTAGGGAGGTTATCACGAAAAAGCCTGAAGAGTTCAAGATCAGCTGTTTGAAGGATATTAATGCCCTGTTCACTCGAAGCCCGTTCTATGCAGGATTTGGCAACAAGATTAATGTAAGTTGAAATATTTTTATATAATTTTTTAATATAAATCTGACATCATATTTGAGATTCCCCTGCTATATAATGCAGATCCCTTGAGTTGAAAATGTTTTTTCATTTTTGTTTTTTTACAATGCTTGTTGTGTCAACAGGATTTCTTTTTCTTTTAGGATGTTTGGGCATACAGAGCTCTCAACATCCCCAATTTTCGTATCTTTACAATCAACCATCGTGGAGAGCTGCGTCATGAGCTGTCAAACACGTTCCAGTCATCGTAAGTTGTCATTCTTATGACTATGTAGAACAGGACCGCCTCTGTGGTCTGTTTAAATGAGTCTACACAATGCTTATATTCTGTTAAGAAATTGACACTTGAAAGATAGTTTTGGGGATCACAGAACCATGGTAATTTCACTTTAGTTAGTTGGTTCTATTGTTTCAGTTACACCCGAATGAGTGACGTCGTAGACCACTTCTTCCCCCCGGTGGAAAAGTCTCAGGCATGTCTGGAAGAATTCAGTTCTGTGAGTTTCTGGAGGGAACCACTGCCTCCCATTGATCTTGAACTGGTTGATGAAACAAAAGTAGGCAAAGGCGATGGTCGAAAAGTGGAAGCAAAGAAGGAAATCAAGAGATGACCACTAGGGACAGCCCCACTACCCAGAATGGGCTCCATGGATCGGGTTGATAGTAAGACTCGACGGTCAGTGTGGACGTTACCACTGCCTTTTATGTCCTAGTGTAGTTCATCATCATTACTTTTGTCTCTTGGACATTGTGTAGCCAGTGGATGCTGGTCATCCTTTGACCTAAAATGAACCATCAGTTTTGGTCAGCAAAATGGTGACAATGATCCCAAGTGTCTCTTCTGATGAAACAAGAACATGAAGGTGACAGACGCCCCAGGAAGCTCATCAAGGAGAGGCCGAGGATGAGTCTCATCTCCTGTCTAGCTTGAGATTGTACAAACCTCATTGGACTTGTCATACCAGTCCAGCTGAACAAATAGAAGATAACATTGTACAGCCAACCCACATCCTGATCACCTTCGATGCAAGTCAAGAAAGCCAGGTCACTGAACACTTCCAATCCCTGGGCTGTCATTTTATTGACATCCTAATTGTGTTCCTTCACCAGTTCTAGTCCGTGGTCAAGCATTTAATTGTATACTAATCAAAGTATCTGGTCCAGATTGTTAGTATAGTTTTACATAATGATGTCACTGCTTGATGTAGCATTGCACACGGTCTATGCAAAGGTGCACTTCAACGGTTGATGGAAACACACTAGACAATCAATCTTCCGGGATGTTAGAGACACATGTTAGAGATATGTTGTGAGTGATAATAGCATTACCTATAGCTGTATATACATATTCCCACACCAGTGATACAACGTTTACCCTGTGATACAAAACGTGCCAGGCTGTGACAAGCTGTCTCTTCATCTTTCAAGCATGATGAGAATGCCATCTGATCTGTATTGTTTTCTTATGCTAACACACCTAAATGATTTACTCATATCATCTTGTCAGATATGCTATGATTACCCAGATGTGGGATTCCACCACAAACATTGTTTTTAAAATTTACTAATCTAGAGTTACTTCCCTTCATGTGAAGAAGTAGCCATAACATACATGAAGCATTCCCATTTGACTGAAGGAGAGTTATCTCCCTTTGCCAAATATATTTTCCGAATGCCCTTGAGACGAACTAACAGCTGACCAATGTCATTAACAATGCAACCCTGACCAAAACAAAGTCTCCAAAGATGACCATCATACCTCATTAGAGTAATGGTTACCATGGTTACTAACATGTTACAAAATGAGTGTTGAAGCTGAGAGGCAATTGAATGATACAACCAAATGATGTATTAATTACTATATGTACATTGTAAACTTTGTAAGTCTTTAAGCCCATACAAACAAAGTATGTTCAGAAAATGTAGCAGCATAATGTCTGCCGTGAAACCATTCTCTGTTTCTATGTTTCTTCATATTCAAATCATGATATTAGCTGTCATAGCCATGTACTTAGTTCAATATATAATCATTGTTCCCATGTCAAAGCAAAGAGTCGCTTAATGTTTGAACATTATGTGGTCGATGCACCCAGAGTGACCAGACCGAGAAGTTGTGATGTAATTGCACTATTGGTGTGATGCGGCCAAAGACTGTTTTTTCAGTAACATGTCGATTGTGATACTCCATGTGACTGCTCAATGTCTGTCTTAAATGGCGCGTGGATGTTTCAGTATGAAGCACCTCCCTTGAAAATAGATCTCCCTCAGCAGTCTGAGCATGTTGAGGAAGTAAGAGTTATCCCCCCTGCAATCAGCATTGTGCTATCTGTGATTGGTGTTTCATCTCATTGCTCATGCACACGACAGCATTTCATCATAGTAGACGTTATTTTTATATCCTTGAAGTATTACAGTTGTATATGTTCATCTAACCATAGATGTAATAGATGAAGCTCCTGAGTGTAGGGATTGCCCTGTGTGGTCACTGTGGTGATGTTTCACAGCCTGCATGACTGTATCCCCAGTTGATGTGACGATATAGCAAGTGTGGTTAGCTGTATGAGGATGCTACCTGTGGGGTGATGAGAAGGATAATAAATGTCATGCTATGGTTACTTCATCCTTCTCTCATCTCTTAAGTGTTTGAAATAACCACTTTATGTGTAATATGAATGCAAGATTTACTCGATATTTGGTTAACATGCATCTAATTATCATTCATCTAATGGTAGCACTCGTCATGAATAGCTGCAAAAATGCTGATGCGGCATAAACCAATATTCACAATGCACTCTAATGGCAACTGAATAGAAGTGATCTGTAGTGAGTATATGCTGATGCTGTTGCTACAATGTCTTGCCATTCTTGTCTCCCGAAGTGATACTATGTCTGATTCATCTGTCTCAAGTTGCTGGGACTTGTGTGTGTTTACATAATTCACGCAAAGCACAGTATTTATTGTTCATCCTATTTGTGACTTGCAAGGAAAGCATGCATACATCAGTGTGTGAATCATTGAAGTTTCATTATTTTGTCCACATTATGATTTGTTCCTCATTGATAGGTAATTCTTGACATCAGTGACCTACCATCAGTGTAGTTGATTGTACACTCAGTGAGAAGCAGCTGATCTCATTTGTTAACGTGGTGGTAACCTGGTGATACTTCATTTTGTCCATGTGTAGTCCCATCTTTCATTGAGACACCATGACACCACGTCATCCTGTATAGAATTACCATCCATCACTTGATTAATCACGTTTTCTTTCTACACAAACTTGCATTTCTCCTGTGGTAGAAATTTACAGTATGTTCACTTTTCTTGTAATCCAGCTGAGACAAACTCAGTATTTTTAGCAAGAGTGTTTTTCTGACCGGATGGTTTTGTTTTCCTTTGTCTATACGTATTCACCGCTAACTGTAAATAGTGTGCTTCTAGTGCTATGTTATAACTGTGAAGGGTTTCTTAGTATGTTTGCCTTTGTAGAAATATATGCATACATATAGTGAAACCTTGTTAATCTGGATGACAACGCTAAAGTGGAATCATCTGGATTAAAGCTCCACATCATCAAGTGATGTATCAGAGCTGTAAATATATAGATTTTACCCAATCAAATCATCTGGAAGGCGAGGTTACCTGACCAACAAGGTTTCACTATAATCTTATCTGTACATATCATGAAAGTATAGATACACTATCATCTTCATAATACCTACACCTCTGTATACTGGACAGGAACCCAGGGAGTAGATGGGCTGATTCAGTGCATTTAACTGAAAAATATATTTTACATGTTCTCAAATTTGACTTGGGCATTCCTTGATTGTATTTATCTTCTGTATTTCCCAAAGGATTAGATACTTTCAGAACAGCTGATCAGTCACAATGGCGCTGTGATGTGTGGTTTGCCTGTCCTGTTTGTATAGGTGTAGGGACATTAGCAGGAACGGAGACTGAAGCCTGATAATTATCACAGTATTACTTTTCAAGTAATATTATAAAACAAAATTTTGAAATAGTGAAAACTAATAATTGAACTCACTATCCTTTCATAAGGACATGCAAGATATATTTTTATCAAAATTATTAATCATAAACATGCTAAATTTGATAAAATTTATAAAAAAGGTAAAATTAAGAAATGTTTCTAAATATCTCTTTGCTTATATTTTATTAAGGCATCACTTTTGGAAAATTGCTGCTTGCTTCTTTGTATATTATCACCCAAAATTCAAAAGAAGAGATATCAGTGTGTTCTGAAAGGGAATTCTGCATGACAGTTTAGTAAGTTTGCAAGTATGTGGAATAGCTTGATCATTTTAATTTAGGTCATGGGGTAATCACATTCCTAGGCTAGTGTATCTGGCTTGTGCAACCCGTGTTGGGTGTGCACTGCTGCACTCTTGGCATGCTGTGGACTGTGCATAATGTCCCTAGTTCTAGGGGATGCTGATTGCCTGTGTTCTCCTCTATCAACATCTCATCATGTGTATATGTGATCATCCATAAATGTGTTATTGACTATTTTGTTATTAAGTGCGACTAGAATTATCTGGTTATGATACTGTTATTTTGTTTCAGCTGATGGTGTATGTTTTATGTACCCATATGAATAAATGAACTATTATGAAGTAGTGGTTCTGTTGTGACAACGTTGAATGAATTGGGCAAGTTTTGATATTTGACCTACCGGTGGTCTGACTTACGAATCAGAGCCTTCCTGCACTGAACGATCTTAGCAACAATTATTGTAAATACTTAAGTATCCTAGTGTGTCCTCTGTCTGAGGACCCTTTAAAACAATCAGCATTTAAGGGACCAATCATAATTATTGGTTGGGGGGTTGGTGATGATGTTTTTAACGGAGGGGGGCAACCATTTTGTTCTGGGGTGGGGGTGTTCAGCAATTTTGAACACACGTACTAGGGGGTGGGTCAGCAATTTTGTACATAAAAATATGTTTAAAAGTTATGCTTAGAATTTATGGGAGGGGAGGGGGGTCATTGATTTTGTACATGATATGCAGGGGGGGTCACTTATATTGTACATAAAATTGGAGGGGGGGTCTGTCATTCACATTGTACATGCTTCTCCATAAAAATCATCATCACCCCCCCTTAGCCATAAATAATGAACAGTCCCTAAGCAAAAGTGGATTTCCGCATGTAATGTGCAATCTCTATGGTGTACAACACTCCAGTGTGTCAATGTCAGGTCACTGAACCGCCATGAGCACTGTACTGAACAATGAGTACAAGACCCTGTGTTCAGAACAATATGTCAGTGTGATGGAATTACTGCAATGTTGTAACAGATGCCATTGATGGTACACTTCAACTTTCCAAAGGTGATGCGATGTGTGTTTGATGTAAGATATCCACCTTACACCCAAACTCTTAACAATCATACCGGTTCACGATCTGCAAGTGAATAAGACTTTGGTATGGCAGATGTAAGGTTGATTGCGAGTGTCTTAGATCATCTGAGGTTGCCCTAGGCATAACTTTATGGTCGGAGACACCGTGTCAAATCAGTTTAACTGGCAGGCCTGTATATATTTTAGTCTGGTCCAGGTAAACCAAAGGTTGACTGCATGAGCAACCACCGGGAGACCCATCAGTCAGAGAGAATCCATATGTTAAACTTATTTAAGCATGGGATATTGGGGATATATTCTGACATTAGAATCCTCCCCGAAGGAATGATCTATTTCAACAAAATTTTGTCGTCATTATGTATATACAGTTCATACCAAAAGTTGACCATAAACCCACAGGCCCTCGTGTCTTTGCGAGGATTAAAGATTTTATAAAATACATACAAAAAATTGAGATGACCCCTGACTCGAAATGCATCATAGTACAATACATCATGACAAGGCCGGACACTTCTGTGCACCCTACCTGACTGTTTTGCCGATCGCTACGCTACCATTGCATACAATCGATTAAAATTTAATGTAGACATAATCATGGATGATTGGCCTAACGAGCACCACTCATGACACCTACCAATTCTTTATTGTTATTTCTGCAAGTCGATTGAAACCCGATTTTGACTCAACTATAGTGTAGTGTAGAGAAAGGGCAGGAATTTTTCTGCTCTTCTTTCAATATGGATGATAGAGATCAATAGTCATGAACTAAATATTAATTATCAATAAATATCAGAGGAATGACTGTGTGCAAACATGCAAAAAATGTTAACAACAAAATCAAAACATTTGGGAGCAGTAAATTATTTTTGAATAGAATACAAACAAAACCAGTGTTTGGAACATGATTTGAAACAGCCCATGAATACAGATGGGTTTTTTGAGCTGTGTGTGAAAACAAAAACTTAATTCATAGCAAGTTTATGCAAGATATTATTGATGACACAATTTTCATATGAAATAAAGAGTCATTCTGACTATCAATCCTTTCCGCCAACACACTGGATGGTCTGTTTTATGCTTACATTGTATCCTCACAACAGGCTCTCTGAACAAACATTTGCAAACTGAACAAGTGACTTGGTTTAGTGCCACTGTTGAACTTTATTCCAGGTATGTAACAAACCTAGTAACTTCATCAGTGTTGTTCGAACCCATGATCAGTTTCTGGTGTGTCCAAGGGCCAACTGTGATGATTGGGACGCCCGTGCCACAACAAAGTATTTGAAAGTATCAAATGAAAATAATTGGGAAAGTCACAATCACAGATGCTTACTTTCACTGTAATACAGTTGACAAAATCAGAAGGTTGTTACTGTGATTTGAAACCCTACTTATCATAGCATGTCATGGTAGAATGAAGTTCTGAGCCAAACACAAAGCAACACTAATTAGATAAATATATACAAATTTTATTTACAAATGAAAGCACAGTCATTCTGTTTTTACAGTAGTTGTACAACATGTTGGTAATATATATTATGACCTATGACTGCCCATGTACACATACAAAATATTCACATTGCACAAAGTACTGATAGTGACTATATTACAATCAACTGAAAATATCAGGATATATGGTCTGCAATCATGCACCAGACATATCATTATCTCACTGTTACACTGGTTCAAACGCTATCATATTTAGCACAGAGCTGAAAATGGCATTTACAGCTTAATGATAACACAGTCTGGCTTGTATTTATCAAGTCTAGCAAATTCTGCATTCAACAAAAAACAATGTATGCGGGGCGGATCCAGAATTTCGGAGAATGGGGGTGCACATAAATCAGGAGGTCCAAAGGTTAGGGGGAAATGCTCCTCAGGGAAATTATGGGGGGGGAGGAAAGAGGGAGAGAGAGAGAGTAACTCTGCATTAAACCATAATAGTAGTGCTCGCTGATAACTGGTCACAGTATGAGTGTGTGAAGTGGAGTGAAACATCAGCAATATTCCAGCTGAACTGGCTACCCATGAATAATCAACACTGGACCCGACGAACTGTATTAAAGCTGATACACATATCCAGTCCATGTTTGCTACTAGTACCTGCTGTAGACTTATTACTACAGAATACAGAATTCATAAACATAAAATACAGTATTGATACCCATGAAGTCTGGTCCAGACTGGATTATTTACAGGCTACTGTAATATTGCTGGAATATTGTTGAGTGCAGTTTTAAACAACAAACAAAAATAAATATTTGTTCCATATTTATGAATACAATATTCTACATTTAAACTGCAAAATACAGTATTTGTAACTGCAATGTGTACAGAAATAGCATTTTCTGTATCCATAAAAATGAAACAAAATAATCTGCTGAATTCAGATTAATAACTGAAGTGCATATATCATGTGTAACTGTTGGTTGCTCTAATTAATAACTGGAATATCTGATGATACAGCATAAAGCAGCATTCACCCACTCACTCACTCACTATGACTGAGGTATACTTAATTCATAACACAAGTCTACAAGGTCATGCATAAATTACAAGATCAATACATTTCAAATCACATGATCAAAGGTCATATTCCAACATCATCTTAACATCATCTTAACATGTTACACTGTACAAGTACACACTATTGACGTAAGTATGATGCAAAATGACATGTCCTGTCCCTTATGACAAGCACAAACTCAAGTTTGGCACAAAAGATTTACTGGCAGCCTGACAAAGCAATACACCTTTGTATTGCCATAGGAGGCTCATCTGCACAAAGCTGTCTCAGCAATCAGAACTCAACTTCTTTCAGTGGCGGTACCACTGCTTTGTGCATGTAGGCCTGTGTTTACTGTTGGACATACAGCAACACAGTATCCCCATTCCACAGTTGATTCACAGCACTACAAATCTTCATCAATATAAGAATGATGTAAAGATGTATGGAAAGCTTACCAATGTGCTTACCGGTATTTACATAAATGTAATATGGTGTCTCCTCCGAAACTGGTGTTGTGATATGAAGAAATGAAAACTACTTCCAATAAAGATTTTGGTATATCACAACCTTTGTATCCTAGCAAGAACTGTATATGTATTGCCCTTTACGTCTAACCCATTGATCAGATACAAGAAATAATTAAATCTGCATTGTGCAAAATGACGAACATTGAAAACTTTGAGCACATATTCTATTGAAAAAGAATAATGTTTGTCTACAGAGACAGAACTGTCTGAAGTAGCAAGAAACTGTACAGTGAAGACCTAGTAAATATTCTCTAATTGTAACATTGTTTCCATTTTTGAACTATATTACTTGATTTGGAAGATGTCATAAAAGCATATCTTAGTCTTCATTGATAGGACCCTGCCCCTGGATGCTGAAAGTAACTCAAGTCTAAATAAAAACTGCTTAAATCTGTCATTTTCATCTGAAGATCCCAGAGCCTGCACACTGGAAACACTATCACATATACTATATACAAAATAAGTTGAATAACACCCTGGCTCTTTCACATTACTGTTGATAATTACATCATGACAGAATAATCATAGACTAATACAAAACAAACACACGTTTAACTTTTGAGTAGAAAATATCGCCCCTAACTTCAAACCCTCAGTTCTAATTTTGACAAAGTTGTTTTTGGACCTAAAGGTAAGTATTTGCATTCAATCCTAGGTTCATTCTGTCTGTAAGAAGTGTCTGTATGCTGTATACTCAGCAGTGACAGTGTGAGCCATAGTCAGTTTCTCGACTTTCTACATCACTGCTTTGTGATGGTTAAGTTGTAGCAGTGTAGTGATTCAGTGAAATATTGACTGCATTTCCCCATTGTGAGATGGCCTACAGTTGATCATATGGACAGACACAATGACATAACTTCTGTATGCTTACCTTTACCTTAATACACCTTGCACAAACACTGTCACAAGGAACTTTACCTTAATACACCTTGCACAAACACTGTCACAAGGAACTTTACCTTAATACACCTTGCACAAACACTGTCACAAGGAACTTTACCTTAATACACCTTGCACAAACACTGTCACAAGGAACTTTACCTTAATACACCTTGCACAAACACTGTCACAAGGAACTTTACCAAAATACACCTTGCACAAACACTGTCACAAGGAACTTTACCAAAATACACCTTGCACAAACACTGTCACAAGGAACTTTACCAAAATACACCTTGCACAAACACTGTCACAAGGAATTTATTTGAGAATTCAGGATGACTTGAAGATATGCTGTTGAGTACATGATTCTGAAAGTATTGCGATCGTTGAGTTCATGTGTTGGAACAGTTTCAAATCATAACAATAGCAGCAAATATGTGTTGCATGGTGTAGCTGATAATCATGAGACTGATATGAAAATAATAACTAAACATATCAATAACAATCATACATTCAATTAACGTTTCTTGCAGGATCCAGAACTAATAATGTACATCATTGCAATGTAGGGCAATATATTTGTAGAAAGTTACCTCTCAAGACATGAGCTTATGGTATGGTATCAAAACTAACTGATAGATGTGCATCATTTCACTCTCTCAACACTGCCAACTGCAACAGATAGCAACATTGATTTTCTTGATATTCATTTTCTCTGACCAATTCTGCTCAGTATGACATGACCACTGCTTGGCTCTCACCTACTCCACACTGTCAGCAGAATGTCCTACAGCCTGCACTGGAAATCACTGTCTCGGATTCAGTCAAGGCAGAATGGCATCACTGGATCTTACTGGCAATGCCATTAGAATGAACAAGTTCTGTTGAGTTGAGGTGCCCACTGCCAAGCTCCTGCTTCTGCCGGACATCAAACACTTCCTGTATTGCGTGGCGGAAACAGTGGAAGTTGTAGTCGATGATACCTGCAACAGGACCTGTGTCAAGGAAATACACTCACAAACTGTTTTACAATAGAAAACATGATGTTGGTTGGATTGTTGTTTAACGCCACGCTCAGCAATATTCCAGCAATATAGAGGCGGTCTGTAAATAATCGAGTCTGGACCAGACAATCCAGTGATCAGCATCATGAGCATTGATCTGAGATACGATGACATGTGTCAACCAAGTCAGCGAGCCTGACCACCTGATCCCGTCAGTCGCCTCTTATGACAAGCATGGGCTACTTATGACAAGCATGGGCTACTGAAGACCAATTCTATCCCGCATCTAAAAAACATAAGGCTGTGCTAATCTCTTTTCACAGACTTTTATCCATAAAACGTGTCATGTATTCACTTTCAGACTGTTTTACAATAGAAATCATAAGGCTCAACTCAGTTGTAATGAAGTCCATTTTGTTGGTATATCTACATCTGGTAATCTATCCTCACCTTGTCTCTCAAAGCTGTCCTCTCTGAGGATGCAGACCAGAGCTAGGTATCTGTTCACCTCTCTCAGATACAAGATGGTGTTGGTGTTCAGCTTAATGATGGCTGCGGACTGGTTGTCAAAGGCTCCATCGTCTCGAATACTGGAAGTAAAATGTTTACTCATCACCATGCTTGTAGAGAGTTAACACCGCTTTAAACAGTATTCCAGTTACATCACACTGTGTCACCTTAATCTGGAAGGAAACCACCAGTGATGCAGCTCTCAAATGCTTACCACTTTAGCATAACCCCCGAGCATGCTGATGGTGCTGACAAACCTAGAAACATAGCCTGGGTAAATCGGGGTTCAAACCCACAACCACAGTTGGCATGTCCAAGGGATACAACTCAGTGAGTGAGTGAGTATGGTTTAATGTCGCTTTTAGCAATATTCCAGCAACATCACGGCTGTGGACACCAGAAATGGGCTTAACACATTGTACCCATGTGGGGAATCGACCCCAGGCCTTCGGCGTGACAAGCGAACACTTTCACCACTAGGCTACCCCACTGCCCGGGATACAACTCAGAACAAAGAATTGCATCACCTTAGACAAAACAGGTTATAAAGAATTCCATAAATATTAACATAGCCTATTAAAATCTTGAAAGTAAGAGGACAAAAAGGACAAAAAGGAAAAAAAGTAGAAAAAATGATTAAAACAAAGTATAAGAAAGCTTCAAGGAAATCTATTAACATTTTCCATTTGTCAGTCAACAAGATCAATGAAGAATTGTTTGTGAATTTCCTGATACAAATAATAAATACACTACACTCTCATTTTACAGGGAGTCACTTAGCAAATACTGAAAGAGTAGTCATGGTAACAAACTTACCACCATCACGCACCATATCTTTTGTATTTTCTTCACATGCCATACAAAGATACAGTTGAAGTATTTAATGGACAAAAATGTTGAAAACATTTCACATACCATGCATTCTGGCATGGTGGTGGAAGCTGACAATGACATGACTGTGATTTCTCTACTTACACAAGGGGGTAGATACTTCCTTGTTAGTGAATCATTCATAAAATACTTCTTATCATGCTTATTGGTTAGTTTAATCACTCAAATGCCACTCAAATAAGTTAGTTTAACCATGCATGACTAAAATGACACACTGAAGGAATACTGAAGCAGTAAAAATCTAGAAGCCAAGCCTGTCTTAAAGAAATGGCATCATGAAAACACAGTCCATATACACTATCACACAGTCAGTGTGCGAAATAGCCACTAGCCCGCTAGCCCGTGGCTAGTAAACATCCAGTCGGGCCAGTAAATCTCCACAGTCACTGGCCAGGCTGGCTAGTGAATTTTCATGGGGTCAATTTTTAAATATATCACTCTATCGGACTTGTTAAGTTATAATACACTTTTAAATCATGCAAGATTATGGCCGGATAAATAATGGCATTTTCTCGTTTTGTTATCTTTTCCTTAATTTCTACATTTAAATTTGGGGCTAGTGAATTATTTTGTGGGCTAGTAACTTTCAGGCATAGTTAGCCCGACTCGCTGGCAAAATTTGGAAACTATTTCGTACACTGCACACAGTCCTAAGTTACCATACATTTCATGACGATCAATGGCAGGCCAGGTGTATTTTGAGGCAACACATTTTATCAGGATTACAATATATTTCCTTTAATGTCAGGTAACTGTAGACTCTCCAATTACTATATTACTATATACACATGCATATTAAAAAAGCTCAAGCATGCACAACTTGAACAATCTGACTTACTATGTCATAGATTATATATCATGTATATTTCCTATCTATCCCAGTGTCCATCATGCTTTTAACTATTAGGCTTATGTCAACACCAGGAAGGCAACAGCTGCATCAGTTCCTGCATAAGCCAGATAAGTATATGCATACATTGTTGTATCGGCAGGATTCCCGTAACCATGGTGATACAAGGGAGGGCACAAAAGCATTTAAGGCATACATGGTGTATATCGATAGGAGGCTCTGCTGAGGGAATATGGTTCCTTATTTCAAAACAATGTCTTTATGAGTGAGTGAGTGTAGTTTTACGCTGCACTCAGCAATATTCCAGCTAGATGGCGGCAGTCTGTAAATAATCGAGTCTGGACCAGACAATCCAGTTATCAAAAGCATGAGCATCGATCTGCACAATGGGGAACCGATGACATGTGTCAACCAAGTCAGTGAACCTGACCACCCGATCCCGTTAAGACAAGAATGGGTTACTGAAGATCAATATTCTAACCCGGACCTTCTCGGGGTCTCTTTATAATTAATCTTAACAGAAGTTGGATGATCTAATGAACTGAGCCACTGAAGACTTCAAGAAACGAAGTATATTTCCTTTCCACAGGATTGAATGTTATTTTATATCTTGGCCCAGGTGAATATTTTAAATTTATCTTTACCATTTGTTCTGGTTTTGTTACAAACTATAATTTCAAGTATGCCTGTGCAGGATTATGATCAGAACTGTCAAAATAACTACAAATTAAAGGGAAGGGTTTGTGGTCACTGTTTGCAATAGCATATTAAGGTTCAGTGCATTTAACACCCACTTAAATCATGAAGTTACTCAATCTGAACAGTTAAAGAGTCATAAGTTTCTTCATGACCAGAGGAAAATGATCTGGTCGTAATATGTGTCAAGATTTTCAACAACATTATTCTGTATGTGATTTAGTTGATGGTCCAATATATCACTGGTCTAGAGGTTTCCAACATACAGTCAAATCCCGATGAGTCGAATCGCTGGGGACCAAGTAATAAATTCGACTTATCGATGTATTCGAGACATAGGTATGTCTATGAGGGTAGAAAAAAAGATGATCCAGTCCTAATTCCTCCGCCTAAGCATTTGTTTATCTAATGATTTCCCTATCACTAATAGGGGCACCTTAACAGTTCCAGTCTGATTAGCACAGACAGTGATTTCCGTAAAATCACTAATCTGCCTTTTGAACTCACCCGTCAATGGCAGAAAGGTGTGAGCCGCGCTGGTTTGTTAATTGGATCAGTTTGCTACACCAATCAACTTCTCATTGACTGACTTCGGCTTATGTCTACAAGATTGCTGTTGTTTGAATCTCATGGGACCAAATTTCCTTCTCGAGTTATCGTGTGTATTTATGAGACGAATTTGTGTAACCGGTATTCAAATGATGACAACTATAACAGGGAATGGTCAGGACCGACAGGTACTTCGTGTTATGCATAATATTCGAGACACCGGCATTCGACTCATCGGAATTTGACTGTATATCTACAGTACACAAACAAAAACATGCAAGAATGCCTAGCTGCCTTGTGATACTGACTAGAATATTGTGCTCAACTATATACACTCTAATTTCCTAAAGACTAATTCTATCAAATATATTTTCACTGTATTGAAATAGGACACCTCAATTTACCTTCACCTTCGTATTATATGCAGTAATGCCAATACACTTATCTAAGTTTATATGCAGTAATGCCAATACACTTATCTAATTTCAAATGTGAATAGTGGTTGATATGTTACTGTGTTGCACACGACATGAGCAAGCAGGAAAGGCAGATTGGTGCTTTTTTGACCGTATTCAGCAAACTGTGAAGATTCATACAATTATATTGAGAAGCAAAATGTGAATTCTATTTAAAGGATTACCGAGACAGAACAATGTCTGTGACACTGAAACATAATACCATAAAAGAGTTAAAATACTAAGAGATCACGTAATAGTGTATTTATTACCTAGCCAGTATGGTATCCGTCACACTGAAATGTACAACACAGTAATGATTACAGCAACTCACGGACACAATGCATATAAACAGCAAGCATGCAGTTCCAGTCAGAGACAACCTGGAACAAATCTTCAACTCAAACTAATCAAATTAAGCCATTTGCTTGTGAGAGATTGTATAACAGAAACAATAAATCAGACATTAGTGTTTGCTCCAATGCTCAAAGATTTAGGGACATCCCATTACAGGCCATAACAGAAAGACCTTTCGTGAACTTTGACAGAATAATGAAATTACCTACAGGAAGTAGGCATCAGACAATCAGAAAGCATCTTTCTTTACCTTTTCGGCACAGTTTCAAAATGGCAACTTCCATTCCAGACTATGCATCGAAAATTCGTTTTTGAATTGAAATTTGAAATTTGAAAACTGAAAAACAGAACATTGTGGAATGTCAAGCCTGTCTGTCAGTTGTCTGAGATTGTAAGGCAGTACTTATCACAGTCTCTTCTGTAACATGTTATTCTAAAGAAGCTGCCGACAACACAAAACTGTCATTCAGAATGCTCTATATGAATCTTTTCTAGGTTGCATGATTATAGAATACATAAGGCATTAACTTTAACGATCTCAGTGACATTGTTTTGCTGAAAGGTCGTTCTGACGAGCCCTTATTTGGATGATCAATCTTTGTATAGCAGTAATCAAAGCAATCACATCTGCCTTGAATGAAGACACACACCATGCAACTTTCAAGATCAAAGCACAGAGCTGAAATGATACACCCAAGTCACGAGACATATCATGATCACGACATACCATGTTGTAGAGAAAGAGACCATAAACATGGCAAAACACTCAGTTTTCATGTGAAATGGATTAAAATTTTTATAAAATGCCTGTTTGACATTCAAACAACAATCTTTAACAATCACATTGATACTGGATTTCATCATGTTCATATGCTCAGCATGTTCAGAAAAGCCAAACATTGAGGCCATTCTATTTACTGTATCCTGTGCACAGAATGTTTAATACCAAAACCATTAAAGTGTGTAATATCATGATGCCCAAAGGAGTCATTTCAGCCTCATGCCCCTGACCAACAGTGCAGACCATCCCAACATGCTTTATCTTTTTACGACAAGTACGACATTACTTACCCGTATATACAGGACACATCAATGACGACATCAATCATATCACAACAGAGCTCATAGCACTGCATATCCACAGGAGAACTGTCTGTGGCTATGTAGATTTTACTGACAACATCAAACAGAAATGCCTTCTCTATGCCTGAGTTCTGCAAAGAAAAGAGTAAGAGACTGAATTCTGGTTCCATTTCAGTGCTTCTGACTGCTTGGGGTTCTCAGAGCGGCATAAAATCAATCACCTTCCAGGGCTCCAGATAATTTTTCAACATCAGGAGTAAGTACTCCTTATTTTTTCAATATAGGAGTACTGGAAAAACTTAGAGTGCATTTCGATTACAGAATGGAATTTAATGGAGTATCAGTAAGCTTCTGTTTCATTTCATATATGCACCACAACATTGCTTCTCTTGTGTAAACAGGTAGGAAAAACACTAAAACAAAAAAAATTCAGTCTATAAAGGATTCTAAGACCGTACACCATTGCTGTGGTGCGTATCTGCTACGTTTTCTAAATTATTTCCTACCCGTATCGTGCATATATTTTATCCATACATACGCCGATGCGGCTCTTATCTGGAGCCCTGCCTTCACATGGTTATCCAATTAATCATAAGATATGACACTAACACACTGAAGGTCGGACAATACCCTGTCTGTCCAGTGGTCATATCCACCTAGTTTGCAACTACAGTTGGACAAGTTTGGTTGGTTGGTTGGTTGGTTTGTTCTTTAACAGTGCACTCAGCAATATTTCAGCTATATGATGGCAGCCTGAAAATAATTGAGTCTGGACCAGACAATTCAGTGATCAACATCATGAGCATCAATCTACACAAATGGGATACAATGACATGTGCCAATCAAGTCAGCGAGCCTGACCACCTGAGCCCGTTAGTCGCCTCTTACAAGAAGCACGGGTTGCTGAAGACCAATTCTAACCTGGATCTTTGTCGCGACAGTTGGACAAGTGGTTCATGTGAAACAGCTAGACTTTCATAAAGAAAAGATCCACTGTATTTTCTCTAGTCCCAGACTAATGGCCTAGCTGCTGTGTCTATCCCTGTCCTGAGTGAATGTTGTTTTATATTTGGCAATATTCAAGCAATAGGAAAACAGCCTGTACTAATCTAGCCAGACAGACATGAGTTGACAGCATGACACAAACATTTGTGTTTCTTGTCAAATGTCACATTCAGCAATATTGCTGCAGCTGCAGTCCCTGTCATCAGGCTACAATGACATCACCGAGTCTGACCACCTCATCCATTGAGCTACCTCCAGCAACCAGCACAGGAGTGAGTTAGTTAGTGAGTGAGTGAGTTTAGTTTTACATCGCTTTTAGCAATATTCCAGCAATATCATGGCGGGGACACCAGAAATGGGCTTCACATATTGCACCCATGTGGGGATCGAACCCGGGTCTTGGTGTAACAAGCAAACGCTTTAGCCACTAGGCTACCCCACCGCCAGTCCCCACCAGTACAGGATACTGGGAAGCAAATCTTACCTGTCATTTTAACAATGTGACACAGATCATATATGTAACCATGGAAACCTATCCCTTTTATCTTTTCTTTCACAAGGCTAAGCTAATGAGAAAACATTCAGTCATGGATACAACAATGACATACTTACTGATATAAGAATATTAAGGAGGTTTTCTAACACTGGTAACTGAGGAATCAGTTTCTGTACAACTTTGCTGAATGCCTCAAATATTGAATGATCGTAGATACTTGTGAGATGAAAGCTGAAAGACAAAGAAACAATCAACACACTGTAGCACTAGAATTGAGTTTGTGCATGCTGTAATAAAATACAACACTTTTAAAGATTTCTGAAGACAACACACCTACTAGCACTAAGTGTTTGCCTGCACTCAATACTTTATCATGTTCATATCTATATCTTCATATGAGGTGTTGTCCACCGCATCTTCAGTCATCCATAGCCTCATCCATGGACTTATCAACGAGATACAGAACATCTGGTATTCTAATAAATATCTGATCAAAACTTCGTACTTTTAATAATGCTGACATCTTAAAAACTTGATTACGTTAATAAGTTGGGATTTACTGAGCATTAGCGTAAGTCAACTGAAGTGGTTTCACACACAAGGAATTAAACCCAGATGTTGTAAGACTTCAACCATTAGCGCAAGTCCACTGAAGTGGTTTCACACACAAGGAATTAAACCCAGATGTTGTAAGACTTCAACCATTAGCGCAAGTCCACTGAAGTGGTTTCACACACAAGGAATTGAACCCAGATGTTGTAAGACTTCAACCACTAGGCTACACACATCATCACATTGCCCACCTAAGATGAACACTTTCTAGCCCTGTGTCCTGCAGATCGTCTGATGCTCGCTGGTGGATGTCTCGCTGAGTCTCAATCTTGTGGTCATCAGACAGTCCATCAACTTTATGAATAAACACTTCAAACTTGATCTTGGGGTTGATCTTGTAGGCTCTGGACACTGTTGAGTGCAGCCTAGAGAGAGCCTCCATGTAGTCATCCTGCAAACCAGGGTTAACTCAACATCATCCATCTTCTCATTCCTGAAGCTCAACAGTCAATGAAATAACACTGCAAAAAGGGCTCCTGACCTTCGTGTCCTGAAGTATTTACTCACATGTTATCAACCATGTGAGGGTAGTTATGGGGCTATTTGGTATTCAAGACACTATAATAATAATAGTAGATTTGTATTGCGCTTTTCCATACTTGGATATTATGCTCAAAGCGTAAACATATTGCACTATCAATACACAGTGATATATGTGTAAGTTACAAAACTACAAGATTATGTAACACATCTTTGCATCATTCACTGTATTTCATGATGGCTGTATTCAGTCAGTAAGAAGAAAAAGTACTGTACAGGTGTGCACCCAAGCTGTGACAGCCACCCTGGGCAGTTACAAGCAACTCATCATCAGTAATTCCAATAATCAACCTAGTCTGTATTCAAGACACTATCAATACAACAGTGATATATGTGGATGTTACATCTTTGCATCATTCACTGTATTTCATGATTTCATGAATACATGATGGCTGTATTCAGTCAGTAAGAAGAAAAAGTACTGTACAGGTGTGCACACAAGCTGTGACAGCCACCCTGGGCAGTTACAAGCAACTCATCATCAGTAGTTCAAATAATCAACCTAGTCTGACCTCTGTGTCAAAATGATAGACTTCTTCACAGGTTGTTGTGCGAGCAACATTAGTCAGGAAGTTAAGTTAGTACAAAGTCCTAGTTCACCGTTTCCCTACCCAAGTACTACCTGTGAAAGTTCTGCAGAGTGCCCCCGATCTGATGTAGTTCATATGTAGGGGTTTGGGAGACACAGTGACCGAGTAGGTTAAACGTAAGCACTCACAGGCTTATATAAATATAGGGAAAAGGGTGAACAAGATGTCAGCCTGATGGAAAATAAACAAGTGTTTGCCACTGATATGGCAATGTCCCCCGCCGCTAAAGAATGGAATATCTATATTTACTACTTTTTATTTTGTGGTCACATACAAGATGCCTGAAATGACTGGTGTCTGCATAATCACCCAATGTAGGCTGTCAACATACTTGAAAACATTTGGTGCGATGTTTTATGAGATATCGCGTTTAAATAAGTTTGAAAAGTGTGGTGACCGTTAAGATAAGGTCAAGGTCACCCAAATTGACTGGTGTCTGCATAATCCCTTAATGTAGGCTGTCACCAAATTTCAAGACATTGGGTATAACAGTCAATGAGATATCGCGTTAACAAGAGTTAGAAAAGTGGTCAAAGTGTCGTGGTGACCTTGAAAATAAGGTAAAGGTCACCCAAATCGACTGGTGTCTGTGTAATCCCCTAATGTAGGTTATCACAAAATTTCAAGACATTGGGTACAACAGTTCATGAGATATCGTGTTAACAAGAATCGGGACGTATGTACGTACGGACGCCGCTGAATACATAGTCCCCCGTTCCGCGTTGCGGCTGGGGACAATAAAGTGTCCTCCTCCTGTGCTTGACCACAGGAGCACACTTTCTATTTTCCATGAAAATCATTGTAAATTAGACATGCACAATACAACATCAATTGAAAGACTTCCAGAAAGACGCCTAGGTACACTACTGACAAGCACTGATTCATCACAAGGAGTAGAAGCTATTCTGTCATGGAATCTCCCTCCCCTTCCCCCTCTCCTAGATAAACAGAATAGGATCAAGTGTTTAGTCAACAGCTCAAGAGCTGTGTCAATCAAGTAGGTTAATTGAAGTATCGTGGGATTACTGAAACGTACTTGAGCATCTATGACGAATATTAAAGCACCACATCCTCCAAAGATGTTCTCCGAATCAAATGTGGGATCAAAGAAGTCAATGTGACCGGGCAGATCCCAGATCTGGAACTGTACAAAGGAGCTGTTGGACACATCTGAAACAAGGACATGACAAACAAATCAGGGAAAATCATTGTCGAAGGTATTGTGCCAGATCTTCTACAACAGCAGATTATGGTCCCCGTTTTTGCCTTACAGCCACTCAGGTATCATGATACATGTCATCAGACTGACTTTCACACTATAGTACTGTCGGAAAAAGAAAAAAAAACGTTTTTTAGCTGTTACTCTGTATCCCTACAATTGCAAATAGCATATGTCGAAATAACCCACATCGGCCTAACTGGGATGGCGTTCAGTGGGATGCGTAATAGGATACCCAGAAAAGCACGTTTACTCATAAAATTGGGCAAAACTTAGAAAAAATACGAATAGCTGCTTAAAACAATAGATCAGACTATAGATGGCAATAAGGTCGCTCGGCCAGGTATGATGACGGACCGTCGACACACCGAGCATGAAATGCATGTGCTGCCTACAGGCACAAGGGGTCATCTCAAAGATTTTCAATGCGTTTTCTTGTGTGTTGAATATGTCTCAAATATTGATTAACATCTAACGTGTCTTTTTTTCATAAAGTTTATGTTGAGATATGTAAAACAGTATGATGCCCATAGAAAGGCTTAAATCAGCCATCGTATTAAATGTCTCAAAATATATAGGTAGCATGGCCACCCGAAGATCGACAGGACTGGATATTATTTGTAAATTGTTACTTCCCCAGTTTAATTCCCTTAAAGGATTATCTTATCTTAGCTGATATCTCTATCCCCCAGCCCGACCCCAACAATCGTCTGCGACATCCGACCTCGTTTTGCTTTTGAGACGACCCCCCATGTCTGTTTGTTTTTATAGTGGTAGTGAGACTCCATAGTAGCTACTTCCTTAAGAGTTTCACAAGTAAAAATATTACTGTGTACGTCAGCTATCATTTCTAATGAAGCTAAGTCTAATTTCAAAATGACTAAAAAAAATCATTTGTAATACAATATCATCGCACACTAATTTGCATAAAGCCAAGGTCTGTTCCAAATAAGTCGACTTGTTCATTTCTGCACTAATCTCTCCTCAGTAAAGTCCCTTTTTGACGTTTCCTATCTCCCTACCACCGACTGTAGTTAGGCCAAACTTAGTTGTACAGATATTTCACACTTTCACATATTAACTACATAAATTGTGAAGTCAGTTTTCTAAGAATTAAACACGTTTTCAGGCCCTGACAACTTCTAAGATATGTTCCATTTTCAAGTGTTGCAAAGACTAAAACATTAGTTCCAAAATCGTTTCTGTTCGATTATGAGAAAATGTGATCGATTGCTTGGTCGTTTGGTCACTGCGACCAATCTTCGATTATTTCAATTAATCGGAACACCACTAGACAACACCAGTATTCAGTATAGACCTCAGTATTCTCTGCTATGCTAAAGCAGTGTTGTGACAACATCCTATCTGAAACTCACCATCTTTGACAATCTTGTTGGTACTTTCCAGAAACAATGTTTCATTGGGGGACACTTTGTGAAAGACAACTTTCTGAATGGAAGACTTGCCGCTCCTGCAGTGACAATCAAAATATAACCATGTGAAACACAAAGTCAGTCAGCTAGTTGTGTCTACATATTGCCAATTATACTACAAGACATCACATGCTGAAAATATAGTGATTAAAATAAACAAAGATTATAGGCATGATAAGCATGTTTATATACCAAAATATATCATTAACATGATTAATACCAGGATGTCCTCATTTTCAAGGCATTAGATTAATGTTGTATTTTCATTTAAGATGTTATGCCATTAATTCCATTGCATGCAAACAATCCAGTGTTTTTATCTTTGATCTGTGAGATTCAAATTTGGACAGGAAGTCAGTGCAGACTTAGGATTTCACTTAGAACATATAGATATAATATAAGAAGTTCAAATCCATAATCAACTCTCTCCAGTGTTACTACCAGCTGTGAAACCTGTACACAATGTACTCCTTTATAGTTCACTTTTGTGAATTTTTTTTAGACCAGACCAATTTTATTTCTTTTTTTATGGATCCGCCGGTCATATTTTGTCAAGAATAAGAATAAAATAAAAGTTAACTTTCCCCAATCCAAAAATTAAATCCTAATGTTAATGTGATATATGTAAAATACTCTTGAAATCATTGTGAAACCTGAACGCACTCAACTTATTTTTAGTTGATATAAACAAACCAAAAGAGTTAACATGGAAACTTATGTTTTTTTGGTTTGACTGGTGATTTTTTCCCCCTCCTGCCTTTAGGTTTTCTGATGACAAAAATCCGTAAAACAGAAATAAAATTGGTCTGGCCTTAGGTAGAAATGTCAACATGGCAAGTACAGATCACAGGCCCTTTCAAATTTGTTGATGCTGGTAGACATTGTAGATGTCACATGTTACGTGTCACTTGATACGTGCAACAGATGATTACAACAAAAAAGGTAGATTCAGCTAACAAATCAATAACAATATTAACATCCATACTGTGACATTTACCCAGTATTTCAAGGAGTTATATAAATTGTATAAGCCTGTCAAGGAGACCAAAATGGTCAACACAATGAGTTACAAAACATTATGAAATGTCTGTGGTAAGTTTCCTTAAAAATGTTTCAAGACTTTGTTTTCAATCCACTTGACCCTAAAAAAAGAACATTGATAATTTTGTCAGCTTCTTGTTTCTGATCTTGCTCTTGAAAGATGTCACATGTGGTTGAGTGTGGTAATGTTGGCATAGGTTAAGCCTATCAGAAAATACTTTTTCACCCTGCTGGGGAATTATCTCAGTGAAAGTAACAGAACAATCGGACCGTCTTCATCATACTGATGCTTCTTTAATTTAAAATTAAAATGTATTTCCATGGTTCATTTGTAGACACTGTTACTTTGAACTGAGTAAATATTCAGAGGGAGAAAGATTCTCCAAAAATATGGGTTTTTGAAGACCAATTCTAACCTGATCTTCACACGTCTCTTGAAACATTGTGCCAGTGCAGCGAATCAAACATTCAGAATGACTTTCAGCAAGTTTACATGGTCAACCAAAAGAAAACAACTGATCCTACCTTCGCAGTCCCATCAATAATATCCTTGGTTTTTCTTCCGCTGCTGCCGCCACACCATCAACTTCATTTTCATCTGGTCCATACCCGAAACCCTTTGGGAATGACCCAACAAAGTTTCCTGCTGTATCGTCGTCAGCATAAGACTAGAAGAGAACATTGAGAGCACTAAACATTATCAGATATCAAATACAGACTGTTTTTAAACTGCTTTGCTTTTTACAATTCTGAAAGTAACAATAAAGGCAAGATATTTTATTGATGACTACTTCTGTATTTTGTTCGGATGCCATCTATAGACAATAAGGGAAATAAGAAGTTGTCTTCCATAAAATGTCAGTTTCAGAATTAGTCATGATAGAAAGCAGTTCACCTCATGACCCATGTTTTATCAATAAATAAATAAACGAATGAACGATTTAGAGAGTGCCTTGATAAATAAAACTATAGTACTCAGCAGTAAGCCTCAGGATGCATGATGTGCTCTTCACAGTAATCACTTAACCATGTTTCAATGAAGGCACCATTTCCAAAACTCTCAACAAAATAAAAAAGACCAGTGTACAGCACATAGCCCCACCACAAATGTTTCACAAACTTTTAGTCACTGGTGTTCATTGATCAAATACAAACTACAGGTGACCAAGAAAGTCAGATTTATCAAAGATTGGCAGGCACATTTAGTAAAAAATCATGATAAAACTAGCTTGTTTAGTGTTTACACGTTCAAAAATGTTCTGAGAAATAAGGAAATGTTCTATTCCAGTTCACTGATATGTAAATGCTTAAATTGTTAGAAATGGAGTCAGAAACAGTGCATTCTTGTGATCTGCTTTTTATTATCATTCATTTCTCATCATGTCAACAGACAATGACCTTCCTAAAAGATCTGAGAATACAAGGTTGTGGATTCCCTGATTTGCCACTGCCTGTTTGATTTCCAGGTATGTTACTTGTGAAATGGTATCAAATTTGGAATATTATGTTGCTATTTCTTGACAAGCCTCCATCTGCCAGACTTTTAGGAGTGAATGAGTTGGGTTTCACGCCGCTTTCAGCAATATTCCAAGAATATCACGTTGGGGAGCCCAGATTTTTGGGTTTCACTCAAGTTTCCTATAGTACACTTAATAATGCTGAACGGGTTGTTGTTGGCACGGGTTATAGCTGAAACGGCCCCAAGTCGAAACGGCCCCAAATTGGCTAAAACGGCCCCAAATGTTTTGGCTGAAATGGCCCCATGACTAAACGGCCCCAAGTTAAAACAGCCCCATATTTGCCAAAATGGCCCCAAAATAATCAGTTTTATTTCAATGTGTGTCCTTAGTCATAAATGATAGATCAAAATGCATATTTTTCAATTACTTATTAAATTAATTAACTTTGACATTTTCATCATGATTTTCTTCTGTTTAAATGGCCATGAGGCCAATAATACATGTGGAAGCTATGAATCAAACGAACTGAATAATGTACAGATCGTCTAACAATATACACTAGAATTTAAGTTTGACAAATAAAACATTAGATTTCAGAATCAGAATTCAAATTGTTAAAAAAACATCCATACCATGAAGTCACACATACAGTCATTAAAATAACATTGAAGTAGCAGTTTCTCTGTTGAGTGAATCCTGACAGCGCTGGTGTTTTGACAAACATTAGCAATAGTACATAAATGAATATAATAAAATATGTCTATGAACTCAAGACTATGGCATAGTGTTCTCCGTGTCAATGATATACAGTATTTATTGATGGGGATAGATGGTTACTGTACATTCACAATGACACAACGCTGTGTGGTTTTGCAATAAGACCGTCGGAAAAACATGCTCTAAAATCCATGCAACTACAAGGACAGTTACTTCAAGCGTAAACATTCAAAGCAATGTACAGTTTCAACACAACTCCATATGAAATGTACAGTTTGAATTTTCGGCGATAACTGAAAAATACTGGACATAAAAGCCTAAACTCTAAATGAAGACCTAAAACCACTATTTCTAAGAAAAAAGTCGTGTTTGCTGATGAGGTTGTCATATTTCGTGTTGAAACGATCATTTTCCGCGATTCTTGATTCGACACTCAGGAGGGTGTCCTCGCTTAACACACAATTGCAATAAATAGAGAGGGTGTCAAGCAATTACAGAGAGAACCATTGGAAGTTTCTTGTCTGTGTCGTTATTCTATTTAATACCCATTATGTAACTTCATATTACACTAAAATTGAAAACAAATACATGGTCAAGCACGTTAATGGTACTGCTGTGTGTGCCGCAAGGAGTGTATTGTTAGGACTTTTTTCTGTTTTCAATATATGTTATAGTCAATGTAAATGCTCCAATATATTTCACGTCTTTTTTTGGCAATTGTAAGGGGTCATTTCAAGCAATCTCTGGCTGTTTTCACTTAGCAACATCGGGGCCGTTTTGCACAGGGTCCGTTTTAGCCAATTTGGGGCCGTTTTAGCCAAGCAAAATTGGGGCCGTTATGCAATGGGGCCGTTTTAGCCTGATCCCGTTGGCACGGGTACTACAGGTATTTATCATAGCCAAAATCAGCTTATAGAAATGTACCCTAGAACTAGTCAATCCTAGAACTAGTCATTTCCGCATTGAATCAGAACTATCATGCTGTTGTATGAGACAAATATCTTGCGATGCACATTACCACTCACAATCAGCTGAATTGGAATAACCACATATGGTTTCGGTTTGGGGCTGAGGAATATGGACTTGTTGGTTGTTTAGAGTATCGGGTACGTGTCTGGATTTTGAGTATGTTTAGGATACATTTCTGTACATGTATACAAAAACATAATTTGGGTACATATTTGTAGCATACTGGTGCCAACAATGACCCCTTCAGCCCTAATAACAACATGTATCCACAAACACAATTCAGAAACTACAAATCTAATTGAACTGTTTTCAGTGAATACTATATGCTGTACTAAATTGTACTGATAGCTTATATATTAAATATCCATATGAGCAATATAAACCTTGCACCAGATAAAAGAGATCGGAATTTTGTTGATATATGATAATGTTAAGTTGTCAAACTTAATTATACGTTATATTTAAATTCATAATTAATTATTAATGCATCACTTAACTGTCAACTGTTCATCTGTGGACTTAAAGACGTTTCACAAACATTGCAATAGTAGACTCTGCTCTGCCACTTCGTGACTGAAGGACTGAACAACACCAACATGGACAAGGTGTGTAACTTAGTGTCTTACTTATATGGAGCGGTCAGTCCAATATATCAGTCAGAACAGTGTCTAAACACTCGACCTGATCGCATGATGTGTAAACAACACAGATGCGTCACAAGACTGGTTAATGGAACCACACTGTGTCACTCGATCCAAAATAAACTTGTCGCGTGACCATATCAGGTGCTTGGAAACAACAATACCAAACAGCTAAAACAATTAATTAATTGATTGTGTATCTAATGCCAAATACACCCCCTGTCAGGCAAACAAACACCACTGCTGTCAGTGCTTGCTATCATAGAAAGGACCTAAAAACACATCACTGACATTCTCCTATCCTTACCATCGTTCGCCATTAACAATATCATGTGACTTTTCTGTACTCTCTAAACTAAAGGCAACGCCTAAAAGTATCACCAAATGCTCATATAATAAATAATTTTGTACACAATAACACTTGTCACTTTATACCCAACATGTTGTGAATAAATGGTTTAACATCTCTGAAAATGACACTTTGAAGCGTTTAAACATATAAATCATTCTATTTAGAGAGTATTTTAAGGCTCAGCCTGGCATTGTTCACTTCGTTCTCGCTTAACGATGTAATAATATAAATCGCGGGCCCCATTCCGAGTCTTGGCGAGATTCTTAAACAATTATTCAACGAGGAACAGTTCTCTGTTTCAGAGCTGCGAATATATTATTTTCCCTTCTCTTTATTTTTATTTGTTAACGATTCACTTTGTATTGTACCAACCCTGATATCATTTTGCATAGATCTATGGAGCGTGAACACAATAGAGAATACTAAACGATGTCCCGTGTAATACCATATTTATGAAACGAGTGAATGGTTTGGTATCTAACGAGCGAAAGCGAGTTAGATACCAATACCATTTACGAGTTTCATAAATATGGTATTACACGGGACATAGTTTAGTATTTTATTTATTACTCACCCAACATTAGCAAAATAATATCGAGCGAAGTACTTCTTTCCTAAGAATTCAAGGAGTATGATGACTGTCAGCTTTCCACGAGTCAAGCAAGGTCTAATACCATTAGCATTATGACGTCATAACTGTAAACCACCTTGACGTCATACGTACGGCATCACGCGATGTTATTACACAATGCAGCTAACATCACCGGTGGAAACATTACGTTTATGTTTTACTACGGTTAAAATGTCTAATAACATTGTAAAATTATAAAACAGTGTTCTAATATGCCTAGCGGTTAGAACAATAGAAAAAAAAATACATTATCCGAAATTCTAAGATGCCTAGCTGTTAGAACAATCGAAAAAAAAATACATTATGAGACAATAAAGGTATAGTTTTTTAATGACGTAACAATTGAATGACGTTATCCCGTCACTGCGCCATTCTAGTGTGCCCCCTCGTAATCGAATTATTTTACATTACGTCACAATGTAAGTGACGTCACGATGCATGTCAGTTGTCATCGCCTCGTACGGCCTCCTACAGTAAACTACTCCGTTGCATCCCGTTTCTTGCTTTGCAGTTGCTTCACGCAGCTAACATCACTGGTGGAAACATTACGTTTATGTTTTCCGACGGTTAAAATGTCTCAATTCGACTCACAAGTTTTCAGCGACACGGTAACGTTCGCAATGTTTACATTCCCACAATGCAATCGTGGAATGTCGCTTGACTACTCCGCTTCATCTGGATGTACTGATCTAAACTTACGTTGGTAGAAGAAATGCGACGTTGATATTGCCCCATATGGTTTACGTTAATGACAGATGTAATTAAAATAATTCAGAGAAGATATTTAATCCGAACGTAAACCGTCATCAAACTGTTATCATTTGTTTTTTTCTGGTAACGTTCGTCTTAACGTAGGGGGCAGACACATCAATAGAACAGCGCACCAGTTAGCCCTGTGCGAGGATTCTTAATTTAGGTCACCGACACCGTCATTTGTTTTCTGCCTTAAATTAATCGTAGTTATCCTTAGAAAGTATTAAATTTAGCATCTTAGAAAGATGTAAAGTTCGCTCTACCCCAATGTGTTTTGTAATAAAAGTATAGTTTTGCCCTGAACTATTATAACATCAAAGCACTCGGACTACCGTCCTCGTGCTTTAATTATAATAGTTCAGGGCAAAACTATACTTTATTACAAAACACATTGGAGTAGAGCGAACTTTATTTCTTAAATAAAAGGTATAGTTTTTTGATGAAGTAACAATTGAATGACGTTATCCCGTCACTGCGCCATTCTAGTGTGCCCCCTCGTAATCGAACCATTTATATTACGTCACAATGTAAGCGACGTCACGATGCATGTCAGTTGTCATCGCCTCGTACGGCCTCCTACAGTAAACTACTCTGTTGCATCCCGTTTCTTGGTTTGCAGTTGCTTCACGCCCTGAACTATTATAACGTTAAAGCACTCGGACGCAAGCGTCCTCGTACTTTAACTATAATAGTTCAGGGCGAAAGTGTGTTTTATTACACTATATATGGTGGTAGAGCGAACTGTATTTCTTAAATATCTTCAACGGGTGAGTAAAGCCGATGTGCACTCTTTCCGCAATAACCGTGCAGCTGTACAAGGTAGTTTGTCATTCTAAACCCTAACCCTAAGGATTGTAAAGGGAGCCAGCGAGGGCTGCGCCCGGTAAAGTGCATTCTAGCCAGGTGCTGATCGCTTTTAATCCACATTACATTTATTTTCCTTTCCGTTCTGCCCTTTCTGCAATATAAAGCTCAAAGGGACCGGACCGTTCATAATTTATGGCTAGGGGAAGGGGTGGGTGCAATCACATTGTACATGTTTCTCCATATAAACAGGGAGACTATATGTTGTAGATTTTCCCTGATATAAATCACCCTCAGCCCCACCCCCATGAACGGTCCCGAAATGAAGTAAGTCTAGGTTTCCTCATGTTCAGGATCTCCAATCTCACGGGGCTCCTTTTTAATTTAAAAGGAATGATTTGTTACAAATAAAATGATATAGATTCAGAGACTAAACGTTAGTCTAACGGTGACTCTAAATGGGCGGTGTGACTTGAGATACAAATTAACTAATCCAGAAGCTCGATTATACAGACGAACGATGTAATATAAATGAGTTTCATCCTAGACTACTGATTGGTCCAAACTTGAGCGCCATTGAAGTGTGCTCGAGAGTCGAAAGTTTACACGTGCAGTGTATAATTGTAAACATCAATTTTGCAACATACACGTATTTCAATCAGGAATTTTACCATTTTGTTTGCACTGCAGAGACAGCGGTTGCACGATCAACGTGTGTGAGTGTCGCCCGAAATGCCAGGCGGCAAACGAAAAAAGCGAAGGATGGATTCAGATGTGGAGGATATGTCTGATGCCAGTGATGGTATGCAGTTTTCGGGTCTCTGTGCAAACCATGATTTAGCATAATGTGGAATATGTGTGAAGGTTGGGTCAACATAATATGAATTGGTATTGATAGCTGTTCGATACTATCTCAGATGAAACTTAGCCACAACGTTTATTAGGACTGATAAATTTTGATGTAGCCTGAAACTGCAACCCTAGTCACCCTGACTGGCAGTAGGTGCAGTAATTTTATTTGGAGACTGATTGCACCCTTTCGGTGTGCCTGAAGCCAGACCTTGTGATTGTCTAAGCTTACCTTTCATGCACTTTCCAACTGACAACATGATCAGACAATAACCATGAAACTGTTACTCTTTTATCGATGATCACAAAATATAATGTTTTTTCAGTGGAAACATCATCACCAAAAAAGAAAAGGAAAATTGAAGAGAAACTTTATGAAAGAAACAGATCAGGTAAAAACTTATATCAGATTACTACCAGTGCTGGTGGATTATTGTTTGAATAAGCTTTGTCTTTATACCAGCGCCTTTTTTTTTTGCTGCGTAGATATGTGCGCTATATAAATATCCAATAATAATAAATAATTACTATCTATTGAAAATTAACATGATTAAGATTGGATTAATTGCATTAATGCTGTGTATTTACATGCCACTCAAAGAAGGCATTTACATTATACATATTGTGAGTATGTCTCATCTCCAACTGCATTAGTTTTGTGTATTGTCTTTCACCATGTTCACTTAATCAGGTCTTAGTGTTGTCAGTCACCATTTTGATATCCTAAGTCTGTGTTGTCATTCAATGCAGTAAGTCTACATACTCACATTCAATGCATTAGGAATGTGTGTTGTCATTTGCTGCATTATGTCTTTGAGCTGTCATTCATTACATTAGGTGTGTGTGTGTCCTTCACGGGAAGAGTTCCTCCTGTTACCCCATCCCAAATAATATTTATTAATTCATATATACTAACATTATTAACAAGGCCTAATACAACATCTAGAGAACTCACAAAAATAATTAAAGCTCAAAACTTAATTACAATATATAGGGTTGAACCACGTTGTGTTACCTCTGTTAAACTGCGGAAGAAAGAAGTCAGGGAACGGAAGGAACTTTCCGAGCTGTCATTCATTACCTTAGTTCTGTGTGTTGTCATTCTCTGCATTAACTTGATGAAGTGTGTGTACTGTCACTCAATGCATTAAGTCTGTGTTATGTCAATCTCTGCATTAAGTCTGTGTGTTGTCAATCTCTGCATTAAGGTTGTGTGTTGTCAATCTCTGCATTAAGTCTGTGTGTTGTCAATCTCTGCATTAAGGTTGTGTGTTGTCAATTAAGTCTGTGTTGTCAATCTCTGTCTCTGCATTAAGTCTGTGTGTTGTCAATCTCTGCATTAAGGTTGTGTGTTGTCAATCTCTGCATTAAGTCTGTGTGTTGTCAATCTCTGCATTAAGGTTGTGTGTTGTCAATCTCTGCATTAAGGTTGTGTGTTGTCAATCTCTGCATTAAGGTTGTGTGTTGTCAATCTCTGCATTAAGGTTGTGTGTTGTCAATCTCTGCATTAAGGTTGTGTGTTGTCAATCTCTGCATTAAGGTTGTGTGTTGTCAATCTCTGCATTAAGGTTGTGTGTTGTCAATCTCTGCATTAAGGTTGTGTGTTGTCAATCTCTGCATTAAGGTTGTGTGTTGTCAATCTCTGCATTAAGGTTGTGTGTTGTCAATCTCTGCATTAAGGTTGTGTGTTGTCAATCTCTGCATTAAGGTTGTGTGTTGTCATTCTCTGCATTAGGTATGTGTGTTGTTATTGGCCTGTTTAGTTTTGCATTAGTCTAATGGTTCTGCCTCTTAAGCAGTTGTCTGCGTCCGTACACATCTTGCTCAAGGTTTTGTTACAGCTCTATGATATCTTTAGACCCAGCTGAATGGCCTGCTGAGGATATCCTGCAGCTGTTTGAGAGGATTGAACAAGTCCTTCCTAAGCCTGATGTGTTACGATACACGTTGTGTGGAAAAAATCAATTGGGAAGATGTGAAGTTTGGAGAGTACTCAAGCCAGGACTGTGCAGATGCGTTCAACTTGATGCTCAAAAGGGTAGGCATATGGTCATATCATTGTCATACCATGAAGTAACCATTAGCCAAATAGGCAGGGATTTACAGGAGCGCAAATTCCTGCGTCCTATATGTATAAAAATTGACAATGGATGCAACAAAAATTATTACTGCATCCACAGGCACTCAGAAAAAGTCCAAATACTTTTTGTAAATATTCCAATCAAGTGACAATAACTTATCACTGAGTTTGCTACTAGCTGGGTTATTGCATTATTTGCAATTCAATTACTGTAACAATGTGATGATCATCATACACAATATAATGACAGTATAGATAATAATATTTAAGTGTCTGGGACCCCCATTTTGTTATCCATAACCCCTGAAAATTACGAGTATGAGTCCCATGGACCCTCGAATACAGGACTACATGTAAATCCCTGAAGAGGGATCTGAGGCAGTTTGTATTACATGCATTTCGTCGTGTTTCTCATTCTTGCTGGGCTTTCATTACCATCTCTTCCTAAAAACAAATATTTGGCCTGTCTGATTATAAATCACCATGCAAAGACTCCTTGTTGTATTGGAAGAGTATTCAGGTAAGGAAAGTGGAACAAGGCCGAAGGCATGTTCTTTCTGTTGTATATCTCTCCACTTTGACTTCATCTTTATCATGTTTATGATAAAAGCATCTTTCTTCAGTGTAACAGAATGATGCTGTGAGTTTCATTAGACTTGACATCTAGCCTCTGAATATGCTGAAATGAAAATATTTAACAGAAAAACTATTATTTAGATATCTGGAAAAAAATAACCGAAAGGAGTCTCTTTTAACTGAATTAATATAGACTTGTCAAATATTATTGACTCGTATGGTTTTTAAAAATTATTTTACAAGGCTGTGAAGACTTGCTCTTTTGTAAAAATATCAATATGAATCACTCTAGACTAACAACTAGTCTCTGAAATGAACATATTTTACTGAAAAAAGTTCATAGTAAAAAAATATAAAATATAATGAAAAGGAGCCCTGAGACTTTCTTCATTTTCAGACTGAAGCTGAGAAAATCTAGACTTGCCACATTTTCTAGACTTGTGTGGGCTTTCTTGGATATATTTGCTTCAGGGTCTGTACAACAGACTAGAGTCACTCTTGATCAAGATGTAAAATTGTGAAGTAATGTTTGCAAATATGGAAATGTATGTCATAAATCATGAAATTAATATGAGTGCTGAACCATAATAGAAATATGTCGTGAAATTAATGTGAGTTGATCTTCTTTTAAAATGAAAAAACAACATGTGTCTGAGTATGATATGGTAATCAGTATTCATGGTAATGGCAGCTTGACTCATCATCTGCAGTTATTTTTATCATAGCTGAACTTTTGCCTCAATAATATGACAGAAGGATATTCCAAATCAGAGATATACATATTAAGGGAGATACAGCTGTTACAGGTCAGATGAACTGATAAGATTGTGATAAGTTGTTACTAGACTCAGTGCAATCTTTTGAATATAAATCAACACCTACAGATTAATGTTATGTAATCATCAAGTGTGGTGTCTCTGTAATCAGCATTACAACTCAAAATGGATGAACAGTGTTTAGCCTTCAGTTACATAATTAACATATTAAAAATAGAAATAAAATAAAAACAACAGTTAATTCAAGTTTTTGTATTTATTCTTTATTATATGACCAGAGGTAAGCCAGGATTTTGATGACCAAAAAAGCAGTCTGTAGAAGGGGTCGGCTTATCAACAAATTACATTTTCATCAAACTTATTTCTGGTAGTAGGAAAACAACATTGTATTGATTTGCATGAACGAACAAGATAAAATGACTTTACCAGTGAAAACATCAAATAAGCAATTAAACATTGGTAGACAAGATTGTTCACCTTTTCAGTTCTAATTTGTCTTTGCTAGGCGTTGTATTATATGCAGGGATTAAGATTAAAGTGTGTATTCGTCTCGTATACAGAGCTGGAAACAGCAATCAGTTGTGCACACGTTCCCTGCAATCTGTTGTTGATTTCTGGTCAACGAGATGAATTCTGATGCAGTGATTGGAAAAATATTAACTATCTGAAACTATTATTTTACCAAGAGAAATATATTCTAGCATTGTGTCATTCTAATTGTAGGTTTTTCTTCTATCAATGTGAAATATTTATAATCATAACTAAGGTTATATGACAGCAATTTGGTGTATTGTTAGCACTGTTGCCCCATTCTGAAGTATAACCTTGGTGTGCCAGGCTATATTTAGTTTGACACGAGGTTGTGATGTTTCGACCAATCCTTGAGCAAAAGAAATTACAAACGTCGCTGAACTGCTTGACATGCAGCACTTGATTGGCTGAAGCGAACCTACCGACCATACCATACATTAATCAATGCAAAACCGAAAATAGATATAGGTCAAGAAACCTCTTTGGGTATTTGTCATAAAATGATAGAGAATAATGAAACTGGTTTGGTTTAACAAATGGAAAAGTTTATCAACTTGATATGTGGTATTATTTGGTTATGAATATATTTACACAAAGACACATAGTCTGTACGTTTTGGATTTGTGATATGAAATTAATACTGGTTGAGTCACTGCATCCATGAGACCCATACATGTTGTGCAGGTGCGTTCAAACTCATACTTGTGTGTCCAAGAAGCAAAAACACACTCTTCAGCCAACACTGTAACTGCTTGATGGGTTTGTGGGAACAGTGTGACTTAAAACCAGATAAAAATGTGTTACCTCTTTCAAATCAGCCAATGATATTCATATTTGTTTTATTAACTAAATTCATGACATTATTTTCATTCTTTAAAGTAATATACCAAAGTTTTGACCTATTCCGTTTCATGGTGTTCCTGGTAATGGCTCGTCCAGAAGTTGAGCATGTACATTAAGACAACATGGTATTTTGTAGGATTTGCAAATATTGCTACAGCACTTTAAATAAGTATAACAAGCAATCGTACTTACTACAGTTACCCGGTAATCTGTTATGCAATGATAAGGAAATGTAATATGAAACAATTGGGAGGTTGTTATCTGTTTTCATAGTATTGATGGAGTTGAGTAAGGTTGTTATGTATGGGTATCCACGGAACTGAGACCCCATTGGTTGATTTGTTTCTTTCTTGTTTAATGCTGTAATCAGCAAAATTGTAAGCTATATGAAGTTGGTCTATAAATCATTGTGCCTGGAGCAAACAAACCAGTGATCAACATCATAATCATAAATCTATGTAACTGGAATACTATGACATGCATCAAGTTTATCATCAACCCATCACCAAGTTCAAGTTCCATCACCCAGTTCCATCACCCAGTTCCATCACCCAGTCTCTTATGTCACTTCTGACACGTATGGGATTCTGACCAAACAATTGTCATGGGTCTTTTGGTTGATTTGATGTTTTATGAATTCAAAGAAGCTGATGTGGTATAAGTGTGATCTAAGCAGGATATTGCTCTCCCTCTGGTAGGTTCGCCAGTACCAGACTGCCACAGACTATCTGAACAACATGAGGTGTATGTATGATAGGCATCCCAGGCTGTTACAAGGACAGGTGGTGAGTAGACGTGTAACAGTGTTATAGTCAGCAGCCCTAGGCTAGTGCTTTGTAGCTTTGCTTGAATGTGACTACTGGCACACTCTGTGTTTGAACCACAAGGTGATTGGACATCACAGGGACATCACATCTTATCTTACTTCACACATAAATGTCGTTTTCTCATTGGCTGACTGCTTTTCTCATATTTTCAATGTACCCCCCTTACAAGTGAGTAACATTTTCTACCTTATGGGAATGCCGAACTGTGGGAATTCATTTGGTTCTTTGTGTTAGTAATTCTTTATTTCAAATAATTGAGTCATGTTTGATGTGTGGAAATTGTCGATGTTTTACGAACACAAAATCCATGGAAGGGAATAACTCTTTTCTTGTCTGCTAGATTCTATGTCATCTGAAAATCTAGTATTGGCTAATTGTCTAACTCTTGTACTCCTAATGATCCGATACCCATGCTTCAAACAGTTCAAAATGAACATTAAGGCAATGGTATCCCAGCTCATTCACTTTTTCTTCGTATTTGTTTTCCAGCAACGCATGCCCAAAAAGCCAAGGAGTGTCTACTCTATGTTCATGCAAGAAAAGATTAAGAAACTACATAAAAAGAACCACAACATGAGCATGCCTGAAGTGATGAAGATCATTGCTGCACGATACAAAAATCTGTCTGCCAGGAAGAGGGTAAAGAATATCTTTTATTGAATCAATTCTTGTCAACCATTGATATATTTTGAGATTATCATACAAGTTACAAGGATTACATATGCTGATGAGTTCATAATACTTAACATTAAGCTCAATTAAGTTACCTTGTGCCTTTATTTTACCAAACATATCCTCAGCAGACATTGCTTGACGTATCTATCTAGCTGTCGGTGAGTTAGTTTAGTTTTACGCCACACTCAGAATTATTCCAGCTATGTGGCGCTGTCTGTAAATAATCGAGTCTGGACCAGACAATCCAGTGATCAACACCATGATCATTGAATTCTGCAATTGGGATACAAAGACGTGTGTCAACCAAGTCAGCGAGTCTGACCACCCAATCCCGTTAGTCGCTTCTTACGACAAGCTTGGGTTACTTAAGAACAGTTCTAACCCGGATCTTCATGGTTCCTGTAGCTGTGTTTTTACTTCTGATGTTGATGAGAGGATGAAGTTAGTAAAGCTAAGTGGTAATCCACCTGAACTCACCGTGTTTATCCAAACTCCACCAACAGGGCTCTAGATAAGAGCTGTATCGGCGTATGTGCGGATATAAAATATGCACAATACGGTAGGAAATAATTTAGAAAACGTAGCAGATGTGTATGGCCTTAGAATCATTTACAGACGTATATATCTGAAAAAGTATTGTTTTATCGTTTTTTTACCTGTTTACACAAGAGTAGCAATGTTGTGGTGCATATATGAAACGAAACACAAGTATCGGTAGATACTCCATTAAATTCCATTCTGTACTCTAAATGTACTCTTAAGGTTTTCCAGTACTCCTATATTGAAAAAATAAGGAGAAGGTACTCCTGATGTTGAAAAATTATCTGGAGCCCTGATATAGTCTGTAATGGGATTAGGTGTTCATTGAGTTGTGACTTCCACTTCTGTTTTCATTTCAGCAAAAGTATCAAGATCGATTCGACCAAAGCATTGAGGCTTATAAAGAAGAACTTGCCAAGTTCAAGTAAGTCTTGGGTTGTGTAGACTCTGGCATGTAACTATCACTTACTTGCACACTGACCCGTGAAGATCCAGGGTAGAATAGGTCTTGCCACAAAAGGCGACTATGCTTGTCGTAAGAGGCCACTAACGGGATCGGGTGGTCAGGCTCGCTGACTTGGTTGACACATGTCATCGGATCCTAATTGCGCAGATTGATGCTCATGGTGTTGATCACTGGATTGTCTGGTCCAGACTCGATTATTTACAGACCGCCACCATATACAGTCAAATCCCGATGAGTCGAATGCCGGTGTCTCGAATATTATATATAACTCGAAGTACCTGTCGGTCCCGACCATTCCCTTTTATAGTTGTCATCATTTGAATACCGGTTACACGAATTCGTCTCATAAATACACACGATGACTCGAGAAGAAAATTTGGTCCCATGAGATTCAAACAACAGCGATCTTGTATACATAAGCCGAAGTCAGTCAATGAGAAGTTGATTGGTGTAGCAAACTGATTCAATTAACAAACCAGAGCGGCTCACACCTTTCCGCCTTTGACAGGTGAGTTCAAAAGGCAGATTAGTGATTTTACGGAAATCACTGTCTGTGCTAACTGGAACTGATAAGGTGCCCCTATTAGTGATAGGGAAATCATTAGATAAACACATGTTTAGGCGGAGGAATTAGGACTGGATCATCTTTTTTTCTACCCTCATAGACATACCTATGTCTCGAATACATCGATAAGTCGAATTTATTACTTGGTCCCCAGAGATTCGACTCATCGGGATTTGACTGTAGCTGGAATATTGCTGAGTGCGGCGTAAAACTAAACTCACTCACTCACTACTTGCACCAAAGGTGTCACAAAGAGAAGGACGGCACACTGGACTGGCCCGCTAAGTCCCCATGACAACTGACTGTAGAGCATCTGTGGGATGCTCTCTGTTGGGAATGTATGCCAGCATCAGTTCATTGGTACCTTTAGTTTTGTTGGTACAATGTAAGTTTCTGTTGCAGGGAGGATTATCCAGAACTGGTTTCTGCTGAAATGAAGATGCCAAAATGTCCAACACCATTGTCTATGTTTTTCGAGGACAGAATAGCAAGGCTTATGGATGTCGACCCTGAGGTAAGTATCTACCTGAATATTTTCCTACACCTCTACATTAGATGCACTGGCGGGGCCTAGTGGTTAAAGCGTTGGCTCGTCACGCCAAAGACCCGGGTTCAATTCCCCACATGGGTACAATGTGTGAAGCCCATTTCTGGTGTCCCCCGCTGTGATATTGCTGGAATATTGTTAAAAGTGGCGTAAAACCACACTCACTCACTCACTAGATGCACTGACAAAGGAATGCCTTCAGTGAAACATTTGGAAACAAGACAAAAAATTCCTCCACGGACATCTGATATATTATGGTGGCTGTAGTGAGACAGAATGTTCTCACAAGGCAGTCTGAGTCAATGTACAAGTATTGGTAAGTCATGTATATTTTTAAACTTATCCTATCTCACGGTATGCACTTCTCTCTCTTGCTTCGACACTGAGTGGAACGATGTAAACTTTTCTCCCAAGGCCTCTCTTGTCCATTCGTCCATGCACTGCATGCTTCCCAGCCGTCAACCAATTCACTGTCTTCCTTCCAGCACGAGCCCTTTGTCATCGATGTCATCCTGTTGGGTGGCTGTTGAGCTTTCTGCCACCACCAGGCTACTTCCCTTCAGCTAGGATCACATCCGTCGAAGCCGTTCTTGATCCCGTCGTCATTCTTCTTCAAACAGTGGAAGGAATCGCACTAGTTCGCCGTATTCGTTGCAGGACCTTTGTGACATCCCTTCAGTCGTTTCGCCGACTGCTTCCCATTCTGCGAATAGGATGCTGTCTCCTGTGATCCAATGTGTTGTTTATCTGTTTCGCCGAAATCAACACATTCTTCGACCCACAGTTCACCGGATCGCATTTGCCCGACCGCACCTCTCCAGTCCGTCATTCCGCTGAACAGGCTTTCTATGAAACGGCATTCGCCGAACCAGCAATCCACAATTCAACATTCACCGAAACGGCATTCCACGAATCACGTTCACAAAAACGGCATCCCACGAATGGGCTGTTTACGAACGCTTTTCGCTAGATCGTACATCTCTTGGTGATTCGCCGAACTCAGTTGGCTCGCCTAGTGTTTCTTCTTCGATGAGGAAACATGGTTCACCCAACCGTTTGGATCAACGGCCTACCAATATTCGGATTTTCTCGCCAAAACGACCTGCTAAATCTCGTTTCGCCCACATCTATAAGATCTGTTTTACGGCGAATCCCCAGTGTTGTCTCGTACAACTACCAACACGGAAGATTCCCAGCCTACTGGTTCATCAGAGATTACCCTCCTTATGTCAGGGATGTCTGCCAGAAACTTAACCCAACGCATTCACCTCGTCGAACTTAACAACGCCATTGACCTGCTTTGTCAGATCGTTCTGTTTTCCTGTCATGGTTCGCTGAACTTATCCAAGTATCGTCACCGAACCGTTCTGGCAGGCTGGTTCGCCACGACATCACCGAACTGGGTTTTTTTTCAGCAAGGAATGGCTCATCTCGTTCGTCCGAACCACAACATCCCCGTACTTGTTTGGCAGACCGATCTGAACCTAATTACCGAACTAGTTCGTCAGGCCAATCGATTCACCACACCAGAACCAGATCAAATTGCCGTTCCAGATCTTACCTCGCTGAGCCAGATCACCGAACCGATCCAAATCACCAAACCGTACCAGATCGCAGATACAACAGCATTCGCCGATCTGACAGTGTTCGCCGAACCATCAATATTCACCAAATTGCCAGCATTCGCCGAACCATCCGTTCCTTGGATCTTGCTTTCCAGCTATACTGATCCACTGAATCAGTTCGATTCTGTGATTATATTCTGTCGTGTGATGTTACTTCCAACACTGCGTTTCTTCAGAAGGCACCTTGAGGTTCGGCGAATCAGTACCTACGCAGACGTTCAGACAACAGCCGCCTTTGAGATATAGCAATAATGTTGGTTCATTCGACACGCATGATCACTTGGTTCACCACCTACAGCTATCCAGTTAAAAAATCATACTCACTCACTCACTCATCTACAACTATCTTGAGTGAGATACCAGATGATCTACTTACTACATTCAATTTGAAGGCTCGGAACTTGTCAACACTGGTTTATTACATCCTCATCGAGGATCATCAGCTTGCATCTAGATACGGCCAATTATCCCAGCTATGAATTAAACTCTACCAGTTTTCAACACGATGTTAATATTCAGGGTATTTGTGATACGCTGAATTCCTCATCATGGAGTGGCATTTTATTATCATGAGAATCTGACCTTGGTTCTCCGGATTACCCTACGGCAGTAGGCAGTAGAAGTTTTTAGTCACATGACTTATCCCACCTGGTACCCCTTTTCAACCTGTTGAACGGAGGTAGTAGCTATGTCAGCAGCGCACACATTTATATTACGTCGGCACTTGACGTTCTGACGATCCCGGATCTCCAAGACTTCTACATGACAAGAGCTCATATCGTTCCAGATTTAATCTACCATCCGATCTTCACCGTGATGAATGATTTGGTTTAGGAATCTACCCTCCGGCGTAGATATCAGCTCTCCAACCACTTGTTTGTGCATTACCAGACAACCTTGCTATCCATGAGTATTGTATGACGCTTCTCATTTTATGAGTCCTGTTACTACAGACAACTCGTAACAGCATCATGATGTATCTCGGGGTGCAATCATGTCCTGGTTCGTCATCTTCATCACCCGTCCTTTTACATCACCAGCAAGCTTCTGAACAGATGGATCAAGTTTCTGCGCATGGTACCAACAGTGATGTCTTGTCAAGTAGCGAGCATCCCTTTGCCATTTTTTTATGGGTTGTGACTTTCCCAGTTAACCGAAGACCATGTTGTCCGGACTTTTGTCTTTGTTGCATTGTGGGTAACAATTGCAAATGGTGGACTACTGTTTGTTTACCGGAGAATTGTGATGTTTAGAGTGACTATGAAGTGCACTGACAGAATTGTCTTGGTCCCACACAACGGAAAACAACCCCAGCCTTTAATTGCCAGTGACGATGAACGGTGCCATTCCCAGTAAGAGTGATTATGTTGGGATTCGTCAGCCAGCCGAGAGAGACACCTTACCGAGGGTGTTAGAAACGTGCCAGAACACTTCAACTTTGGCAAGGGTTACTCGGTTTCTCTTCTTTACTCCAAACCCTCAGTTCAGAGGTCACTGCAGTCCCCAGGCACTTGTTTACTGCCTTCGTCTTCCCAACGAATGTTCCTGGGGTCGCCGGTCTTCTTTTACCTTCGTCATTCCGTCAACTTTGCGAATGTTCGGTAGATTCACGATCCCCATGCATCTAGTCTACAACATTTATCACTCCATCCTGCAGACCAACACTTCATTTCCAGGGCGGTGGTGTCTTGTACCACTTTATCCTTCTGGATGAGGGCCACCATTTTACAGGCTTATGCCTTCTCTGGATTACTGCCCTCGACATCTTCCAGTCTGCATGAGACACAGGCGTTAGCTTCTACTATGCCTCTGCACAGTAACTGCTCTCTCCACGCCATCATGGAATGGTGCTATTGGCAGTCTGACTCGGTCTTCTCCTCCCACTACTTGCGAGATATTTCGGTCAAGGACGTCCAAAGCCTGTACCAGTTTGGACCCATTGTTTTGGCACAACAGCTATCCACAGCCCAACAACGCAGATGAGGAACGGTACCACGCGGTTGCTGCTTCCCCGTATTTTCCTGAATATAAGTCTGAACTTGATGTCTGCCTTATGTTCTTATTGCTTATGGGTTAGAACTACTAATAATGCTATTCTGAACATATTAAGAAAGACATCGCTACCTATCACGTAAATCATGGAACGAGTATTGGACATATCGCGTGCTAGGTTATGGCCTCCATGACAAAAAATGCTTCACGCATATATTTTCACACATTAAGCATCGCGTGTGAAAGCGAGATGTAACTTGTCAGTGACTTGACTTACATTGCATGATCGCCAAAAAGAATGGAAATAGTAATTTTATATGTACGCTGACAACTTTTATGAATGTTATTGTTGATTTCCACTTTATTTAATGATTTCCTCGATGTTTGAAACATCGTTACTTTGCTCTTTGACAATGCTATTGTAGACCCGCTGCGGAAGCATAAACAAGAATCGTTGTTTGCAATAACATTTGCGCGCAAAAATAGTTTATAATTTTTAATTCTGCCGATAATATATGATCAGTTGAAATTCTAATAAAGAGATTTCAGACATTTTTATTTGATTTAAACAACATGAATGTGCATTCAGACACTGTACTTCACTTGGTCTTATGCTAAGACATGGAGATACTACCACCTCGGTGGTTGGATGAATCTGGGGCACAATGCTGTATCACGATGTGGATATTATTCCAGTTCCAGTGGTTTTCGTTGCATTCCAGCTCCGAAGTTGCCAGGCTCATCCTTTGACTAAGCTTATGTAAAGGAGTGAGGGTCAATTTGATGTTGACTGGAACTGAACTTTAAGACTGTGAGCTTTTTGAGTTGTGCTTCTCTTTTACCCGCCACTGGTCGGTGTGTGTGGGGGTCTTCTCAAAGAAGGGGCTGGCCCGATTGTTGTCTATGACTTTAATTTACAGGGGTACCTTGAAAATCGTGGACAAAGTGAGGCCTAACTCGCTGAGATGCGTCCTTCTGTTCTTCGGAGCTTGCTGCCAAACACTACATCACTCGGGAGCTCCCATCTCCCTGGGAGATGTTGTGCTTAGTAAGCCAAGGAGTTCAGGAGAACTCAGGAGCATAGGAGTTAGCTAGTCATAACAGGCCTCCCTTCTACGGTTGTTACAAGTCTACACAGTTTCTGCTGTTTGCACTGTCAAGACATAGGGCATCTGCGTCCCTGCCGTGCACACCGTGAGATAGGATAAGTTTAAAAATTTGAAAATTTTAACTATAAATTGTATATCTATATACCTATTCTATCTCAAGCGATGGATTCCCGCACAACCTCCCCGCTATGCAGATTATCCAAGACCAAGATTATCCAAGTGGCTCCAAGAATGAGAATGATGATTCAAAGGTCGTCACTTGGGTAGATAGTGGGGCGTGCTGCATGCTGTGGTTGACGGCTGGGAAGCTGTCTTATAAGGAGGGCAGCATGTAGTGCATGGGCCAATGGACAAGAGAGGCCTTGGGAGAAAAGTTTACATCGTTCCACTCAGTGTTGAAGCAAGAGAGAGAAGTGCATACCATGAGATAGGATAAGTATATAGATATACAATTTATAGTTAAAATTTTCAATAATACATTATGTTAAGTTATTGTAAAGATGATATATATGATATGGATATGGATATAGACTTTATGACACTATTTTCTGATTGTATGAGGTCTCATTTTCATAAGTGACTGAAATTTAGTAAAATATTTTAGCTGCCTTTGTGCTATCGCTCACATATTTTGATGAACATTATTGAAAGAATATACAATGAATACTTTGTTTAACCAGCATGTGTAATATCAGGATTATGTGATTACTGTGATCACATGATTACGGTCCTTTTTTGATGTTGAATGCCACATGATAAATTGCAAAACAAAACATTGTCAAGCATGGTTGTTTCCAGTATGTTAGACATAATGGTGTGCATTCGGCCCTGTTCGAAATTGAAATGACTTACTGACTGACTGAGTATGGTTTTATGCCGCGTTTAGCACTTTTCCAGCAATATCACGGCAGGGGACACCAGAAATGGGCTTCACACATTGTAACTATGTGGGGATTTGAACCCGAGACTTCGGCGTGACGAGCGAACGCTTTAACCACTAGGCTACCCCACCGCCCCGAAATTAAAATGAACTGTCCACTTCTGGAAAACTGTTTTTCCAGATAAATGAAGGATTTTCTGTAGTATGTATTCACAGAAATATCCGCTGGGCCAGAGGACCAGATATCTGTGATGTGTATAAACAGGAGTCCACTGTAGATTGAGGAGTTGTAGATAAACAGCTGGAATACAGTGTTTACTAGGAGTGATGATGGATGTGTGTTGCAGCTGAAACACAAGGAGGCCAGTGATACAGCAATGAGGAAATGGAAAAAGTTGAAGGAGAAGAAGTATTTGAAGTGGATCAGACGAGCAGTGAAAGCATTTGAAGAAGACTATAAGGTGGATATATATCTCTCACTCACTTGTACAATGACATATGCCACCGTTTCAAACAATAAACACACTTGTACAATGATATATGCCACCGTGTCAAACAATAAACACACTTGTACAATGATATATGCCACTGTGTCAAACAATAAACACACTTGTACAATGATATATGCCACTGTGTCAAACAATAAACACACTTGTACAATGATAAATTACACCGTGTCAAACAATAAACACACTTGTACAATGATATATGCCACCGTGTCAAACAATAAACACACTTGTACAATGATATATGCCACCGTGTCAAACAATAAACACACTTGTACAATGATATATGCCACCGTGTCAAACAATAAACACACTTGTACAATGATATATGCCACCGTGTCAAACAATAAACACACTTGTACAATGATATATTACACCGTGTCAAACAATCAAACAATCAAACAATAAACACACTTGTACAATGATAAATTACACCGTGTCAAACAATAAACACACTTGTACAATGATAAATTACACCGTGTCAAACAATAAACACACTTGTACAATGATAAATTACACTGTGTCAAACAATAAACACACTTGTACAATGATAAATTACACCGTGTCAAACAATAAGCACACTTGTACAATGATAAATAAACGTCAAACAATAAACACACTTGTACAATGATAAATGCCACACCAATAAATATGCACACCGTGTCAAACAATAAAACACACTTGTACAATGATAAATAATACACACACTTGTACAATGATAAGTTAACCGTGTCAAAACAATAAACACCTGTGTCAAACAATAAAACACACTTGTACAATGATAAATTACACCGTGTCAAACAATAAACACACTTACTTGAACAATCATTTATGCCACTCAGCCCCAATGTATGCCGGGGTCAAACCAGAGGATACACCCAGAGTTTGTCCCAAAGTCGACCTGTCTGAAGAAGTCAGAGCAGAACTTGTTTGAAATTGCCGAGGGGAAACCGATTAAACCGCCACAGTAAGTAGAAAGTATATAGTTTCAATTGCATGTGAGTTCTTTGTTTGTACTATACATATTCTGCAGAAGAAATGAGCCTTCCCACGATTATACTTGCCTTTCCAGTGAAAAAGAGAGAGAGAGAGAGGGAAAAAAAAGAGAGCCTCAACTAAACATGAACAGGACCGTCTCAAATTTTCCGAATCGTACGCGCTGTGCATCGAGTTTACGAAACTCATCGATAGGTATTGCATTTAGGCAATATTGAAATGTACATGCAGTGGTTCGAGTTTGCATAACTCTGCACATCGATAGGTGTCGCTGTTTTAGTGATAATATATGTCAATGCAGTGCTTTGATCTTGCGATGCAATAGTTCAGTGTTTAAACAGTAATTGTAAAGTCTAAATGTAATGCTCAATTTGAAAAATAGATTTTAAGATACAGTGAATTTACTCAGATGTATGGGACATATTTTTAAAACTTTTACCATGCAATCGGGCTGGCTAGCTGTAAATGTTGTCCGTCCGGCATAAATCTAGCAGTCGGGCGGTCGTATGGGCCATATTTCATATGCTGATAACAACTAATTTTTATCCCCCGCAACGCGTTTTGCGGGGGGTATTTAAATGGACTCCGTCCGTGCGTGCGTCCGTCCGTGCACATTTGTCTTTTCGGAGCAGAACTCTAAAACCGTTCACTATTTCTTCACCAAACTTGGCACATAGATAGATCTAGTGGTGTACTGGTGCCTTTTGGTAGTTTTGGAATTCTGAATAAAATATTTTTGGTGTTTCCATGGCAACAAGTTCAACTTAGAATGAAATTAGTGGTAGTGCTCTTTTCCGGAGCAGAACTCTAAAACCGTTCACTATTTCTTCACCAAACTTGGCACATAGATAGATCTGGTGGTGTACTGGTGCCTTTTGATAGTTTTGGAATTCTGAATAAAATATTTTTGGCGTTTCCATGGCAACAAGTTTGACTTAGACTGAAATTAGTGGTAGTTCTCTTTTCCAGAGCAGAACTCTAAAACGGTTCAAAATTTCTTCACCAAACTTGGCACATAGATAGATCTGGTGGTGTACTGGTGCCTTTTGGTAGTTTTGGAATTCTGAATAAAATATTTTTGGCTTTTCCATGGCAACAAGTTTGACTTAGCCTGAAATTGGTGGTAGTGCTCTTTTCCGGAGCAGAACTCTAAAACCGTTCACTATTTCTTCACCAAACTTGGCACATAGATTGGTCTGGTGGTGTACTGGTGCCTTTTGGTAGTTTTGGAATTCTGAATAAAATATTTTTGGCATTTCCATGGCAACAAGTTTGACTTAAACAGAAATTAGTGGTAGTGCTCTTTTCCGGAGCAGAACTCTAAAACCGTTCAATATTTCTTCACCAAACTTGGCACATACATTGATCTGGTGGTGTACTGGTGCCTTTTGGTAGTTTTGGATTTCTGAATAAAATATTTTTGGCATTTCCATGGCAACAAGTTTGACATAGACTGAAATTGGTGATAGTGCTCCTTTCTGAGCAGAACTTTTAAAACCTTTCACTACTCTCCTTCCACTTTTCTATATACACCTAAATATTTGACATAATCATAACTCGTAGACATAATCATACACGGGGATATGAATGACTTTGTCTTCTTGTACATATATATCTTCCATATAAAACATCACTGCATTTTTCATAAGAGTATTTTGTGAAACTAAGTAGGAAAACACTGATGACAATAATGAACTGCCCTTCACACCAGCTCTGGTACTCTCCTTCACACTAGCTTTAGCACTCTCTTCACACCAGCTTTAGCACTGTCCTTCACACCAGCTTTAGCACTCTCCTTCACACCAGCTTTAGCACTGTCCTTCACACCAGCTTTAGCACTGTCCTTCACACCAGCTTTAGCACTGTCCTTAACACCAGCTTTAGCACTGTCCTTCACACCAGCTTTAGCACTGTCCTTCACACTAGCTTTAGCACCGCTCTTCACACCAGTTTTGCCATGCTCCGCCGTTCACACCAGCTCAAGCACTGTCCTTCACACCAGCTCTGCCATGCACCGCCCTTGTGTTTTAGCATCAGCTATTTTGCATCAGTTGATTTACGTATATTCCCACCATAAATCAGGAAATAATATAGATGTCACACATCAGCGAGAGGCTAACATCTGTCAGCCAATTCATAAAGGTTTACTAGCACTTAGGTTGAATTGAAATAGAGTGTTGTGTTTTGTAGAAGTGGACTGGGAGCATACCAGAAAACTCGTTGGGCAGAGCTGAGAGACAGTGGGAAGAGCTTCAGTCATAATGGAAGGAAAATAATCTGTGAATGGAAACAGATGAGCCCCGAGGAGAAGGATGTCTATAACAAAGAGGTCAAACAGGTATGATCAAGTCTGTGATACAGATAAATGATGATGGTTATTCCATTTCTATGATATTTTCTATCACTCTATTTCTTTATGAGATAACATTAGCCCAGTGTGTCATGTGTGACCAGAGGCGTGTTCAACAGAACAATTACCCGCGAGTATTCGCGAATATCCTCTGCGAAAACGAAGTCTCGCGTACCCGCTAATACACATATGACCACTTTAGAGCAGTCACGCCTAGCGAGGCAAGATGGTGTCCCGTTTTGTAAATTTTTAACCTGTCCAGCTGCAAATGGAAGATAATTAATTCCAAGATGTTCACCATTATGCTGCTACCCAGCGCTAGTGGTGGGAATTGGTTGTGTTTTTATAATTGTTCATCAGTTACAATCGGATTGGCCCAACCGATCAATCATTGATTAATAATCGGTTAAATTAAATCACAAGAATACCCTCTAAATAGTAAATAATTTTTTCTTATCCTGACTCAGGATCTTTTGCTTATCTCCCTTTCCCTTGCGAATGGTAGTGGAAACACTTGAATCCCTTGAAGTTCCCGAAGCGGACGTAAAAATACACTCACGGTTGGGCAAGCACTGGCGTCCCTTATACGGCATTATATCCTTTTTATTAAGGTCCTATTCTTCAAAATTACGCTGTGTATGGATTTGGCAATAACTACTATATGTATTATATGTAAACATTTTGTAAATTTTCTTTGTATTTGTGTCATAATTTCATCATTATGTAACTTACATGAAATCTTGTACTGTTTGCAGGCACAGGTTATCCGTTGCTGATCCTCACCCCCAATGCCCTTCGTGCATTAAACCATGTTCTTCCAGCTTGTGCTGTACTTATTGTGTTGATTTATCAAATCTTCAAGTCACGGCTGATAAAACAGATCAGCCTGCAAACCGTATGTATGTTGCTTGCCCACTGCTGAAATTCATGATACTGGTGCTATGTTGAGTACGTTGCAGGGGCAGTCTGCTGGTACGGGTACCAAGAAGAGATCGACTACAATGCAGTTGACTCCAACTCAAGCTAAGAAAAAGACGTCGTCTTCTTCTACGTCGCAGAAGAAAGCATCTGTTACCAGATCAGAGGGTAAATCTACGAGGTCTAGTAAGTCAGCGCATCAGAAATCTTTCAACGCAGAGATATACCTCCGCATGAAGTAGACGTTTTTTGATGATCCCTAGTTACTTCTACCCGAAGTACCTACGAGATCGGCGACTCAATCGATTTCCACAACTACTAGATCGTCTCCTGCAATGGTCACAGCAGGCCAGCTGTTTGACGAACTACCACCAACTTCTCAACGGAGTGAAGTCGCGGCACACAACTCATCAGCGTTCGCGAACGCTTCTTCTACACCGCAGCAGCTTCAGTCAACGCAGAACTTGATCCGGGTGAAATTATGAGACAGTTCACCAACCAGATGATTGCCATGATGGAACGTAGGTTCGAGGAAGAAGCGAAGGCTCGTCGAAGCCTCTCATGTACTTACATCGTGCGCAAACCTACGGATCTGCACGAACCCATGGACCTGCGCGAACCTACTCCTCATAGAACTACGTTGACCTTTGCGAAGGTCTCCACAGTCGGACGACTCTATCATCTTGGAGGAGGATAGAAGACATGAGATGCCTACTCACCGTTCTACATATGCGAACCCACAACGTTTGAGAACATCGAAGGATCCATCTCCTACACCTAGCTGTTCTAGATCGAGATCTCATATCTCTCACAGATGTTCGCGAAGTCACTCATCACGAGACAGAGGTTCGCAAAGAGAAAGCTCATGTCACAGAGGTTCGCGAAGAGATGAATCTACAGATAGAGGTTCGCGAAGAGAGGACTCTCAAGACAGATGTTCGTGAAGGGAGGAATCTTCAGTTTGCGAAAGGTTGATGGATGTTCGAGAAGGGATACAGGTTCGCTGAAGGATGATTCGCGGAGGCATAGCTCTACCAATCAGGAGATAACTGATAAATAACCAGACTTCGTCTTCCCGGAATCAGAGGTTACAGCTTGGATAGCCAATGGTTTGAACTTGGAGTCTCCTTCTAGGGACAGATGAAGTCTACACTTATAAAATGCGTAATGACGACTTTGACTCGGTGACTATTCCTCTGATTGAACCTATATCCAAGGTACCTTCTAACCTATGCACAGTTTTGAGAAATCTGCAGACATCTACAAGGTTCGAGAACTCTCAGATCTACAGGCAGATAACAGCAACGCAGACATCTACAGGGTTCGCGAACCCTAGGGTTAACAAACCCTTACATCAACAGGCAGGATGTTGACGGCGACTCAACAAAATAAGATGTACAACATGTGCGATCTCTACAGTTTACAGCCTGCACAACTCTATAACCTGCACAAACCTTATACTTGTATAGGTTCAGTTTCGGATGACAACCTACGGATGCTGAGGTCTTATACCGGGCAGCAGATGGCCTGCGGTTATTGTAATTCACTCACTCACTCCAACCCAACAGAGACATACTGCATAAACGCTGATGATTTTGACTCCAATGTGATATCACCTATGAAGCCGATATCTTAAGTACTGGAGAACCTCAAGGCGACCTTTGTAAAGGGCTTAAGGTTAACAACGCCTTCAAGAAACCTTGAACGGACGTACAGATGATATTATTAACACTCAGCGTGGGGATTAGGATTTTATATCCTGTCAACTAGATTCAACATCGGTATTTCTTCAAGATCCATACAGACATACGTCTCGACAGCCTCCTTCGTCATGCTGGTTTATATTATCCACAATGGGAATACATGATTTATATCACTGAACAAGATTTTACACTTCGAGCAACCCCTATTCAAGAGGTTTATATGAGCGGCGTAGAATTACACGCGCTTTTACACCAACTAATTGCACCAGATTTTATGGAGGCCAACTTGCTACAACACCGGTGACATCATGCTTGAAGCTGATTGGTCCATGTCAGACAACGCCTCCCACTGTCAGAGCAGGCACAAGCAAGTTTACTGACTTGTAAACAAAACCGTGATATGGGGGAATACTTCATCGGCAGCCTTGGAAACAGTATACAACTACGGCCTCTTGTCATGGGAATCTAATAGATGTCTAGCCTTGACAGCAGCATAAACAATGTTTATTTTGGAAGTTGTCGCTGATAAAAGTAGGTATGAGTACCTGTCCCCGGCGATGCTACACTGGAGCCAGCCTTGCTATAAACAGACAACGCTTCGATGTATGCTGATCAACACAGATCGCCTGCGTATATAAGGGGAAGAATGATGTATCACTCAACAGAGGTTAGCACTTCCAAACCAAGCGCTATCGGCACCTATGATTATTCATGCAGCATCAGCACCTATCTGCAGCATCGTACACTGACGTGCCGGGTTATCTGGACGACGGCATACAGGTTTTTCAAAGTGCCAATCAACTCAGACAGCAGCTGAACTTCACAATTAAGTTGCTCACGCAACTAGGATGGCTAGTGAACCTGATGAAGTTGGAGTTAGAATCAAACAAGATCTTCAATTGCTGGGAATAAGAATGATGACAACACAGAATCGAATTGTGGTCCCAGAAGATCATTTGGCCATGATTCCACAAGCAGTCATCTCTCCGTTAACACTACGAACATGGCAATGTTTACTCGAGCTACTAACCTCGGCGCAGGACTTGACTCACACAGGAAGGTTACAACCAATCCCGCTGCAACGGTTCCTGACAAAACATCTGGACAGCGTCGACCCTATCTTGCTGCCAGACAATCTTAAGAGGTACCTACTGTCCACACAGACAACTCTTCAGTGGCATTCTCCATAAATCGGCAAGGATCTACCAGATCACCAAGCCTACTACAGCTCACATTCCAGTTGTTTGACATCACGGAGGAGGCAAACATCTGGATAAAGGCGTTTTACATACCCGGAGCAAAGAACGTGCTTGCAGACGCTCTCTCCCGACCACTGCACCCATCACCTACGGAATGGATGCTCCATCCAGAAGCATTTCAGCTCATCATAAGGGAAATAGGATCCCCATGCATTGACCTGTTTGCCACGAGGTTCAACAAACAACTACAGACGTTTGTTTCACCAGTTTCAGATCCTCAAGCCTTGGCAACAGATGCACTGAACATATCATGGGAAGGACTAAACGCTTATGCGTTTCCACCACTGATATTACTACCAAAAGTACTGTTGAAGATCAAACAGACGCAGGCGCTACAACTGACTTTGGTCGCGCCATACTGGCCAGTGAGAGTATGGTTCCTAGACCTAATAGAAGATCTCGGAAGTCCAACAATCAAGTTACCAGATTGGCCGAACCTACTCATACATCCGCACACCAAGCAAGTCCACGGGAACCCAACACTGTTCCAGCTACACGTGTGGACCATATCAAAACATGTTTGAAGAAAAGAGGATACTCCACCAGGGCAGCCAAGGCAGTAATGCTAGCGTTACACAGATCTACTCGTAACCTGTATGATGACAAGTGGCTGAAGTTTGAGACTTATGCAAGGCGGAAAGGCTTCATTGCTATGAAAGCTACTCATCCTCAAGTGGCGGAATACCTGTGTCATCTTAGACAGACTAGACATCTGAAGGTTCGACATTATCTACATACCTCGCTGCCATCAGTACAGTGATTGCCATGAAAACAGGCATCAAGTTGACGAAAGTACCAGAATTACTTGCTCTGCTGAGATCTTTTAAACTGGAGGACCAGCAAAAGAAGTTCAGAGCTCCGGCCTGGGATCTGAATGTAATTCTACGTCATCTTACAAGTGATGCCTACGAACCTTTAGACCAGACTACCTTCGAGTTGCTGACACAGAAGACTCTGTTCCTGCTTGCGCTAGCCACGGCAGCTCGAATATCAGAGATACATGCTGGACTTTGGTCGAAACCAGATTCGACACGGGGCAACATGTTGCAGTTCATCTAGGACTTAGATGGGACTTCATTGCCAGAACTAACTACCTAGTCAGCCAGATAGACAGTTCCACGTACCAGCGCTATCTACAATCCTCGGACCAGAGGATATAGAGGACCTATCTTTGTGTCCGGTCAGAACCCTGAAGATGTACAAGGAGACGAAAATTCAAGCGCCTGTTCATCCCATTATCCACAGAGACATCAGCAGAAGTCTCAAGAATGACCATATTGTTCTGGATGAGAGCCGTCATATTGAGAGCCTATAAAGCAGGAGGACTAGAACCTCCTAGAGCTTCCAACCCACACGAAAGTCAGAGCACTGGCGTCAACATTGGCTCTGCACGGAAATTGCTCTATATCAGCAATTATGGAGGGCTGCTTTTGGAAGTCAGGATACAGTGTTTGCCAACCACTACCTCCGAGACATAGCCACTGAAGACGTCTCAGGCATTCACCAATTTGGGCCTCTCGTTGCAGCACAGCAACTAACGGTTCCTTAAAGGCGCTGAGTTGGAAAATCTCACCCTTTATCACGTTGACTTGTTGATAACTTTTACTAAGGTAAAGTATTAGTTTAGTCTAAGACAGGCTTGCATGAGTGATTAAAGATCCTGTATGGGTAAAGATCTTACCTGTACGTGAAGGGTCCGCAACTCATTTATGATAAAGATCTTATCATAATCTATGGGTTGTTATAAGATATCTAGTAATAAGAAGATACTAGTTTATCTGAAGCCACATGAATCAAGGTGATTCAACTTGTCTGAGATGGAAGTAAGACAAGAAAGTGGTCCCCCCTGAGTTATAACGGAAGTTGGAAGAATAGGATCTCGGAAATGCCGTTTCGCAGTTCCCATGGGGGGGATACAAGACGTATCTAAGGACAGATGATGAATCCAGGAAGTGGCTTGACCCACCACCAATCTGTCGGATTTTATAAGCAAAAGATCATGAGTCAGGATAAGAAAACATATGTAATTTTTCCAGTAAAATTGATATTTTTATACTTATCCTGACTCATGACGAGAAGCCCTCCCAACCTCCCTGCTGGAAACACTGAGGATTTCACAGCAGATCCAAGTGCTTTGACAGAAAAATCAGGAGAGAGTGACAAGAAAGGCTGGTCACATGACTGTTTACGTGGGCGCAGGAAAGGGCAAAAGGGAGGTAACTCGTGGGTGAGTGTATTTTTAAGTCCGCTTCGGGAACTTCAAGGGATTCAAGTGTTCCACTACCATTCGCAAGGGAAAGGGAGATAAGCAAAAGATCATGAGTCAGGATAAGTATAAAAATATCAATTTTACTTGAAAAATTACATTATTACTCAAGGTCATGTGTTTGTTATTGTCTCAGACTTCTGAAGGTAAGCAAGTACAGTTCAGAGACAGATGGTTGAACATGTAGAAGTACACAAAAGAAAAGAATTTTTTGTTCTTTTATGGTTTATTATTTACCATCAACAGCATCAATTACCAACCATTCAACAAACACCAGATCTTGTCAGATGTCATAAAAACACTACATGACTAAAATGCGCCTTGAAGTGTAGTTGACAGAAAATGGATGACGAGGCGGTAATCAGTTTGTGATTATTGAGAATTGGTGCTGTCACGGTTGGAGCGAAAAGCGTACCCTCATGAACATGGTAAGCGGAAGTTGTATGCGCATGGAATGAGGTGAAATACACATGACAGTTTGTTGTGATCACAAGCTCCAATAAATATTACATTTAGCAAAACAATATATGTGTATGTATCCACTTTCTGTCAACTACACTTCATTTCGAGGCTTGAGTAGACACAATATGATTGTGATTTCTGTGAATAATGCGGATAGAAGTTATAATTATCGGTAACTGCCAGTTGTCTTGTGGTCTGAGTTGGGTATTCATTACTGTTTTCGTAAAAATTATTACCGACAATTGATTATGAAATTTTGCAATCGATTGTCGCGTCTGGAAAGGGTAACCAATCAATTTTTTATTATAATCGATCATCGGAACACCACTACCCAGCGCCCACAGGAGATGCCTTACTGGTGAGGTTTTAGGTCGTGAAAGGTTTTCGTAATATTTGCCGTCCAGTACTGCTTAGGATATATATTAGTCAGTGGACAGAAGTGTTTGCCTGCAGAAGTGTTTTCCCATACACAAAAGTATTTGTGATTGGACGTAATGTCCGTACACTTGCTTATCAATTTGGTGTTGGTGAAATAATTGTCATTTAGTTCATTTTTGCAGGATGAGTTTGAAATTTTACAGTTAATTAGAAAGTCATCTCAGGCACACGAACACAATTTTCACAGATTTGTCTGTTCAACATTACCCACGTGGAAGCTCTATGTTCGTGCTAAAATGATTCCTCACACTGGTACCAAATTTTACAAAGGTTTATCTTAAAGTAACTGTTTTTAAATCATTTTACCTACACCAATTGAAATTCACTGACGGGTGTAGGCCTAACTTAAGTAGACCTCCAGATTTTGAAATTCAAATTCAATGAATCGTAACAAATTGAATATTTCTGGTAGCGAAAAAGACATTTGTGCATTTCATTTTTCGACGCCATCTTGGAAACTACTAGCCAGCCAATGCCCCGTTCAGCAGCCGTTCGCGTGTACATGTTGAACATGCCTCTGGCTGCACCATCTTGTCCCAATAGCATTCATCTGTGTGCATGTTATCAACCACCGGTTTGATTTACCCAGTTTTGATTATTGTCACTGTGAGAATACATTTAATGAAAACTTTAAGAAAATCGTCACGTTTGATGACCTGTCTTTGGGTCCACTTTGTAATGACCTGTCTCTGTCACCCCTGTGTGATGACCTGTCTCTGGGTCCACTGTGTAATGGCCTGTCTCTGTCACCCACTGTGTAATGGCCTGTCTCTGGGTCCACTGTGTAATGGCCTGTCTCTGGGTCCACTGTGTAATGACCTGTCTCTGGGTCCACTGTGTAATGGCCTGTCTCTGGGTCCACTGTGTAATGGCCTGTCTCTGGGTCCACTGTGTAATGGCCTGTCTCTGGGTCCACTGTGTAATGGCCTGTCTCTGGGTCCACTGTGTAATGACCTGTCTCCTGGTCCCACTGTGTAATGGCCTGTCTCTGGCTCCCTCTGTGTCTCTGGCTCCACTGTGTAATGACCTGTCTCTGTCTCCACTGTGTAATGGCCTGTCTCTGGCTCCACTGTGTAATGGCCTGTCTCTGGCTCCACTGTGTAATGGCCTGTCTCTGTCCTCTGACCTGTCTCTGGCTCTGTGTAATGGCCTGTCTCTGGCTCCACTGACGGTAATGCTGTCTCTACAGTAATGGCCTTGGCTCCACCTGTGTAATGGCCTAATGCTGCTCCAGAAGGGTAATGGCTGCTGCTCCACTGTCTCTGTAATATCTTCAGGTCTGTGTGGCTTCAAGATGATAACTAGCAGAACAAAGTGTCTCTGGCTCCACGCTCAGTGTGATTGCTGCAGTCTAATGAGTCCAGTGGATGTAACTTTATATTCGGCCTGTAATGTCTAGTTTCACTGTTAGGGGTAGTCTTGTCATGCTTGTTCAGGAACCCCTGATTAATGAGTTCAGTTTTCTCACTTTTAGCAAAACTGTGTAAGAACAGGGGACACTAGAAATGGGCACATTGTGTAATGACCTGTCGGTTTTGGCCTGTCACCCCTGTTTAGCTTCTCATGATGATGTAAAAGTCTAGCTCATGGTGCACTGATGTAATGAGATGATCAGAATAGAGAACAAGTACAGTATCTTTTTCCCCTTAGAGATTTTGTAATTGGCCTGTAATCATGGACTAATCCACTGTCCAAACAAACCTTGGTGCTGTCTCTTTCACCCCCCATAAAGCGAACCATGCTTAATGACATGACTTGTCTCTGGGTCGAATCGGTCCTTTAGTTTAACAAAGAGTCGCGTTTAGTTCCCCAAATAGTACTTTTCGATACATCATATGAGTTAGTTTAGTTTTCAATTCCACTGCGCAACAAACGTATCTTCCAGATGCTACAGAACAATCAAGTACATAATCATGCGTTAGTGGCTCCAGGACTTCCCATAATTTCAAACACAGATTATATTTGTAGATTACTTAGCTTGACCTGTCTCAACTCATACGAATCAAAGTATCCTGCTTTCTTGTCTTGAATATTGCTCTATTTGTTGTGGTGGTTCCAGACGAGCAGTGACGACGTCAATGGTGATGTTGCTGATGATGTTGATGGTACATCTAGAGTAAAGGACGGCAATGCTAATGGCATTAAGGTTAGTGAATCTGAAGTTGCATCAGTGATACAAAAGTTCAAACATTTAGCCTTGCGGAAATTACAGGTTTAAAGGGAGACATTTGGGACGAGGTAGCATAACCGTATACTACTGTAGATAAGCCGATTGGTCGAGGTCCTAACTCGACCTGTCCCTATGCTGGTGCCTGTTACAGAGGCCCAGATAAGCTACGTATCCGGGTAAAATCCGCATAGAAAATGTCAAATTATGCATTGAAAAATAATTGTTGCGTACCGATTACGCATTTAAAATGTTAGATACGCAAAATGTTTAAAACAAATGCGTACAGAATATATTTATAAAAAATTGCTTGCGTAATGAAAAAGACATTGATTGCTATCAAGTTGTACTGTTAGTATAGGATGAGTGATTTTTTATGACATCATTTCCATTATATTTAAGTTGGTTTTGATTAGGTATGACATAAGGCAGAACATACCTGCTTAGTAAACTTACTCAATGACATAATACTTAGGTGAGTAATATGACTGAAATACATATTTGAAAGCAACGGAAAATGAAATACCCACTCAACATTCAAAATACCCTCTCCAAAACAATACAGTGGGTACAATACCCACATCATTCTCTTCCCACAGAGGTTACTTGTCATATCTTCCTACCAACCTCTGTTCTAATACGGCCATATTTCTTGGTTCTCGTAAAATCCCCTAGCGGCAAAAGATCGCAACACGAATTATCTCCCTTCTTTCTATCCAATCAGAACACGTGTTACATCAACTTAGATTCAACTTGACTAACACAAGCAAATGTGAGGCCGCAAATATTCCCCATGTGCCGGGGAATTGTGTTGATGTTACACACAAGACGTTTAATGGCTACCTTGTCCGTTGTCAACGAGGGCGATGGAGACGCCACTGATCCGCCATAACATGACTGAGTTCTGTCTAGAAGAAACGTTTGCGCATCGCGCAGGGGAAGATGTTTAGTTTTTCTCGAAGCATACGGAAATTACCGAGGCCTTGCTATTGATCACTTTTGAAACAACGTTGCTGATTGCACAACTAAATCTGATTACCTCCAATCACGAGTCTTAAATGCTCACACCATGAAAGGGCCGTATTAGAACAGAGGTTACGTAGGAAGATATGACAGGAGTAACCTCTGTGGGAAGAGAATGTACCCACATGAGCTAAATCTTATCTGGAGCTCTGCTGTTATAGCTTTATTATCCCCTACCAGAAAGTGGGAAGGGGATATACGTCAGGTCATAGGTAGGGAAACCAAATGTGGTATGTGTTTTCAGGACATGAATGCCTTGATGGAGTTCACAAATGGAAACCTTATTACTATTTGTAGCAGAGTTATGGCCCTTATCATGCATTTCTTGACTTAGTGCACGGTATCCCCAATGGAAACAGATTTTCTCAGTAACCGTTATAGATAGGGAAACCAAATGTGGTATGTGTTTTCAGGACATGAATGTCATGGTATAGTTAAAAACCAGGAACAAAATGGAATATTGATGACCATGTCTTCTTGTTTCGAGTTAAATTGCCTTATTTACATGACAGTCACTGACAGTGACTGAGACTGTAAAACGTGGGCCATGTAACACAAAGCCTTATATAGAATGGACTGTTTTGTCAGTCTTATATAAGCTGAAAGTTTGGTTAATTACCGGGACTACAGTTTCTATGAATTCATGCAATGTATCAGAGTATTACTTACACGTGACTAGTCACATGACAAAACAGGTTGAGGTATTTATTCTTCACCTGGGTAGTCAGGTAGCCTCCCCTTGATGTATTGTCAACATGGGCGGATCCAGGAATTTTGAAAAGGGGGGTTCGAACCCTCTGAACCCCCCATTTGGCTCTGCCAACGTAAAAAAATCTTCAATGTGGTCTTAAAGTCATTTTCGGGGTGGGTGGGTTTGGACACACCGCGACGCACTACGCGACGCACGCCTTAGCACACACACACAGAGAGAGAGAGAGGATCCGCCAATGGTCAATCTGGTGTTGTTTCATATTCACAGTTGTCTATGCAGCCGCTGAGGTCAGCTCTGTCCTACTACATTGAGGAGCAGTGCAAGGAACTGATTGGTAATGACTCCGACACCAGTGAGTCCGACCTCACAGTCTCGCTTACCAAGAAGTTCAAGACACTCCCTGAAGAGGACAAGGTACAAAACTGACTGAAGATATATATTTAATATATGATGCTGTAGATAACCCACAGCCTTGAAGTGTTCATGCGTCAGGATACTGGTGTATTCTGACATTGATATACTGTGGTGGTTTTTCTAACCTGACAATTTGCCTTTCAGTTTCATTTCAGGCTTTTGCTCATGTATTTAAAGGTTTGAACAGTGGTTTTTGCTATTTGACTTGCTCTCAAAACATTCAGGGGTCGAACCGTGAAGATTCGGGGTAGAATAGGTCTTCAGCAACCCATTCTTGTCATAAAAGGCGACTATGCTTGTCGTAAAAGGCGACTAACGGGATCGGGCGGTCTGGCTCGCTGACTTCGTTGACACGTGTCATCGGTTCCCAATTGCGCAGATCGATGCTCATGCTGTGGATCACTGGATTGTCTGGTCCAGACTCGATTATTTAGAGACTGCCGCCATATAGCTGGAATATTGCTGAGTGCAGCGTAAAACTAAACTCACTCACTCACTCATTCAGGGGTCACCCCATTTGGATATGATTACAAGATATTCGCACATTACCATTTATGTACAGAATCTTATTCCAAGTTAGTGGTTGACAAAACGGACAAACTTTAATGCAGGTGAACAACTTCTTCTGTGGAACAAATGATATGTTATGCAGTTTGAATGACGTATGATTTATTAACTCATAATTTTGTCAGGGCTTTTTATTATTATAAGCCAAAATGTACTTCAAAGTGGCATGGTGGCCCAGTAGTCTTGGGATCTATTCTGACTTGGTATTTTCCTATTTTCAGGACAAATATCGCAAGATGGCCGAAAACCAGAGGAAACAGACCCTGATGACTAGTTTCATGTGAGTTGGAATTGATAAACATGATTGGTTGACAAACATCTAGAGCAGTGGGGTAGCAGACTGTATATTATGATAAACACCCTAGATCAATTCATTTCCATAGTAGAGTGAGATTTTGAAACATACAGCAGAGAATAGGACTGGGACGATTCACAGATGCATCGGGACATTTAAGTTTGATGCAGCTAACGTATCGTCGACTGGTGTATCGATTTAGAGAAAAATACGCAAGTATGATGGAGTTACTTGTTTGTTTATTACAATAGTGATATTGTTAAACACAAATACCTTGAAATATATCATTTTAAATCTTGATATCATGTAATTCTTTCAAGGTGTATGTATCGTGATACGTATCGTATCGGATCGCAGGTAAAATATCGCGATATGTAACGTATCGTGACATAGTGTATCGTCCCAGCCCTAGCAGAGAATAGTCATTCGATCAAATCATCATGTGTAAGTTGGGAAGAGGGGGTAGCCCAGTGGTTAAAGCATTCGCTCGTCACGTGGAAGGTCCAGGTTCAATCCACACATGGGTGAAATGTGTGAAGCCCATTTCTGTTGTCCACCACTGTGATATTGCCGGACTATTCTGTTTTCGCAGTTGGAAAAAAGGCTCTGTGTTCCTAAAACACATAGCCCTTGGAATTTTGTGTGTGCATGCACGCATCCCGAGCATTTCAGAGCATTTTATCATCATTCGCATGTCAAATTAGTAGAGAAAAACTTTATTTTATTTTGTTGTTTCCTTGGGGAAAATGGTTACCTGTTGTGTTTCACGAACCATCAGTTCACATGTCCACAAGTTGTTATTCAACGAGTTTTACAGTTTTATAAAGAATTTTGGGAGGTGTGGCACACAACGCGTGACTAGAAAAGCTCCGAACAGCGAATAACTAGATAAGGTATGAATCTGTGACATATACGGTTCAGAGGTTTGCATGCCATCTGGCGAGAACACTGTTCATAAACCTGGCGAATTCTTTAACATCACCATGGCAAAACCTATGATGTTGCATTTCAGTATAATGAGAATGAAAGCAGTAATTTAGAAATGTAACTACCCAGAACACAAAATGCAAGTTCTAGTCGATTTTGGTGACCTTCACTTAATTTTCAAGGTCATGGCGACACTTTGATGATTTCAGAAAGTTAACCTGCATGTAAAGATTGTCAGCGAGATATCTCAAGAACCATTCACTGGACTTTCTTTTTTTTTGACACCAAGCTTCATCTAGGGAAGGTGCAAGTTCTAGTCGATTTTGGTGACCTTCACATAATTTTCAAGGTCATGGCAACACTTTGAAGACTTCAGCATGTTAACCTGCATGTAAAGATTGTCAGCGAGATATCTCAAGAACAGTTCACTGGATATTCTTCATAGACTATCAAGACTTCCCTTGTTTTGAATAAGCCATTTCTTTATTACTATTTTTGCATATTTCATACACTAAGACATTCATGTCAAGGTCAAAGTGAGTCTTGAAAATATTTGTGCGTTTGAACAACTACAGAGCAAGATATCAAGATAGGTTGACTGGTCATGTTTTTGTTGACATTTACCTTCATCTTAAATTACGACCTTCACTTTCATTACTTTTTAAGTTTGATTTGATAATTTGCGGCGGGGGATTATGTCACCTTAGTGACAATGCTTGTTTTACCATGTAACTGATTGATCCCGTGATTCCATTTGTTGTTTGTAGTGGGGTACATCATGGATATTGATACCAATGCTGTAGGGCCTGGTTTACGAAGAACTTGTACATGTTGTGTGTGGGTTTCTTAGATATCAAGGCTGTTTGTTTGCTGTTTTCAGATCAGCATCACTCAAATCTAAACCTAAACCACTAAGGTATGTATCTGTATTCCTCTATAGAAGATCCATGAAGTATGTTGTGACTTGTTGGCATCATAAACCTCTTATACAAGCCAAAATATTATGGATGTCAACTTCTTGTTTATTCTATACACAACGTTTCTGGGCCTTGTATAGAATAACAAGAAGTTGACATCCATAATATTTTGTCTTATACTTGAATACCAACTTCTATATGCCTCCCAAGAACCTCATAAACCTCTTATTCTCTGAAACTGCTGCATTTATGAGGTTTGAACAGGCGTTTCCACAAATTATGACAAGTAAAGTTATTATTTTTCAAATGTGATGTTTACTATGGCTGCAAGGATCTCAGAAACCACAGGACAAGTTTGCTTCAAATCCTCATTTGTTACCACCAATAGTGGCACCTGGATTCGTTGAGGAGGTTTGAATCTATTTTTAAAATGGCTGTCTGTAGTATTATGTAGTAGTATTGATTGCAGTCAACTGTCAAGATATATTTCATGATGAAAGGTAGATTTAAAAGATTATGATTGTTTTGTAATGTTTTCAGTGACAATGGTGCAGCCAAAAATAAAGTGATGAAATCATTTCCTGGCGAACCTGCTAAACCTCCGATGTAAGTAGCTGGGTTTCATATATGAAGCTTCCGTCAGGATTGTTGTAGTCAGTATGTATTTGTGCAGTTTTTAAGACAGAATGGATGGACCGTATGACCAAGCAGTCGGCACCATTTTCTAAAACTGAATCAACTGCTTTGCCCCAATTTTTCAAGTCTTGCGATTGTTTTGTTCTGGAATAGGTTTATTCAGTATTTGTTAATTACAACTTGTAAATGAGAGGAGAGAAAGAGGGAGGCTCGTATCTTGTTAGAATTGTGTTTTGCAAAGTTGGTCTGTTCAGTTACATACCTCAATTAAGCATGCCAGAAACAGAAAGTTTGTGTGTATATGAATCCAGATTTTGCTCTGATTATGTTCTAGTGCTGTCAGCATGCCCGTGAGAATAAAAAAAATGGTAAATGTCTCAGATCTGTGTAACTTAAGTCTTTCCTTACACATGTAACTAAACCATTCTCCTTCAGTAGTTTAAGAACTTCAGTGGTTGTGTTGACTTGCAGGAGTGGCTACAGCCTATTCTCCAAAAAGCTGCTTTCCGAGCTGACAGAAGTGCCCAGCAATGAGAGGATGGGTGTCATTGGGCAGAGGTGGAAACAGTTGTCTGAGGAGGAAAAGGCTGCCTTCTCTAACAAGGCCAAAAAGAAAATGAAGAAATATGTCACAGAGGTGGAAAACTTTAAAGAGGTGAGCAGTGAGAGATAAGGATCTTGAAATAGGAATGGAAAAATTAGTAAAAGCCGGTTAAAATAAGACTCTGTGAACTAACATGATGTGTACACATGGACAAAACCATCGCATACCAAATGTTTTAAACTATAATACTTATTTCATTTTCTGCATGTCCTATTTTCGTGTTTGCTTTTGTTTACAAAGTTAATTTGTAACACAGAAACTGAAATTGATTATGTATTGACATGTTTTGCATCTGAACCATGGCAACACTTTTTTGATTACCCTTTCTGTTGCTGCCTCTGCCTTTCTGAATCAAAAGATTTGACCAAGCCCCAGATTAAACAATGTTCATGTAATGGTATGACAGAAGGAATTTATGGTCTCTTGGATGTTTTCAAATTTGATCTTGTCATGGAGATATTATCCAAGATTTGTGGTTATTTCTAACATTTGTTGTGGTTTATAGTGAAGTGATCCCCAGATCATTGAGGGTAGCCAGGTTTTTCTGTTCCTGCATGTGTAAATAGTACTCAAAGTGTATGGCCATGTCAGAGGACAGTTCATGCATGTTTTCGAACAGATATTTAACGTTGTTAGACTGCTATTTGAGGATGTCAGTTGTTAGGCTTACCTAATGAAGTAAACATCTTCTGTATTGTAATGAACACTAGATGAACCAATTATTGGTATCAGGGCTTTTATGTGACACCACTTTGCTAAGGTTTCATTTTAGCCAACAATTGAAAGAATGTAAGAAATTGGTGTGAGAACTGAGGACTTCCAACATGACGGGGCCAAGGATACCTTCAGTCCTGTATTTGAGGGTCCCTGGGACTCATGCTTATAATTTTCAGAAGTCCTGGACAACAAAATGGGGGTCCCATACACTTAAATATTATTACTTACTGTTATTGTATGGTGCATCATGATCAACACTTTAATTGTTACAGTAATGAAATTACAAATGATACCATAACTCAGCTAGTAGCAAACTCAGCGATAACTTATTGTTACTTGATTGGAATTTTCACAAATGTATTTAGACTTTTTCTGCATCCCTGTGGATGCACTAATAAATTTCGTTGCGTCCATTGTCAATTTTTTTGCATATAAGGCGCTGGAATTCGTATCTGTTTTCCTGTAAATCCTGCAAAGGGTGATATATGGTCAGTGAGACCTACTGGGGATAGTTTGTGACCCTGTATCTGTTTTCCTATGGATGATCATCTTTCTGGATCATCAGGAGGACACAGCACGTCTTTGGTATATGTCCGTCTGCATCTGGAATTCCAACGTTCCTGAACCATCGGTCATGAGCACACCCCTCAGTGCCTCCATCCCTGGACCGGTTCCACCTTAACAACATACACATAACCAAACAGAGCCGAGAGAGGTTGAAGCACTGGACTGTATAACACTATCATCTGGCTCTTTCTTTATGCCACAGACAGCAGCAGGAGTATCAAGTACAGTGTATCCATCTCGATCCAGCAACTGCCGGTGGTACTGGTAGATCAGGGAGGGCAGTATCATCCTTGGGCTCATCCTTCACATCAACCAGTTCCTGAAAATATACAGATTACAAAAAAAACTGATAATTCAAGAAGTAAAAAACTGAATAAAGGTTGTAATAAATGAACCTTTCAAACCTTTTCTGAACATTTGAAATTACATTTTATAAAATTTAGAATTGAAATTTGAGATTAACAATTTAACATATTCTTTTAATCAAGTTGATAACTTTTGAAATTTGACGGTGTGGCACAAATCATCTATATTTGAGATTTAATTTGTGAAATAGTATGTGGACATACCAGGTGACGTCTGTCACAATATTCTGCAACACATGTAGCCAGTTCAGCAAACACTGTTGCTTTCTGGTCTTCATTCAAGAATGGAAGAGTCTTGAACCTAGGATCCATCGCAGATGACTGACGAAGGACCTGCTGCACTTCTGGTTTGGTATATCACTTGTTTAAATCTACCTCAACTGCATGCTTTACATCTTTGACAAGAGGAGAATCGTCATCCTTGGGGGTCATCTGGGTTTTTATGAGATACAGCATTGGAGCAACAATGGAAATTGTAGGCACTTTTTCATCACACAATACCTCTGTTGCTCTCTTCAGGAGTCCCAAAAGTTCAAGAAGTACATGTAGTTCCAAATTTCTGACATCACTTTCAGTGAGTGTACTGATGTCACTCTCTTTCCTCTGGATATCTTTGGAAACTAATGTGGCATATATTGCTGGCTGAAGCTGGAGATAACTCAGTAGCATATCGAAAGTGCTGTTCCATCAGGTGGGCACATCAATTTTCAGCTTTGTCTTTGGCAAATCAAGACGATCCTGGTTTGTTGACAGGAGGACCAAAGCCACAGTGCTTTGGTGGAAGAAACCAACAAGTTTCCTCACTCTTGACAATAAAGTACTCACTTTCGGAACTTTCAAGCCACGTTGAGTGGCCAGGTTCAGCGTATGTGCAAAGCAGTAGACGTGGGGCCTTAATTCTGCAACTTCAGCAGCAACACCCATATTAGCTGCATTATCAGTAACCAAAGCTGGGTCCTTGTCAGCAATGCCCCACTCTTCCACAGCATCCTTAAGCACTTTCCCAATATTCACTCCAGTATGACTTTCCTCAATGACCCTGGTCTGTAGAACATGTGACACAAGCTCCCAAGCACTGGAGATATGTTGGCTTGTAATGGTAATGTATCCTTGTGTGGCACGGCTGGTCCAACCATCAGTGGTGAGTGCTACCCTTTCACTTGTTTTCAAATCAGCCAAAACTGAAGATTTGTTTTCTTCATACAGTTTGGGAATGATAGTCTGAGACACAGTTTTTCTGTTTTGCAATTGGTATCGGGGATCTAAAACGTGAACAAAATTAATAAAAATACCTCATTTTCCACAATGGAAAAAGGTTGCATGCCTTTGATAATGTAATATGTCAATGCTTTGGTTATCCCATTTGATCGATCACTGGAAAGATTTCCGACCGTAAACCCCGTGGTTTTTTTTATCATTCTATGCCTAAGATTTTATAGTAAGAATAGATGTTTAGTTATAGAAAGCCTACCCTAACCCTAAACCTAACAATGCTAAATCTTAACCCCTTGAAATCATAATAACCAGAATACATTTCATACTCTTACCCGATCACTTCCAGGGGAATATATGTGGGAATGTTCAAACATTTGCGGTATTTTTCCACTTGCACTGACTTTCCGTTTGTTGTCAGTCACGATGTCAGTCTTTGTAACACGATCGTATTCCAGGGGGTGGTGCCTTTTCAAGTGTGTCGACATGTTTGTCGTGTTTCCTCGATAAGTTGCTATCACATCACACAAGGTGCATGCCACTTGAGTTTTATCTCTCGATAGTAAAAAAGTGCTGTTGTTGTTGAGTTAGATGCTTTGGAGGTCGCCTTCGCCGGTTGGCATGTCGGCAGACCTATCCCTCCTTGGGAAAAGCTGCTTCCACACCTTGCTTTTATATCCTGCACCAGGCTTCAAAAACACCGCGTAGTCAGCGGCCATTTTCCTGTGCGCATGCGAGAAGTGCTGAAATCTCGTGAGATTCAACGTCGCCTAGAGTCGCAAAATTCGCGATGATGTATGAATAAACCAATTCAAATGTAGGTGACCTTTTAGCAAGTATATATCGTCGGTGAATCGATACACATGGATCGTATCGTCTGATTTTAATATCACGATTATTCAAGTATCGATATATCGTCACAACTCTAAGTCTTACTGACACAAACTTCTTTTGACTTTAAGATGGCTACACGCAAGAGACACAAGAGACGGTCTGCAAAGTTGGATATAGAATACCAGATCTGAGATGGTACATGATTGTGGGAGGAAGACAGCATCATGCCTTGACCATACAACAGCGAAGCATGGTGGAAACGACATGCTTCATTCTGTTGGTACATCCAAGGATGAATGTTCGGATGAAGATAAATGTTTGAGTCTGAGGAGAGTGTCGTTGGATAACAATGAGTACTGTGATGGAAAGGATTTAAGCTCATGCTGTGCTAATCTTGCATGTCTCTGTTCAGATATGTCTGATGGACAGCTAGATACTGGATCTTCCTGCTGTCATGTCTCTAAGGACACAGCACTGCCTCCCTCCATCATCGTCCAGTGTAGAAACATCTACAGGACCATCAGGCATGGTGGCACAACAGTTCACAGAGAGTTAGTTGGAAGACTCCTTGCACAGCTCTCTGTAACACAAGGGGAGGCAAGGGCAGTGGAAGCTGCCACCAGGGGCCAGTCTGCATGTGAGGCCTGGTACTACCACCGACGAGGAAGGATTACTGCTTCCAACTTTGCTAAAGTTGTTGACTGTGTGAAGTTTAAATACAAAAAGGTATCGGTTGTGAAGAAACTTCTGGAAGACATCCGCTACCCTACTTCAACATGGGGCCTTAAACATGAGAAAACTGCAGTGGATGCTTACAAAAGCAGGATCTCCAGTTACCATGATAACCTGAAGGTAAACCACTGTGGTTTTGTGATCAACCCCAAATTCCCACACTTGGGTGCTTCTCCAGATTCCCTGGTAGAATGTGTGTGTTGTGGAGTGGGTGTGGTAGAGGTGAAATGTCCATTTCCTGCTTTGAGACCACGCTCAACCTCCAAGTGTTCCTTCCACTTCCTGGACCCCCACCAGAAGGCCATGCCCCTCTGTGCCAGCTCCCTGCCACATGACCACGCCTATTATTGTCAAGTCCAGGGGCAGATGGCAGTGTGTGATGTGCAGTACTGCGACTTTGTCTGCTGGACACCCAGTGACATTCACGTTGAACGGATCATCCGTGATGAGCATTTCATTCATAGCATCAAGCAGGACTTGGACTCCTTTTATGAAGGCAGTATGATTCCAGCTATCCTGTCCTTGGAGGAGGACTTAGAATGAACAAAATTAATGTTAGGACGTATCGTGTATAGGGATCATCTGTTGCTTGTAAGATGATGGTGGGCACCGAATTGTTACAACTAGATCTCAAGTGTGATACAGATACCACAGCACATTGATGAGAAATACCGTGTATATGTGCATTTGGATGGTGTTGTAAGTATTGACAGACAGATTTTAGGGGTGGGCATAAGGTCGTTAGTATTATGCCAAATATATAACACTACCACACTAAGGCAGTATTTATCAGTTGTAAACCCTTTTTATGCTTGAACAGTGATGAATAATTTGGAGTAACCTGACTGTAATTTCTAGTAAACATGAAGTCATTTCAAACATATAAAGGTTGATTTGACGTGTACGTTGTGTGATTGTGTATTTCAGACTCTCTCGCCCTCTGAGTTGGAGACCTTCGAGCAGGTGCTTGCTAACAGAGGAGGAAAGAAGAAGGCCCCTGCCCAAATTATGACAGTCAAGATGTTTAAATAATGTACATCACATGTACTATGAGTACAGTTTGCAATGTTATTGTTACCTCAATGCCACACGGTCCTGTATAGTGTTATTTTGTGCCCAGTTCAGACGGTGGATTTATGGTGCTTAACCGTCCATGTTACGAGGTGGGCAGAGGTGCTGCGTTTTGTATTGAGGAGGTTAGGCTTTTAGTTGTGGCAGGATCCACTAGTTGTTTGTTTGAATCCAAGATGATTATAGTCTTCTTCGTCTGCATCAGAAAATCAGCTGTCTCATGATCAAACCCATAATTTAGGAAAAAAACATGTATAATCTGTGTTTTTGACACATCATTCACATGTGATAATGTTATTATCATTTCATAAAGTTTTGATCCTTTCTTAATTTACCAGATATGTAGATTCTGTGGTACAAAATTCCATTTAGCATAGTATGCTGAACCTTTTAGGCCAGACCAATCTTATTTCTTGTTTTATGGATTTTTTGTCCTCAGAAAACCTAAAGGCAGGAGGGAAAAAAATAAAAATAAGATCACCAGTCAAAGTAATATTCCTTCTAAATATCAAAAGTATTTTGCTTCTGGCAATTTATGAAGTGTATATGGGGCCAAAAAACAATCCAAAAAATTGTTTCTTGTAATTTTACATTTTTGGCCAATAAAAACATAAGGATTTCATTTTTGAACGGGAAAATTAATTTATATTTTTTTCTTATTCTTGAAAAAATACGACCGGCAGATCCATAAAGCAAGAAATAAAATTAGTCTGGCCTTACCATAGTTTGAAGATTCTGCAAGCCCAGAATTGTCCCTTATCATAGTATGCAGATTCTGCAGGCACAGAAAGATGTAAATCTTACTTTCTTGGTCCTTAAGTGATGCTTATGTTTTTTGCTCAGTTCTTGCATCTGTGTAGCCATGTGACTGAACCTGTCATCAATATGATCAGCTCGGTGACCTAGTTCCGCCTTTACATGTTGCTTCACAGAGGCAGCAAGTGGACATATGAATGTCTCCAACACTGCCATACATTTGCAAGATATTTCAGTTTGTATCAGTTTTAATTCATACTTTTCTCCCACAGCATTTTGTGTATTTGCTGGCTACCAGAGTATCATGGTTTATAATGATGCATAGCATTTAGTGATATTAGTGCGGTTTTACAATTTCATTTTACTTGATTATTTTAATAGCAACTGTTCTGGGTATTTTGTTACTTTGCAGTTCTCTTAATTATATTGACTATTCCATTCATTTGACCATTTTCACTTCCCCACTAAAACTGGCATAAACTTCGGCCCAAGGCCGTACTCATCACTTTCATTCATTCAGAAGATTCTAGGAATTGTCATCAGTGCTTGTTGTCATGACTTTATTGTGCCGGGTTTGTTTTGATTATAGTTGAGGGAATGATCGTTACAGACCACAGTCCTGTACATACAATGTATTTAGTATATCAGCGCACTGTTGTTGTAAGTCTAGGTTAAGGTATGGGAGCTAGGATTGTTGGAGTCGCTAATATATTGTTTATATTTTGTATATATTGTGACCTGATTTAGTTTGTATGACTCAACGTATCTGAGAATTTGAAATAATTCATTATAGTTACCATTTCAGCTGTTGTCTAGCTTCCATGATGACCAGCTGTCACCTTATAGCTTTTATACTGCTATTTTCATCATTAGACAACAAACTCAATGAATATTATAGAAAATGTGTGAATACTCGTAAAGACCATAACGGGCAGATCCTTAATATTCGATATAATTTCTTTTGTGTACATCGGCCTGGAAAAATCTGGATTCGTTCTTTTTAATGAGGAACAGATGAACAATCAGTTTGATTTCATGAAGCCTGAGGCATGAATATTTTATCAGTACTTGTTTGTACTGTTTATTTTTAATAATATATATATGTCTTAAGGCTGTGGTGGAGAATACTATCACACAAACTTCTCATAATGTCGTATAGTTAGGCCCAAATGGTATTCAGGGGAATCTGTTAATGGTGTCTAACACTAGAATCTCCCTTTAGCGTTCAGATAATAATATACTGGCTTCTGTGACCTTGAGATGATTAGAATAATTCCTTATTTGATGCACGTGTAACTGTAGACCTTATTATACTGTCTGCAGGTACAGAGAGATCAGCAAGCTATGATTATTATTAAGAGAGAAGACACATTGGTATGAGGGGAATCCTTCCATCCAAAATTGGATGTCTTATATGATCAGAATTTGAAATAATGTTAAAGAGTTCTTGTAGAGTTCCGTATGAAATAGATATCTAAGTGAGATTGCTGGACATCATGCAATGAAATGTGTTGCTATGAATACTAGTACCTGAGTTGTTACAGACTGGTTCAGTTTAGTTGTTGAAACACAACCTGAATTAATTCTAATAATGTACAATTTTATACTTATACTTATGTTTATCTATGGTTTAGTTATATTTCAGTATTTACCAATGTAAATGTTCCTATGCTGGTACCTTGTTAAGGATTAGTTGAAACAACAGCACTTTCTTTGTGCATTGCAAAACTTGTACACTTGTATAAGTCATGTTGCATTTCATTGCCAAAAAGTATTTCATAATGCATATGTATCATGTCAGTTCAAGGAAAAATAAAATGTGTATTCTCCCAGCGGGCCCTGTTCTCTTTCCTGAACACCTGGTAACTAACACCTGTACAGAACACGGTCTAACTAGACGTTCAGTGGGATGCGTAATAGAATATCCAGAAAAGCATGTTTACTAGTAAAATTGGGCAAAATTTAGAAAAAAATATGAATAGCTGCTGAAAACAATAGATCAGACTTCCGATGGCAATTAGGTTGCTCACCCAGGTATGACAACGGACTGTTGACTCACCTGCCATGTAATGCATGTGCTGCCCGCAGGCACAAGGCGTCATCTCAAAGATGCACAGAACACTTGGTGACTAACACATGCACTGAACACCTGGTGACTTACACATGTACTGAACACCTGGTGACTTACACATGTACTGAACACCTGGTGACTTACACATGTACTGAACACCTGGTGACTTACACATGTACTGAACACCTGGTGACTTACACATGTACTGAACACCTTGTGACTAACACATGTACTGAACACCTTGTGACTTACACATGTAGTGAACACCTGGTGACTTACACATGTACTGAACACCTGGTGACTTACACATGTACTGAACACCTTGTGACTAACATGTACTGAACACCTTGTGACTTACACATGTACTGAACACCTGGTGACTTACACATGTACTGAACACCTGGTGACTTACACATGTACTGAACACCTTGTGACTAACGTACTGAACACCTTGTGACTCACATGTACTGAACACCTTGTGACTTACACATGTACTGAACACCTGGTGACTTACACATGTACTGAACACCTGGTGACTAACATGTACTGAACACCTTGTGACTCACATGTTCTGAACACCTCGTGACTTACACATGTACTGAACACCTGGTGACTTACATGTACTGAACACCTGGTGACTTACACATGTACTGAACACCTGGTGACTTACACATGTACTGAACACCTGGTGACTTACACATGTACTGAACACCTGGTGACTTACACATGTACTGAACACCTGGTGACTTACACATGTACTGAACACCTGGTGACCAACACATGTACTGAACACCTGGTGACTTACACATGTAGTGAAAACCTGGTGACCAACACATGAACTGAACACCTTGTGACTTACACATGTAGTGAAAACCTGAGGACTTACACATGTACTGAACACCTGGTGACTAACACATGTACTGAACACCTGGTGACTAACACATGTACTGAACACCTGGTGACTAACACATGTACTGAACACCTTGTGACTAACGTACTGAACACCTGGTGACTAACACGTGTACTGAACACCTTGTGACTAACACATGTACTGAACACCTGGTGACTTACACATGTACTGAACACCTTGTGACTAACACATGTACTGAACACCTTGTGACTTACACATGTACCGAACACCTTGTGACTTACACATGTACCAAACACCTTGTGACTTACACATGTACTAGACACCTTGTGACTTACACATATAGTGAAAACCTGATGACTTACACATGTACTGAACACCTGATGACTTACACATGTACTGAACACCTGGTGACTTACACGTGTACTGAACACCTGGTGACTAACACGTGTACTGAACACCTTGTGACTTGCACATGTACCGAACATCTTGTGACTTACACATGTACTGAACACCTTGTGACTTACACATATAGTGAAAACCTGATGACTTACACATGTACTGAACACCTGGTGACTTACACGTGTACTGAACACCTGGTGACTAACACGTGTACTGAACACCTTGTGACTTACACATGTACTGAACACCTTGTGACTTACACATTTAGTGAAAACCTGATGACTTACACATGTACTGAACACCTGGTGACTTACATGTTGTGAAAACCTGATGACTTACACATGTACTGAACACCTGGTGACTAACACGTGGTAACTTGCACATGTACTGAACACCTGGTGACTTGCAGGGATTGTGAGACAGACTAAATAGGTGCTGTACACCCAGTCTTACCCACAGAAACCTGGTGTCTCACATCTATCCTGTGTACAGTTGGTCTGCGACATTGTATCTGACATGTGAACACTAGATGATTGACATATTCTGTGTTGTACTTGTTCTTGACCCAAATCGGTAACAAATTACGTCTTTGTTATATACAATCACATGGATCCCAAAGGCAGGGTAATACATTTGCAGAGTTCCATCACTTAGGTGCGCATGGATTCTGTTGCCATGATTGTATGATCCTTGGTTTGAACCCCAGATTCACCCATATCGTCATGCCAGCGGCATACCTGTACTGGTGTATTTCATTTGGGTCTTAAATGTTTAACAACTAAATTACTATTGTCTTCCTTTACACATAAACCTGACAAACTTCGGTGTAAGAGAAGCAATCATCAAAAGACATTCGTAATGCATATTATAACTGAATCTGTCATCTGTGTCTGTGTGTGGTGATATGACATGATTCAAACACTGATGAAGACTTTCCTCAAACTATATACGAAAGGCAGTATTATTTGTATACTCCACCACAAAGATCTGTCCGGGTGTATCTCCAGCTTATTACGACATCCATAACTGACCGCTTGAAATTATTTTTTACTCGCTGGCTGGCAATCTTTGATAACAGTGACTATAATGCAGTGGCGGATCCAGAGTGTGTGTGTGTGTGTGTGTGTCAGGGGTTCGAAACACACACACACACACACCTTTGAACATTTCTGGATCCGCCTATGTAATGTGTTTGTGCCATGCATGATATTAACGAAATACCAATCAGTTTAATGAAATACAATGATCGGTGGAATAAAGTACTGTCGGAAATAGTAAAAAGAAGTTTTGTCTAACTGGACGTTCTGTGGGATGCGTAATAGGATATCCAGAAAAGCATGTTTACTCATTTAATCGGGCAAAATGTAGAAAAAAATATGAATAGGTGCTGAAAACAATAGATCAGACTTTAGATGGCAATTAGGTCGCTCAGTCAGGTATGATGGACGTTGACTCAACTTGCATGAAATGCACGTGCTGCCTGCAGGCACAAGGGGTCATCTCAAAGATAGTTTATGCTTTTTCTTGTGTGTTGAATGTGTCTCATCTTTTGATTAACATCTAACGTGTCTTTCTTTTATAAAGTTCATGTTGAGATTTGTGAAAGAGTATGATACCCATAGGACAGCTTAAATCAGTCATCGTATTTATGTCTACACCTGTCACATGTATGACCATCCGAAGACCGACAGGACTGGATATTATTTGTAAAATTAATTCCCCTTTAGGATTGTCTTATCTTAGCTGATATCTCTATCCCCCAGCCCGACCCCAACCATCGTCTACGACACCCGCCCTGGTTTTGCTTTTGAGACGACCCCTCATACCCTGTTTGTTTTTATAGTGATAGTGCGACTCCATGGTAGCTACATCCTTAATAGTTTCAGTCTTAAAGTTGTTATTTTTAAGTCAGCTATTAGTTTTTTCCTATGTCCGACAGTACTTTAGTCAGACAATTTTAATTTCTACTTAGATTTGAACTCACAATGTTCGTTTCCAACGCTAAATTATCGTGCGCCCTTAGTCATTCAGAGTTCTCTCCCTTCTGTTATTGCTCTGTCTTTCCGGTTTGTTCAACACGTGGGTTGGTACAGTGAGAAGTACCGTTATGTCCGGAATCAGGTTATCAATATCCAGTGTTTAAGACAGAGGCAGTGTGTATAGTGTAAACAAATTCCATTTATCATTAATGTCAGCAGACTGAAAAGAATAATGTCGACCGTACTGCTCGGTGTTCCCGACACACTAGTCGGTTCGCCAACCACCTGGGACGTGAACAAGATAGGTGGACATCCTGTAAGTAATACCTACCTCTGAAGTAGAAATGATATTACCTAGCATTCATCAGGCAAACTCGGAGAGCACCTTCAGAAGTATGAGAATTAAGGAAGCCTCTTGTGTGCATAAGTTGTGTTTTCATGTCCAGTACTGTCGAGTTCGTTTTTAAAGATTACTGTTGTATTTTATTCTGGATGGCTACTGTCTTAGTCTTACCGTATCTTATGGTTTTGACATTGATCCCTTCACTTTCCGGCTACAAGGAAGTTGTAACAAACACTCTGTCTTCTGTCAATTTCGTACGAGTAGGGATTCGTAGACCACAGCATTGAGAAAGGGTCATATCTGGTTAACCATGATAAGTGATACTTCAACAAGTTGTTTCTCCACTCCTATTTACATTGTTTTAGGGTAACTAGACAAAACATCAGAAACCTGTCTTAAACAAGACACAGGGGTGGAAATAACCCATTGCCCGATGCCCGAGTCCAGTGTTTTTTGTCTGTCGGGCAAGCAAATTTGTATATCACACTGTACGGGTGTCCAGTTGATATTCCAATGTTAATTATGTTGTTTATTTAAAAATCAACAAGAAAACTGCCGGTATAGTGGAAAAATTATCAGGGCAAGTGATTTTACATGTGCCACTGTACCGGAGTACACTAGCAATTTTAAAGTTATTTCCACCCCTGAGACATGGCGATGACAATTTTTTTCCCATTATACAGATATGGAGGTAGTCATGTTAATTGTTTGTAAGCCTTTTAATTTCACTAATATCATGTGTTTGTTCTTAACATATCACTAAATCATGATATTGATTGACTGTGTGTTAATGATGGTTTGTATGTGAATGTTATTTTGGATGAATGGTTGATTTTGAAAATAGATTGTTAGCATCTATAAAAATAACTAATCTCAACTCCCTCTGTTTTGTCCTGTCATCCCAACAAGCAGAATATAGGTGAATGAATTACTTAATTGATATTTTATCATCTTTTTTGTGAACCAATTGTAAGAAATATCAAATAGGGTTACAATATTTTTGTTTTGTTTTATGGTTACGAAATTACCAGGATTACAAAGTGTCTTGAGGTTTAGATTACATACACTCTAAGTAACACAGTGAACCGTGTCTATTCCTGGTCTGGCCTTGACCGACATCATACTGGACAAGGATACCAGCTGGAAACCTGAAATGCCTTCTATTTGTGGAGGCTATATCATTATTACCCATTTGGGAAGGAGGACACATATTTTCTATGAGACTATTTAGTCTCACGTAATACACCCGTGTAAGATAGCGGTAATGCAATGAAATTCTTGGAAATGAAGCCGTATCACATGCGTAGGGATATGGGGATTCCCCACATCGCGGGTTTCCTTATAGAGAAACTGCAGTTTTCATTGTAGTGTTTTTTACGTAATTAATATAACTCAGGAAAGATAATCTGTCATTCCCCATCACAAGTTGGTTATTGTTATTAAATATTACATCCTTCCAATGTCTGGAAACTTGACTTGTTATTGTTTTCTGTTTTAAGGACCCGATGATTCCTCTGTCCACACCAAACTGTGAGGGATGCTCATCTCTGATGCTTCATGTACTACAGATTTATTGTCCATTAGAGTTATCTCCCTTCCATCGAAGTCTCCACGTGTTTGCCTGCACGGCAAGATCATGCTGGAACAAGGAACATGGGTATAGTTAATAAGTCCGCTTCTTGGCTGAAACTCAGCCAGGTGTTGTGTGCACCACAGTATGATCCCGATGATGTGTAGCAATATGTGATGTGTGCTCCCTGAGTGTGCTATACAAACAAAACAACAGCCACAAACTGGCATCCACAATGTATGCTAGTTGTTATACATAGAATTTCTCAAATCTTAGTTATTCTATTGGCACAATATCATGAAATATGTCTTAAAGTTATCATTGACGCATTGGTTCAATAAATGTGTTTGGTTACTTAACATAGGTAAGTTATTCAATTTGATGTTTTCTGGGTTTTTCTTTACTGGTGAGTGAGTTTAGTTTTATGCTGCTTTAAGCAATATTCCAGCAATATCACGGCGGGGGACACCTGAAATGGGCTTAACACATTGCACCCATGTGGGGAATCGAACTCGGGTCTTCGGCGTGACGAGCCAACACTTTAACCACTAGGCTACCCCACCAACCCTTTACTTTACTAATATTATTGCTTGTCATATATGCATACTTAGTAGGAATGATTGCAACTAATTTTCATGGACAATTCTTGTAAAAAGTGTGTCTGTAAGGACATGTGTCAATACACGTAGGGTTGAGAGTACTACTGTTTATTTGCCTAATCTATGATTTGAAATTCCCATCTGAGATAGACTTTTGAACATGTAAAGTGATATCTGTGATTTTGTTAGAGCACCGACCTATTTGGCCAACTAGCATGTTTATCTATATGTCCATGTGTTTTAGATACTTGAAAGCTTGTTTCTACGAAGTCAATGATGATCCAAATCCATTGCCATAAACTTGGTTCCTTCTTTGTGTGTAGGTGGAGGGTATTCCGGTCTCAGCTGAGAGATTACAGTACTTGCCAGGAACAGTCAGCCAGTGATTCCTCCGCCAGTAAAAGTAAAGTTGCTATGGAAACCAGTGATTGGTGTGATGATGCAGATGACTGGGGCTGTGATGATGATGCTCAAGATTTGGTTGCTATGGTAACGGACAGTTCAAAGGTTGTTGGCACTGAGAGTACGACTGCTGCTGTGTATGATACCACTGAATCTCCAGCTACATCCACCAGCGGTCAGTCCGAGCTAGATGAAGCAGGTGGTGCGAGGATGCTGTTGTCTCGGGCCTGGGAGGGTTGAATGTGGAGGATGATGATGCAGGAGACACAGTCAAAGGAGATGACTCTCTGCTCCCAAGTGAGAAAACATTAGCAAATGTGATTAGTTACTTAGCAACTGACCAACCAGATGATACAGGTCATGGTGATGGAGTCTTGCTTAAGTCTTCAGCTTCCCAGTCCACTCCGCTGCTGTCGTATCATCTAAACGTGTTCGATGAACCGTCCAGTGATGTCACAGACGAGATCCATGTGGCAAAAATGTTGAAAGATTACGAGAGAGCAGAACGTGTTGATGTTAGATCACTGGCAGATGATGACAGGTGAGACCTACCATTTGGTTTTCTCTATGGTCAAATATAGTTAATGTACTTCAAGTTTCCCAACATGTATGATAAAACAGAGGCAGACTGTGGCCAATATTGTATTCACCATATTGAGCACCCTTGAGAAAGTTTATAGAATGGGCTGCATGTTGAAACATCTTAAATGTATTGTCCCTCTGAAGCAAGAGATAGTAGATCATTTTTATGGCTTCAGTCATAAGCAGGAAACTGTCATTTGGAATAGCCAATGTTAGGTTGAGTGAAAAGAAGAAACCTCACTGTCCCTTTCCTGGTATACGGGTGGAAATAACTTTAAAATTGCTAATGCGGAAGGTCGCTTCAGTACAGTGTTAACATATGAAATGTTGGTCCCTGCCCCTGATAATGGGTTTTCAAGGACTATGGGTCCCAGTCAGTATTTTTCTTGAGTGGGATATTAAAAACTGCAACATTCAGTGGGCTAGCACTATAAAACCAGCTCAACTGGGGACAAGCCGGTACAGTATGATATACATTTGCTTGCCCGACCGAAAAAACACTGGACCGGATTCTCAGGCAATGGGTTAAACCCAATTCCACCTCACCTGTCACCTTTCCTGGTATGGTAGCAGTGCTCTGATTGGTGGGATGAAAAGTCGATCAGCCCGGGGTCCCTATCCACAAAGGGTTCGTAACGTTACGACCTGTTTTAATTCAGTAGCCTCCCAGAATAAATGTTGTAGCACTATGAACATTTCGCGGATTGCAACCCCGATTGGTAGTGGGATGATTTCAGATATATGTTTAGACTGGTGTAGAATTTAATCAGGCAGTGCTTATTGGAGAGTAGTGCTAAATGCTGCAATTACATTAAATCTTGATATCAATAACAAGTGGCAGATTGTGTTTGGTGGACTGTTCATCTTCCATTCCTCCATTTTCATAGTCTTCAGTTCTATCTTACAGTGACCCCTGTTGATTTGAGAAGTGTATCCAGTGAAATCGTGGGACTGGCAAATCTCCAGTTTCAGATTAGTAGATGCTTGACATGGAGTTATGTAGCTTTGTGCATGACTGACTGAGTTTTGTTTTACGCCGCTTTTAGCAATATTCCAGCAACATCACGGCGGGGGACACCAGAAATGGGCTGCACACATTGGCCCATGTGGGGATTCGAACTTGTGCATGAAGATTTTAAGTAGAATGCCTGTAATGTTCAAATGAGACTTCGTTCTATCACCAACGGCAAATCTGACGAAATGGACATTGTTAGGAAAGAATGGTTAATCATTATGTTTGTGAATGTCTAACCTCTGTGTTAACAGTTGTAACTGTTTGTGTAACTGTTACTGTGACTGTTTGAACACTCTCCTAAAGTAAGGCCAGAAATGCTTGGAAAATGCTTTCTGGCTTCAATATCAATATGATGAATTTGACACAAGATAAAAGCACATATATGATACATGTACGACTCTACCTAGTTAGATATTAAAGCTCAGATGAAAAAATGCACTTGAGGAGTGACTTCACAGGAGGAAATTTTGATGTTTAAACAACAGTCGTAAATATTCTAAGTACAAACTGTAGTTTTGAAATACAGACTGTAATTATTCATATAGCCTCAACTAATTAAATTACACAAATGATTGTAAAAAGTTTGGGGTTTTTTAGCATCTGTATGTGAAAAAGATGGAACTCTTATAGTAGGTATATTCAAAATAATGACGTAAAAAAAAGTCTTAATTCAAATCACATAGATAATCTTGTTCACCCATAGAAGTTTCACTTCGTGTATGAGCATTGAACTGGCAACATGCGACTTGATAACTCATATTAACAATTAACTTCAAACTTATATCAGTATTTCATACTGTAGAAACAAAGGGGGAAACCTCTCGTCAGCTATGACAGGGTTTACTACGACAGACTATACAGAATGTGTAAAGCCCTTAATTTGACAAATAGTCAGGTTTACTAAGCTGTAAACAATCAGTTACCTCAAGGGGTGTCAAAATCAAAACCAGGTAGGAAACTGGATAGCTTTGATAAGGGTGTCATACGCCATGCAGTTTATATACTGTATGACCGCAAAATCCCACCGACGTGTGCTAAAATACAAGGTGAGATCAAAGATACAATAAATGTCCTGTTGTAATTCCGCTAGAGTCCTCCACCAGCAGTGATACTGACACTTGATATTCTGAGACGGTCCCTGACATGCACTACCCGTGCGTTACATAACGCTGTAACCCTGTCTGCCTGCCAGGTGGGTCACAGTATTGTTTGTTTCTTAGAAGTGTTTCTACCATGAATTATTTTTTAATTTTCTAAGTTTTTCGATATTTTACGAGTAATCATTATGATTAGGGAATGGTACATCATGATTACTCATATGCCATATTAGGTCGAAGTGGTATGAATGATTATATATGAGTTTTGAATCTGAAATATCAACCATTATCAAATAATTGCCAAAAAGCATTTTCCAAGCATTTCTGGCCTTACTTTAAATGTATTATTTCTGTGAGTGAGTGAGTTGAGTTTTATGCTGCACTCAGCAATATTCCAGCTATATGGTGGCGGTCTGTAAATAATCTAGTCTGGACCAGACAATCCAGTGATCAACAACATGAGCATCGATCTGCGCAATTGGGAACCGATTATTATTAAATATTATTTCTGTGATGTTTATCAAATATGTATCTTAATACTTGAAAATTCAGGGAGCCTAAGGGTGGCAAGAAAAGTGCTTCAGTCGAAAAATATGAAAAGACTGAGCTAAAACATGGAGACAAGTGCTTCCACAAGTTCATGAAGCGTATAAAGAGGTGCCCAGAACAAGTTATCAGGTAGATATGTTAACACACCGCAATCAGTGCTTGTCACTAAAAGTTTGCTAGATGATTATCTCCCTTCATTCTCTTTCCTTTGACAATGTATACTTTTTGTATCATTTGCAGTTTTGGTCAGTCCTAAACTACTGTTTTGCATAAGAAATTAATATAAATATGTATGTAACCTCAGTGAGTCCAGGGTTACCTTCATGCACCAACAGCTGCATGTTTTACAGTTATAATATGGCCAGTTGGGCACAGAGTCCATTCTCTGTTATCAATCTTTCAGAAGCGTTCTATAGACGAGATGTCATCTGTGTCATGATGTCTGCAACACCTGTGATTGTGTATTGTCTGTACCAGGTATTACCTAGGAGGGACCCCACTTCCCATCTCCGCCTCCCCCATGGTACCACGCCCCTGCCCTGTGTGTGGTGCAGCTAGGGTGTTTGAGCTGCAGCTGGTCCCATCACTTGTACCCTACTTGTGTCAGGAGAAGGAGCAAGGTGGGTGATGACGTTACCATCATCCCTTCAATAGTCAGATAACTAATTGATGTTGCTATGTTTATTAAAATTATGTCTAATTGCGAAATAATATTGGCGTCAACAAGTTCAAATGAGTGTATGGATTGTTTTTAGTACTAATACATTAGGCCAGTGATGTTTGGTTCCAGTCATTTTTGTGGAAATCTAAAATGATTTATTTACAGTTGTAAGCTAGCAAGGGTGGCTGTTGATGTGTTTGTCAAGGACTGAGCCACAAAGTGTTTGTTTTAGCACTGCAGCAGATGGGAGTCTACCATGTTTGTAGTAATCTGTAGAGAAGTCAGCTGTTTGCTCACAGGAGCCCAAGGTGTTTGACAAAAACATGTAGCGTCTGAGCTAGTGTATAAAGATCTATACAAAAGATATTGCATAACAGCAGTCATCCAGGAAAAAGCTTTCCTGTACTGTCACTGACATTTTGTCTGACCACCTGGTCTCCAGTCATATTGGACATTGGTATGGTTGCATTTTATTTCTCAGTGTCATGATATCATGATATCCCAGGCCGTTAAGGAGGACATGTGAGTGTTTGTTCTTCTGTTGCAGGCCCTGTGTTGGAGTTCGGGACAGTGCTGGTGTACACCTGTAGCAGAAGTTGCTGGGAGGAGGCGCTCCAGGAACCCCGAGAGGAGCTTGTCATTGTACAGTCAGACCCTGACCAGCATCTCTTCAAATCATGACACTTACCTCATGATCAAGTGCTATGTTCCTCAACAAGAGCTTGTCTCCAAAGTGCAACCCTTGCAAGCATCTCTTCAAATCATGACACTTACCTCATGATCAAGTGCTATGTTCCTCAGCAAGAGCTTGTCTCCAAAGTGCAACCCTTGTCAGCATCTCTTCAAATCATGAAACTTACCTCATGATCAAGTGCTATGTTCCTCAGCAAGAGCTTGTCTCCACAGTGCAACCCTTGCCAGCATCGTCTTAAGTGGTTGATCTGACCTGATGTGACCTTTCCACAAAACGCCACCTTAGAAATGTGACCGTCGTCAGTCTGTATGTTAAACATAAACTTTGTTAGGGAGTTCTGAGGTAAACTCCATTTGAAGTGCTCAAAAGTACTTGTGGAAAGATGCACTGGATGTCCTCAAGGTCACATGCAACGTAATATATATTGGCGAGACTCTCAGGCCCAACAACACCCGGGTTGCTGAACACAAGTCGTCAGTATGCAAACAAAATGATAAGTCAGCTATATCGGAGCACAAGTCAAATAACCCAAGTCATGTAATCGTGTGGAATGATATCAGGGTGCTTTCGAGCAATAACAACGACTGGCATCGGAGGAAACTACAGGAGGCTGTGGAGATAAGGAGACATAAACCGGCAATGAATCGTGATCACAACTCTATTATCTAGCATGAATTTATCATCATTATGTAATTAACACTTTAACTTCACTTATACTGTACTCACTCTTGTGTACTGTGATGTCACTTGCATTGTGACGTCATACCGACGACGTGATAGTCTCAACTGTCAGTTCACCTGATGAAGGGACCTGGAATGGTCTTGAAACGTCGTGAGGGAAATTATAAAGAAGTTTAATCCATATAAATATCTTGGACATATTTTTTGTTGTCTTTAATTCTGTTTGTCATGGAAGAAAACTGTTCCATGAGATAACACAATGGCTCACTGGATGCTGCTCCACATACCAATCACTGGTTTGTCTGGTCCTATCTTCTGTCTTGTTTGACATAAACTGCATTCACTGACTGAGGTAGATAACAATTCTTATGCCCATTAGTGTTGGGAATTGGTTAAAATCTCATAATTGATGATTGGTTCATTACAACCGATCAATCATAAAAAATAATTGGTTTTTGTCGTATATCAAATTTTCCTGTTATGTTTGTTAAATTAATGCACAAATGTTTTTCAGGGTTTTTAAGCAAATGGTACAAAAAACATGTTCAAATTTCACATCTTTAAAGGATTACTAGTATGTTAGGAACATAAATTTCCTGGAGTCTTTAAGATAAATTCAGTTATGACTTGGAACGAGCTCCTAGTGCTCATGAAATGTCATTAATGACAGACAAAACCAACCTTGTGAAAAATAGTGTTAATGCAAACAAGTGTTCTAAAATTGTGTGTGTTTGATTATGAGAAAACACAATCAATTGCTTGGTCATTTAGACACTGCGACCAATCCTCGATTATTTCAAGTAATCGGACCACCACTAATGCACATTCTTTTAAGAGTTGGGTTGGGTATGGAAATACTCATAAAGAAGGTCCAAAAACCAGTACACCCACAAAGATAAAAGAAACCAATCTGCACATTGTTTGTGTTAATGTTACCATGTGAGCATCAATAGTTTAGCTGGTTTTGTGGTTTTAGCTGAACACAGAAGTTCTCGTTTGTCATAGCTTAAACACAGTGATTATCAGATATGTTTAGTTATCATAACTTTTAGGGACAGCACAATACTTAAAATGGTATTAAACTGAACACTCTTCCTGTGAGTTTGTTTCTTGCGTTGTCAACAGACCACAGACTGTCAGTGTCAGATGGATCACTTGTACCAGAACCAGTCCTCAACATAACAGAGAAGTAAGTATCCTCCATACTGTAAGATTCACCTACAACAGTCCAAGGAACGCCTCCGTGGTGTAGTAGTTAGAGCGTCCGCCCGGAGAGCGGATGGTCGCGGGTTCGATCCCCGACCGCGTCATACCAAAAGACGTTAAAATATGGTACTTGTTGGTCCCTGCCTGGCGCTCGGCATTAATTGGTACAACAAGGACTGGTCGGCTCGGAGTCAGTATAATGTGTCTGAGTGGGGTATTCATGCTTCACTGTGGCATGGTATCTCAGTCTGGGCTAGTACAAGCATCCGCACATCCATATACACACGCATGCACGTCGTCATATGAGCGAAATATTCTCAAGCACGACGTTAAACCCCATTTCACCTCACCACCTCACAACAGTCCAAGTGCATAAGAGGGCCATACCTCCCAGAACTTTAAATGTGTTACATTTACTTACGACATTGGCAGTGCTAAAAAGGGTTGGTGGAATAGGTAGAAGGATTGTAAAATATAAAATCAGTCTTTTTGAGTTTGAATGTTTATTTCATACAAATTTCATACTGATGAAGTGTTGTACATTGAAAGTTGGCAGCCTGCACACTTAGGCTTTTGTGTCTGTCTTGATGTGTATGTGAGGGCTTCTGTAGCTTGGGTGTGTGTCTGTGTGTGTGTCTCCATGTCTATGTGTGTGGCAGTGTTTTGTCTTTATGTTTCTGTGGGTGCCTCTGAATGTTTCTGTGTAGATGAGTGTCTGTGTGTATTAGTGTCTGTGTTTGTGCCTGTCTCTCTGTGTGGATTAGTGTCTGTGTGTGTGTTCTGTGTCTGTGTATTAGTGTCTGTGTTTGTGCCTGTGTATTAGTTTCTGCATGTCTCTGTGTGTGTATTAGTGTCTCTGTGTGTATTAGTGTCTGTGTTTGTGCCTGTGTGTATTAGTTTCTGCGTGTCTCTGTGTGTGTATTAGTGTCTGTGTTTGTGCCTGTGTGTATTAGTTTCTGCGTGTCTCTGTGTGTGTATTAGTGTCTGTGTGTTCTGTCTGTGTGTATTAGTGTCTGTGTTTGTGCCTGTGTGTATTAGTTTCTGCATGTCTGTGTGTATTAGTGTCTGTGTGTGTTCTGTGTCTGTGTGTATTAGTGTCTGTGCTTGTGTATTAGTTTCTGCATGTCTCTGTGTGTGTATTAGTGTCTCTGTGTGTGTTGTTTCTGTGTGTATTAGTGTCTGTGTTTGTGCCTGTGTGTGTATTAGTGTCTGTGTGTATTGGTGTCTCTGTGTGTATTAGTGTTTCTGTGTGTGTGTGCGCGCACAGAGTGTGTGTGTGTGTGTGTGTGAAATACGCTGTGTTTTTGGTGAATACACCCCAGCTGCTTATATACAATGTATGTAAAACACTCTTAGAGACATAAGTTAAATATGGAATCAGCACCTGTTTCATGTTAGAATGTAGGGTATAAAAAGCAAAAATAATAAAAAGTGACATGAATATACAAGCATTCTTTTCATATTTATTTAAATCATTACTTCAGTTTTTCGAGAAGACAGACAGAAAGGGATATTCAGTATTAGATACTTGTGCACAACAGATTCTGGAATATAGAATAGGATGGCATTCCTCAGGAGTCACATTGTTCTCTTTCATACCGATCATATAGTATGTCTCTCCACTATAGGAGTCTAGAAGTCTTTATGAACACTGACTACAGGAAAATAGCATGTTCAGAACACTTTAAATGGAAACTTACAGAGAAAAGACATTTGCATTCAAGAATAGTTACTATGGTATGATCTAATATTGTTCACCAGATATATGTCATCCCAATGTGTCCAGGTGTATGGTTGAGACTGATCAGATGGAGGATTTCACGACATTTTTCACGACATGATTACATTGCAGGTTAGTTGCTCACACTGTCGGCCATATTGTTGTGTGTCACTGACGTGGAGACAGTTGATCGAAGATGCTAGTGGTACCAACAGCTAGATTAACTGGCCAGTACATGATTATATGGGTACACCTGCAGAATACGGGACACCTACCAGCCATACTGTTCAGTGTCAGGTCACCCTAACGCTAAACCTTACCCTAACCCCAGTGTATGAAATAAGCCAAAAATCCAGCCAGACATCAGGGCTGGTAATTTCAAAATGTTACCAGCCCCAAATGGATTTAACCAGACCAAATATGGTGAATTTACTCAGATGTATGGAACATCTAAATTTTTTACCAGACCATGGGGCTGGCTAACAGTAAATTTAGACCGTCCGTCAGAAATCTAGATCGTCTCCGGCGGTCGGACGGGCCTTATTTCATATACTGCTAACCCTAACCAAAGGTAAAGTCACTTGCGTTCAAAGATGGCAGAATGTATCCTGTATTCTGTAGTCTTACCATTATGTGCAGGGTACAGCGATAGTGTTTAACACTACAGACTGTGACATATTTAGCAACATTTACTCACAAAGCAATGAAGACATCTTGTATGAAACACCAACATTCTGTGGGTGTTGTCATAGTATGTACAGACAGAACTATATTGAGGCAGGGCTCCAGATAATTTTTGAACACCAGGAGTACGTACTCCTTATTTTTTCAATATAAGAGTACTCGAAAACCTTAAGCCTACATTTAGAGTACTGAATGGAATGTAATGGAGTATCAGTAATCTTGAGTTTCGTTTCATATAAGCACCACAACATTGCTACTCTTGTGTAAACAGGTAAATAAACAATGAAACAATACTTTTTCAGATAAATACGTCTGTAAATGATTCTAAGACCGTACACCATTGCCGTGGTGCGTATCTGCTACGTTTTATAAGTTATTTCCTACCGTATCGTGCAATTTTCTTATCCGTACATACGCCGATTCGGCCCTTATCTGGAGCCCTGTTGAGGGCTTGATTACTGCCAAGCAGATATACAAGTGAAATATGATAAAAATGACTGAAATAATAGGAAAACAAAATAATATAAACGAAACTGATGGTGATATGTGATATGAAATATAATAATGATTTATGAATATATATGAAGCACATCAGTCAACCATCAATGCCCAGTGCAATGGACGCCCACTGTTGAAAAATCTGTAGGAAGCACTTCTTGGAGACTTCGACCCACTCACTGACTGGTGAATTTGGTCACGTGACTACTCTGACGTCATCACCACAGAAGGGAAGAATCGATGGCTGTGATGTCTGTGGAAGAGCTGACGTCACAGTGGTAAGCCTGCTTGGACATGGTGTATCTAGCTTGCTGGTCAGCCAGTAATATCACAGATAGAATTGCTTGGTGGTAGTTTGAGAACTAGCTTGGGTTTTTGACACACTTCCCATTGGTCAGGGAATATCCAGTACAACACTGAGTACTGCACACCGCCATGTATGTCTGGTACCTGAAAAAATAGGTTTACATTGAATAAGTTCCAAGTGATTCCTGCCATTTAATTGCTTAACCACAGGGCAAGAAATTCGTTTTGAAATTATGTTCTCATAAACCGAAAAGAAGCGTTTCCTAAAGAGATGAGGCTTGTGATGCATTATTGCAATTTTCGATATTACTAATTTCGTATTGGTGTGTGGGGCAGTGGGTTAAGGCCTAGTGGTTAGAGCGTTCGCTCGTTCAATTTCCCACATGGGTACAATGAAGCCCATTTTTGGTGTCCCCCGTCGTGAAACTGGACTCAAACGTATTGGTGTGTACTGCTTGGTGTGTTAAAAGTGATTAACTAAGGAGCCTATGAAGCTGTGATTTCAGAAGCCATTCGGGGTCGGTTTTTTTCCTTTTGTTCGTACATTACATTAACTTGAAATTTCAAATTACATACACTGAAACATAAAGTTGGTATCTTGGAATTTTAAGAAAAGAAACAACCCCAAATTGATTCTCATGCTGTTGATCACTGGATTGTCTGGTCCGGAATCAGTTATTTACAGACCGTCGCCATATAGTTTGAATATTGCTGAGTGCGGCGTTAGAGAAAGAAACAAACATAAATATTGTAGACTGCTGTATTACCGTGTGCACATCTTGGTGGACCAGATCATGCACTGTTCCTGGTAACTTCTCTTCTTGGGACAAACGAACCTTGTGGAAGGGCATGGGTTGTCTTGGCATGGAGCTGTCTCCTTGTCCTCTGTTTGGTTACTGAAACAGGAAGCACGAGAAGGTGACATGTCCTCAGTTGTCGTCCTCGTCCTCGTTCATGTCTTTGGTGGGAGCGGTTGGGCAGCCCAGTTGTTACAGCGCTAGGTCGTCACATCGAAAACCATGTTCAATCCCTCACATACCTACAAAACCCATTTCTGGCTGTGGCCACTGTTGCAAGACCACTGCTATGGCGCTGAACAACATTCGGTCGTTCTCCATGGATTTTAGGCTGAGATATATATGTAAATATATAAATATAACAGAAAAATGATTGAATGTGACATAGCAGTGACATAGTTACCTGTGTTCTGCCAAAGTAGATGACGTATTTATTGCCTATTTCGATCAGTGGAAACACTGTCGGGCAAAAAATTAGTTTCTAACGATATTCATAGCCATTCCGAATATTAAGTGACGGTGCTTGTAAAAAGGCCAGCAGTACTCGGGTCATAGACAAGTTAAACTCTGTGTAAACTGTCAGGCAACGATATCATTGTAACTGTACAATTTCAGAGCAGCCATGTATCTGTTAACATGATGGGAGGCAATAACTTTCCGATATCTGCACCTGTGCATTTTAGCGATTTTCAATGATGATTGGTCGTCAGATCTCAGTACTTTATTGTTGAGACAAATATGATATGAAATCTCAATTGTTCACAACGTCTCATGTATATATATAACATGAGACAATTGAAACTCGGAATTATGGATTTACTAATAACAGACTCGAGAGTAAAAAGTACCATTCATTTACTGATGATCCGCCATTCCTCGTAGGTCATATTTTCTAAATGATGGTTCCTTGGACTTACAATTCCCACATTTCACTGCTTTAGAATTGAGAGCCAAAGAAACAGTATCCCGATTTTTACCTGCAGGATGTCTTCTGTTTATCACAAACACGTGTTCTAGTTCGTGTACCGCATCCACCGCAAGACCGTGAGCACGCTGACCAGGCTGACCACGTGGACCAACCGGTGTCGATGGCTAGAGCACCCCCCTGTACATTATCGGTGTTTGGGGAATGTGTTGTCAACACATGATGATCAGCTAACGTCACTGAAAGAGGTGACGTGATTAGGGTTTAACGTTGCATTCAAGGTTATACCTCAAATGTAGCGATTGATGTGAATGTACGTGTATATGGCTACTTGGACTACCCCATACTTATGCCGGGTTTAGAGAGCTCGGTCACTGAGATACAATGCCACAGCCCAATCCAAATCACATGACGATGTCGACATTTAGTTAATAATCAACATGGCGACTGCTATGCAGATTTCGGTCGATTGCGAGATTTGCACAGCATGTGAACCGTGTCAGGGGCGTAGCTACCATTTTAAAAAAAGCCCGGGCTTACACATAATTGTTAGAAAGGTTGGACAAGCCATCAATACTATCTAAATATAAAGCCTTGCAACCTATCGGGCTTACACGGAAAAATTGGCTTGCTACGCGCCTGCGGGTGAGCATGTTTGGGCGTTGAGAGATATTTTAAAGGAAGTATTTATATGATTAAATCACTCCGCGATGGAAGACCAGTTTTATTGCAATAGGGATTTTGATTATCGACCAGATAATCTTAACTGGGCGCCAGTTAAACTAGCGATGTAAGTTGGAATTTGATTGGTCAATAGGAAGGACATACAAGGGCATAACTCGTAATAGCCACTGGTGGCGCGACGATCAAACCACGAAATTCCAGCCTAGTTCAGAAGGGGTGGAAAACTGTAAACTCCCTAAAGACAGTTAACTCCCTTGGTTCGGGAACATGCCCCCTCAGGTACAGGACACTGACTGACCTTAATACCGACTACAACTAGTGTCAGCTTTTGTATGACGCAGCCTGGGACCAATGGCCTTCCGCTACCGATCGCGAGCATCACGCCGTCCATGGGTCACTGATAAACAACCCGTGCAGTTACCATGGTTTAGCACGTGGTGGCACAGTTCTCGAAAAGTATTAACACATTTTCGGCTGAATAAACGATAACGACTCAGGCATATTTTTTAAATTGAGGTGGGCGGAAGCACAGGGGCTTGTAACGCTAAAATATGCAATCAAGGTATATACTGTCACTGACGGGGTCTTCGTACTATATATGTGGGCGAAGAACTTAATTATATACAGGTAATATAGGTATTTAGGATGGGAGACGCGGGAGGAACACTTTGTATGTATTGCCACCATGGATACCAACAAACCCAACTAGTTAACTAAGTTTAGTTAACCGCACTGTAATAGGGATAACTTATGAAGAAATTTGCCGGGACCAAAGAAAAGTGTTTACTTATCAGGTCTGTTTAGTTAAGCGGTCTTTACTTAGGCGGTTTCCACTGTATGCAATTTTTAAACCATTGAAACTGCTTCTTGAAATGCAATCTCCGTTGTATGGATCACAGTCTATATATGACGCAGGATATTTGCCTCAACAAATTAAAGTAAATGAGTTTTTCGACCATGTTACTTACATATACATCTGTTACCAGAAAGTTTAAAGTCACCACAGCACCGACCCACTTCTCGAAGACATTCGCCCCGTCGATATGCAGTTTTTGTTCTGAAGTACAAAATGAGTTAGTTTAGATTCGTTTTGAACAAACGTTCCGTATGGGGACTATGTCTCAGAGTGATATGACGGAACAGCCAGAAGTAGTACCATTGCCACTTGTGTGAATCTCATTAGCACAAAACGAACATTGGATTAAACGCTCGATCAGCAGAATGAGCTGACAGTTTGGACGCACAGCAAGACCTTTGGGCCACAACGAAAATGTCCTTGGGTGAGGTGAGGTGAGGTGAGGTGAGGTGAGGTGAAATTGGGTTTAACGTCGTGCTTGAGAATATTTCGCTCATATGACGGCGTGCATGCGTGTGTATGTGTATGAGCGGCTGCTTGTACTAGCCCAGACTTAAGCTGGTTTTATAGTGCTAGCCCAATGTGATACCAAGCCACAGTGAAGCATGAATACCCCACTCAGACACATTATACTAACTCCGAGGCGACCAATCCTTGTTGTACCCATTAATGCCGAGCGCCAGGCAGGGATCAACAAGTACCATATTTTAACGTCTTTTTGGTATGACGCAGTCGGGGATCGAACCCGCGACCTTCCGTTCACCGGGTGGACGCTCTAGCCACTACACCACGGAGGCGGTTGAAAATGTCCTTGGTTTTCACAGTATGATACTCGTATAAAACAGGTGTACAAAATGTATAGATTAGTAGATGATATAACACAGACCCGATGACGTCACAATGCTATGCCATCGCCGCACTGCAAGTCTAATGGTAAGCTGGGCCCCGTCTCGCATATCGCATGGCGCTCGTTAGCGCACGCAAAGGGAGCCGGGAACCAGCTTAGTCTAATGGCAGTACCGTGTTCAGAGATGTACATTTTTCATTGAAAACTAATGAAGAGTGATTTTTTTATGATAAATAGAATCTCACCCCAGTCTCTTCTGATATCAAATATATCAACAATCGGGGTGAGATTCTCAATTTATTCAAAAAGTCATATTTCAGCATCAGCTTTTTTAAAAAGATAAACTAATTTATAATACTTTGATGCATCCCAGACAGCCATGGAATTCATCAAGGTTTATGAAATGAGTCACTCACGCGTAATATCCGCATCTCCATCCCACGGGTCTGAAGAAGACTGGACATGAAACCCACTCCTTGAATGTCCACTTCTTCGGACACCACCTCGTCTCCTGCACCATACACGCTGGCTGGTCGGTCGTCGTCTGCTCCACGCAGCCACCACAGGAAGCTGAAACGTTTATGTGTGTAGCTTACTTCCTGTTGGGTCGGTTCGTATAACTGGCAAGTCACCGAGGTCCGTTTTACTCCGTTTTCATCAATAGTCTAGTTATTTTACGCTCAAAGCACGATCCTCTGGCATCTGTCTTTGGGATCAAGTACAGAGGATTATGCGTCTTGGACAACTGGACCATGCGTCTGCGTTCAAGACTATTGCACTAAAACAACGACTTGTAGTAGTTTAGATCGTTCTAGTTTGCTTTTCTTTTAAGAGATCATACCGCAATGCAATGTGGGTGAGTGAGTATGATTTTACGCAGATTTCTGCAATATCCAAGCAGCATTAAACCAGAAATATACTTTACACATTGCAAGGAATCGAGCTTAGTTCTTCAGAGTGACGAGCGAACGTTTTAACAACTGAGATACCCCATTGCCCCGCCGCAATATTAATGGAACACTCAGATACATCATGTTGTCTTTGAGTAGCCCAGTCCTTCTTTTGTTCCCTGAGTACCGAAAGCCAGGGTAACAATAAATACCATCTATAAACGTCTCTTGGTCTAACGACGACCTTCAACTCTCCGAGAGGACGCTCTGTCCGGCAGTCTTTCACTAACAAACCATGACTTCAGAAGAGTAAACGGTCCTTTGGAAATAAACCAGGTTCTATTCACCAAAGGAAAGCTCATGGGGTATATTGTTGTAATATATTGCAATAATCTGACATAAGAAGGTATGTGTAAACTTACTTGAAGACACGATAAACTTGAAGCCCCCGACACCTCCGTGTTTGGTTCTAAAGAGTACCATCATGGTGTTGTTTTCAGACTGTATCACAGAGGTAGGTGCTTGGCCGCAGCAGAACCTACACAGGGGTGATATGGAGAAAATATAACCCAGATCATATGTAAATACGCACTGAAACATAGAAATGTTCTCAAACCAGTGTAAATGAAATGTGAGTTTGTATTCCCCCATGTGATGTCTAGTCAAAATTGCGTAATTGACAGTTCCCGCGTGTCTCCATGGTAACGAGGCCTCACCTGGCTCCTGTCTTGGCCATGCTGACTCTGTACTTGATTTCAGTATATTCCTCATCACAGACATTTCCACCAAAGCTGTCACAAGATGGTTGTGGGGAAATGAAGCCATCTTGGATTGGCATCAGGTTGACAACCTTGTCATTGGCCGCCTTGAAAGAGAGAAACGCGGGCTTGTAATGTATGCATGAGTGAGTGAGTGAGTGAGTGAGTAGGTTTTACTGTGAAAGGTATTTCATTTGTATCGTAGCCTCAAAGCTGAAAGAGGAAGGGAGCCCGGTGAAGGGAAGTGTCTAACGGTATTGGAAATTGGAATGAAGCCGACAGACAATATTATGATCGGGACGAATCTGGTAACATTATCTGCCATTTCTGACACGATAGAACCATCTTTGGACGGCGGATCGCTCGAACATGGGTGCCCCATCCGCGATAATCTCCAGGGTATACGTTCCGATAAATCTCCACTATACCCTGGATGCATCTGCGGCTCGAGCCGATGATTTTATTACCCTCCCTTGGTTGGCTTTTTATCCAATCAGGTGTCTACGCTGGGAAGTTGAATGATCGTACCAATCACAACTCACTTTCGCTTTTTAAATTATCTTACCGATTAAACTTGGCAACACAATAATATATTGTTGCAGAGGTACTCTGAACGAGGTAGAAGGAGTTCTTAAATATATATTTTTTAAGATTTCAGACATGTCAATTTGTCTGGATGTCTTCCCCCCAAATTTTCGCGGCTGCGACCGCTTTCTTTGTTGGCACTGGCAAGCTCGGTTGTAACGGTGGCTTATCTGATTGGCTACTGTGAGAATGCGGAGCCAGCAAAGGGAGGTAATAAAATCATCGGCTCGAGCCGTAGATGCATCCTGGGTATAGTGGGGATTTATCGGAACGTGTACCTTGGGGATTATCGAGGATGGAGTTCCCCAGATGGAATATTTGCCGCGAGCATCATTGCCGAAGCTATTTAATGCGAGGGTGGAGCTTGGATAGATACTGAAAACTGAGCACACAATTTCATAAAAAATATAAAATTTTCAGAAACCCTAACTGTCTTTAAGTATATAAGAAGCAAAAAAGTCAGCATGGTCACCTGTATTTTTCATCATACCATAAGTGGCAAGAAGGACTACGACTCAAAAATGACTAACCTTGATCAGCCAGTTACACTGCACGTTGGGCTGGTAGTGAAATGGGTACCCGGGAGTTTGGATGGTGTATGTTTCCCGACCCTCGATCTGCACAACTCCACCACAAGACGCTGCAAACAAATAGTTTCATCTTACACTGATGGCTTGTTTGTGAGTGGGTCACACTGAGGACGTACAAGTTGTGTATACAATCGTATGTTATCGTTTGTAGGACAAGATGAGTTGGAAATCTCTAGAAGTGCATTTGTATTTTTAGATGTAAAATGTCTGCGATCCTTGCTATGAACATTCTTCAGTGTCAGTATTTTACATCAATGAATTAAAGAGTTGGTTGATACGCACTACCTACAGATGGCGCTACCAACTGGCACTTGGTTCCTGTAAGGCCTTCCGGGCATTTACACCGGGAGCACTCGTTAGGGTCTGGATAACCCTCATATTGGCACATTCCCTTGACTGGTGAGGATGCGCATCTGTCTAAAAATGAAATCTACATTATTAGCTTAAAACGAGACTTTCATTCCATGGTGTACATTACAACGTTGCATGCTCCGCAGCGTTGATTATGGTCAACCACATTCCCAAAATTTGACATTCATTTCAAAGTGACAAACAAAATGTCGAGAAGATACCTGCTGCAATGTAGTTTATTCACATCATTGGCTTCTACAGGCATTTAAGTTAGAACATGAAGATAGTCATTATATTGGATGATTGGGTATTTCTTTTCTCATCAACAGATACATGACTTAATGATACAAATGTAACAACAAGCCGATGATGTTTCAAGACTTTTTCACATACTTATAAAATTAATTAACTGTTATTAAATTAATTATTCTGTTTAAATGGCCATGAGGCCAATAATACATGTGGAAGATATGAATCAAACTGAATATTGTACAGATCGTCTAACAATATTCACTAAAATTTAAGTTTGACAAATAAAACATTAAATATATTTCACATCTTTTTTTTTGCAATTGTACGGGGGCATTTCAAGCAACATAGTTGATAGCAACATCGGGGCCGTTTTAGCCAATTTGGGGCCGTTTTAGCCAAGCAAAATTGGGGCCGTTTTGTCATGGGGCCGTTTTAGCCTGATCCCGACAAAATTGTAAACATATCAAGCAAAATTTGTGGCTTCAATTTCGAACCTCTACCTTTTCAGTGATAGTCAAAAGTTAAGAAGAAAGCTCGAGTTCAGACATAAAATGTTTATATTTTGTTTGTTGGCTTGTTGGTGGCAGTCTGTAAATAATCGAGTCTGGACCAGACAATACAGACATTTTATGACCGTTGATATACGCAGCTGGGAAAACAGTGACATGTGTCAACCAAGTCATGGCGCCTGACCACACGATCACGTTTGTCGCCTCTTACGATTTAAACCCTGATCTTGACCCGTTGAAAACGTTTTGAGAAACGAAAAGGTTTTGACCCAAACATTATGGGTCCACACACGCTCCTTACCTTTACAGTATGCGAGGTTGGCCTGCTTGGCGTCATAGAAAGACAACATTTGGCGTTGGCCCAGAACGTTCTGTTCCAAAGGTTCCAGAGTTTCTATCGTTGCCTTGCTTCCAACAGAAAACGCCTGGATACAACAAAGACACACGATGTATTGGTCACCCGTCGCCAGGTCAGCATGAAAACATATGCTCGTTAATGCCCAATGCAAAGCGCAATAATAGCGGAAATATAATATTATAAGCGGAAATAATAGAAACCTACGAAATACATTTATCATAATGACACCAAACAACTAAGATGACATATCGTTAACGTGTACGCTTTGATCTCGATGTACGCCATTAGACGAAGTACAAATATGTTGATATATCTGTGAAGTGGTTGAATATGGACATAATCTTGTCTTGAAATACACAATTACTGATATTTGTATGTCCGATTATTTGTTAATTAACGCCACAGTCAGCAATATTCCAGTTCTATGACGGTCTAGGAATACTCGAATCTGGACCAAACGATCTGGTGACTGATATTCCGTCTGGGCACGATGACACGCCATCAATCATGTGATCGAACGTGACCACCCAGACCATCTGGTCGCAGGAGTACCCCAGGGGCAATACTGTCGAGTCGGACAAGCCCTTATATACATGCGTACGTTGACACTGAAGTGTAACAAGACACAGTGTATTTCAGAGGTCAGTTGAATTTGAGTATCATCATGTTAACTTTCAGTTGCCCTCGTCTTAAAATTGATATTTGAAATATCACCTCCTCCGCATCCAGTTGCTACCACTGTGTGAAACCTTGGAAGGATTCTTACCGTGGCGCCATAGTGCATGACAGATCCTATATCGTATGGCACATCCAGGTTGTCAAGGTAACGCCAAGATTCTTTTAAGAAGTTGAAGTCCTCGCCGACGCGGACGTTCTCATACTTGACCCTGATGTGGTCGTCACGGTCAGGGCGAGAATGCTCGTGCCAAAACCCAATAGCGTGTCCCAGCTCATGCACTACGATGCCCAGCTGTTGGAACAAGAACCATGTCATAAATAGGGCATGTCTATGATCTACTACCCAGTGTATATATCCATCACAAAATAACCACTACCTAGACCCAGCTTCGATTCGAAGGCTTCTGTTCACGTTGTCTTGTTTGTTATTTTAGCAATATAGCAATATTCCTGGTATATTTCTGTGGTCTGTAAGTAAAGGAGTCTGGGCCAGACAATCCAGTGATCAATACATGAGCATCGATCTACGCATTTGGGATTCGATGACATGTGTCAACCTAGTAACCCGATCCCGTCAGTCGCCTCTTACGACAAGCATGGGTTGCTGAAGACCAATTCTAACCCGGATCTTCACGGATTTTCACATTGTCGCATTCGAAGCCATGACAGTTACAATATAACCTGGTATTTAACATCACAGAATAAACATGTTACATTATCTTGCCTAATCGAAGATAGGACGCCGCACACAGTAGGAAGTGTATGTACTGTTAGCGCCCGTTATTGAAAGGGGAAGTAAGGTTCAAGATTATTCTACTTCTTTAGTGAAGTACAAGTGTCATATCCTGTGTGCGTGCGGTGCGTGCGTGCGTGCGTGTTGTACTTTAACGTTTTTTGGTATGAGGCGGCCAGAATATCGAACCATCGATTTATTTCTGTCCCAGTAGACAACTAAATACCATCATAGCAGCCTTTGTTATCTCTGGTCATAGTAACTGCCCTTTAAGGTCGTGTTAAGACCGAGTGGACCTTTCTGATACATGTGACATGCATCCTCTCAAAGCGCTTTTGAGCAGTTATACTGACTGGATTCTTGCGCTATATAAGTTCTTAGTTGATGATGATGATGATGATGATGATGTTATCGTACGTAACAGAATCTTAGATAACATCTATATAAAAAGCAGAAACATATACTTTAACTGGTTTTAGTTAAATAATTACCACCTCATAGATATGATCATATGGTGTATTTCATAAGAAACATTCGACTTACAGAGAAACAGCCTTCTCCCACTGATATTTCCTGTAGTTTAAATGCATTCTCCTTGCCGACATAGGACCAGCATCTAGGGACAAAGACAAACGAGGCATCAAAGAATCCATGAATCCAAATAAGATGAGTATCGTAAACTTTCAGACCATCCATATGTGGAATGATGACATATACAATTAGTGATCTAGAGTCTTCCCCCAGAAGAACTATCTAAAGGTTAGTCATTATATCTAGTATATCAGTGATCAAGATATTCTATGGGTTAATGCTTCTTTATTCTTTCCCTCACAACGTTTCGGGATCACAACAGTTCCCTTCAGCAGGTGAAGTGACAGTTCACTCTAATGATCCCGAAACGTTGTGTGGGAAAGAAAAAGAAACATAAATCCATAAAATATCTTGGTCATCCATAACAACTTCTAAATGTCACTAAAAGACATCATACTATTTCAGTGTATGAAAGACGAATTTAGGGAGGCCTGGAATTAGGGCCAATCATCGGTCGCAGTAACACATTCGGGCAGGTCATGCTCACGTTGTTTCCAGAGATTCTAGGTTAGAATTGATAACTTAAAAACAATACGGACGCACACGCATACACACACACTCACGCAGTTGAGATATACTAATGCACAGACGCACAGACGCAAAGACACAACACCGCCACACATAGGCACGCATGCATTCTTTGAACAAATTCACTGGACTTGCAAAAGTCTATAAGGTAATAATTAATACTTTAAATGATAATTTCTAAAGAAAAGAAAAATATGACAGACTGGAGCCCTTGCACAAGTCTCTAAGTGAAAAATTAATAGTTTGAATGATAATTTCGAAAAACAAATATAAATAACAGACTGGGGTCCGCTTATCTAGACTTGCCTCTTTAAAGGATAGAATTACTATACATGCGTGGGGTTAGCACTCCGTACAGACATGGAGCAAAGCTCCATAAATTCACCTACCCGGTGTGTTTCCTGAACAATAACACAGGGCTGAGAGTGGTATCAGCTGGAACCTCTTGGAACCGGATGCAAGTGTTTTCCTCCCAGTGTCGCACACCTTCCAGGATGTGACCCTTCTCCGTCATGTCTGCAACACCCGTCTCTACATCACCAACAACACCGGTAACAACATAGCCCATCGCAAACTCAAACTTAAGTGAGTGAGTGAGTGAGTTGGGTTTTACGCCGCTTTTAGCAATATTCCAGCAATATCACGGCTGGGGACACCAGAATGGGCTTCACACATTGTACCCATGTGGGGAATCGAACCCGGGTCTTCAGCGTGACGAGCGAACGCTTTAACCACTAGGCTACCCCACCGCCCCTCAAACTTAAGACTGAAAGCGAAACTTATATAGCACCTACTCACTAAAGCTCAATTTGTCATCAAATCGATAGGGTATGGGCAGCGTCCACCACTTGTCCTGGTTGGCTGTTATCTTCCGTTTGCGACGTCGTTTGGAGATGGAGTTGAGTATCTCCCTGGCTTCCTCCACCCTGAGACGGATGTCGCCTTGAAACAGAACCTCGTTTAACAACACAGCTTCCTGGAAATAGAGACGTTGGCCGTTCACCAGTTATCATCAATCGTCTATTGTCAATCTTAATGTATGCTCTATCCATAGGGAGATGGGATAGCCTAGTGGTCACTCACTCTATACATAATTCTGAATAATACACTATATACAACAGTGTGTGAAAGAACCTGGCTTAATATTTATTGGAATAGCTCAAATATGTTATACTGGATTACGAAAATCATCTCGTCTTTGGCACCAGGGTACTGCATACCTGTGGGCATCAGCGAGTGGGATTTAGAGTTATCTCCCCTGGTTATTGTTTACGATGGTTCGAGAAATTTCAGTATGGAATTTATCGCGCGCAGGAAGCTTACTGTTCGAGGTCGTTGTCGAACTACCTTGCGTCTCATTCATCAACATGCTAAGTGCAGATTTGATAGCTATTTGAATACATTGAATTACCTTCTGGCTTTCACTGGGGGATGGGGGTGGGGAGGGTGGACATTTTATTTTCACCCGAGTTTCAAAAGGGGGTGGGGGGTGCGCGCACCCCTGTACCTCCTTCCTGGATCCGCCTATGCTTCAATGCCTATTATGAACTCAAGATCAGAATTATATCACAATACGTTTGACAGTGACAATTCTGAAGGTATGTCAGTGCACTTACATTATTTCTAGGGCCTGTTACTTAAGGCTGCTGCTACTTATTTGTCGTACTGTGATTCATTTATCATTGTGAACCCGTGCGTCTCAACATACCCGCAGTGACCCACGCGTGTGGGAGAATGTACTTAATGATATGATTTATACATGATGTGATTTTGTTTTGTTTATCCTTTGACGACGACAATGGTCGACAACATAAATCTTTATGTCAAAGAGGCAAAAAATTCTTTCCGCAAGTAAAATATTTCAAGAACTATGTGTGAGACGGGACTGCACATTGGGTGTGATTTGCCATAGGGGAATATGACATCCAACTACTATGAACGTAAATGACGACGGATCAGCGGATGACAGATAGCACCGGAAATGTGACGACAGTATTTACCTAATAGCCGTTGCGATTATATAAACAAAGTAAAAAATAACGCCACAAGGCTCTGAATCTCAACTGAAATATTGGGGACAAAATGTACTCAATAAAATTGGAATTCTGTGAGTAAGAATGTTTGAGACGCCATTGCTGGGATAATAAAATGTCATTATGTCAAAGTCAGTGACAGACAGACGACCTCACGACAGACAAAATGTCACGATATATGACGATTTGACCTCCAGTCAGGTGAGCTAAAATGTGAATGAAATGAAGACGACATTTAGACATCAATCATGTATTTGACCGACTCTCGTATAATTGACCTGTAAGCACTTCTTCTATATTTTCATTCCGCATTTTTATATTCTGTGTATGAAATGATTAAATAAAGATTCACATTTCAGCAGCTGCAGATATCATGCAACATCATTCCTTCAAGCTAGTGATGAAAATCAGTTACTGTATTAAAGTATTCTTATCGCAATTTCGATTTAAGAGCCCAGTCGTCGTTGGAGGTCTCACTGAGTACCCCCCACCCATGCTTGTCTCCACCTGGTGGTGACTTCCAGGTGTGACTAGAATAGGAAGGCTTCAGATTCACTACATATGATTACTGAACATTAGTGAAGAAAATCCCATAAAATTGTTGTTCTTGTGAAAGGTACTTACCCTTCACATGAACAACAGTTTAATGGGATTTTAATGGGATTTCGTTCGGTTGTTGTTTTTTTTTGTGTTTTTTTATCCAACTTATTTAATTAATGTTTAGGTGTTGGGGTAAGTTATAATGTATATTTTTAAAGAAGTACATTAACAATCCATTAACGATAGTCCAGTCCACTGGAATGAACTTCCAGATCTCATACAGAACAGTACTGACTTTCAAATATCCCAGCAAAAAGTGAAAACCCTGCTGTTTCAAAGAGCCTTTGACCTGCGCCTTCGAGCAACATTTTGACTTTAGGCGCCATATGAATTTGAACTTGAATTTGAACTTTATGATTACAGTTAGAAAGTTAAACGGTGTCCTTGATAGTTCTATTTGTAGGTGATGTGAGGTGAGGTGAAATGAAACGGCGTTTTACCGCGACAACGAAACCGCTCTATCCGCAACACCATGATGGCGCCCCATGTGTATAGGGTATCGCTAACACACTTCTATGGAAAACCGTTGGGGAATCCAACAGAAGCTCAGACATGTTCAGAAATTCAGACGTTCATACATATATGTATGAGTGCCTGACATGCATTCGCAGTATACCGGATCACATATAGGAAGCTACAGATCAGTTAAATCCTATGCCGTCATTTGAATAATATAGCATGATAATTCCTTAAGCATGATTCGATTTGCGTTAATGAAGAAGATATTTTACAATAACTGACAGGTTTTAGATGTAATCTGTACGTACTCTTGATATGTACGTATATGTCTCGCGGCCACGCCTAGCACGTGCGGAGCAGGTGAAGGGATCTTGCGTGGCCTGGAGGCAGAAGGCAAGATGGCGGACATACTGGCGGGAGTTTCTGATGGCAGACGATAACAGATCAGCAATTAAAACCGATGTAGGGGCCCGGGGACAATGGATCAAATTATGACATCTTCGTTATTGTCCCATTTCGCAATCATAGTGAGGTCTATATCACGATTGTTTCTGTTTCAAAGCGAGACTACTATGCTGATTCTGGTCATATCGTCCGTATTTGGTAATTGAAGAGGTATATCTCAGATAGACAATAACCTTCTGAGATAAGGTATATCGCAGACTGAAAACACACTACTGCGATCAGGTATATCTCAGACAGACAATAATCTTCTGACAACAGGTTTGTCATAGACAGACAATAAGCTTTGAGATCAGGTTTGTCATACACAGACAATAGGCTTTGAGATCAGGTTTGTCGTAGGCTGACATTAAGCTTTTGAGATCATGTTTGTCATAGACTGACAGTACGCTTTTGAGATCAGGTATGTCATAGACTGACAATAAGTTTTTGAGATCAGGTATGTCATAGACTGACAATAAGCTTTTGAGATCAGGTATGTCATAGACTGACAATAAGCTTTTGAGATCAGGTATGTCATAGACAGACAATAAGCTTTTGAGATCAGGTATGTCATAGACTGACAATAGGCTTTTGAGATCAGGTATGTCATAGACTGACAATAAGCTTTTGAGATCAGGTTTGTCATAGACTGACAATAAGCTTTTGAGATCAGGTATGTCATAGACTGACAATAAGCTTTTGAGATCAGGTATGTCATAGACTGACAATAAGCTTTTGAGATCAGGTATGTCATAGACTGACAATAAGCTTTTGAGATCAGGTACGTCATAGACTGACAATAAGCTTTTGAGGTCAGGTTTGTCATAGACTGACAATAAGCTTTTCAGATCAGGTTTGTCATAGACTGACAATAAGCTTTTGAGATCAGGTATGTCATAGACTGACAATAAGCTTTTGAGATCAGGTATGTCATAGACTGACTATAAGCTTTTGAGATCAGGTATTTCATACACTGACAATAAAGCTTTTGAGATCAGGTTTGCCATAGAGTGTCATAGATTAAACCGATTAGCAACTGAAACTATACCATCTATATAAACTATACAGGAAATCTCAGTTGATATCATCATGAATGATTTGAAACTCGACATATTTTTCCTGACGTTAAGTCTGCCCTATTTTGATAAATACAATTGATACAAAACCTTTGTATGTGTACAGTTTAACCCATGCATTCACATAATACAAAACTGCTGATAGGTAGCTTTGACATCTTACCTTACCAAATGATTATCAATCACGTATCACATGTTATACATTGTTGGAGGGGTTAGAAGTGCTACTGCTACTACTACTACTACTACTACTACTACTACTACTACTACTACTACTACTTCTGTAATTATGTGACTACGTCACTGCATAAGCAAAACTTCAATTCGATTCCTCTGAAAATTACAATTGGATGCGATTAAAATGTACATATAATTTATGCGGTGCTTAACCCTGTTAGGTGTTGATATTAACACTGACAGCTATAAAGTGAAAGATGTTTAAAAAGCCTTTAACCTAAATCCAATTACCCATATAACTGCGATAGTCAACTGCCTCTGGCTGACATTGACATGAGAATAAACCCATGTACGCTCCATCTTGAGGCTAATTGAAACGTATTCCCAGCATGCTTTGCGCTGACACTTCTATCGTGCTGTCAATCAGATATTGACCATACCGAAGTTCTGATAATATCAACGTACTTCCGGTTTAAGAACATAGGGCCGCCCAAGGCTAACACACCTAGCGGTATGTCGGCAGAACATTGGCTGGACTACTTGTTTGTTTGCTGGTGTCACCTGTTTACCTGAGAGCGCATTCCCTCACGTACACGTTGAGAAGGAAATATACGGGCAGGTAGCCTTGTGGAAGAAGCAGTCGGTTGTCGTAACAAAGATCCGGGTTTTATTCCACGCAAGGACCGAGTGAAGCCGGATGTCCCGACGGGATTAATGTAGTGACTGTATAAATTCTATTGTCTTATGAAATGGGCAAGTTATGCCCCTATAATTACAATAGATCACCATACACCAATATTCTTCACGTGTCAGTTTGTCAGATTTGCTAACAGGAAACACTGGTACTCACAGTCGCGTTGTAAGTGTCCTGCTTCAGAAAGCCTGTTCGGAAAGTATTCAGTGTTCGGTTGACTGGACGACCGGCCTGAAAAAACAAAACAAATATTTGAAAATTTACTTCTTTTCAAAGTCAAACCCAATTCATGAATGTTGATAATAAATTAAACTCATAGACTTAGTTAAAAATATAAGGTACCTGACATTCGAAATGTTATCTGTGATGTCATTTGAAGAGAGCTGTACATTTTGTATTTGCAGCAATAGAGCTTTTTGTATCCATATATTGGACTCTTTCATTCTCATCGGATTATATTCAAGGGGATGGGGGCATCGGTGTACGAATTCCTGAACACCCGGTGTCCTCATTGTTGCAATGTTTTATATGCGTTGTTACGTTTCAATTTTCACAGCTATGTTGGGTCGCGACATTGACGTCTGTTTCTAAAGGCATCAGGTAATTTAACGACCGGAATGTACTGCAAGAAGTTCGTGTGTTGGTTAGCAAATGGCCAGATACAACTGTTAGTCAGTCTCAAAATGCGTCTGTGATAAATTGTTTCAAAGGTAAGTATAAAGGTTTGTGCACGTTGGTTATATCATAACAGTTTTTTCAAAGACCGGAATGAAGTACTGGAAGTGGGCGTATCGGTTAACAAACGGCCACATACACCGTTGTGTCCGTCAGTCGTACGGATCCGCTGATGGCGTGTTTTAAGTTCAGAATCGCCTCGATAATGATCCTTGATCTGGCAGCACCAAATCTCTACTTGATCATGACTTATCGTTACAACTGTCTACCACTTGAAGCACATCAGGGGGTTCCTTGGTTTGCCTTGATATATTGTTAACCGCGGCGTCAAGTAACCTATATGATGGAGTCGAAATTAATCTACATTTGAATACAATTTAAACAATAAGATTTTTTAAAAACCCATACCTAAAAATAACAAAACAATGCTAAATGCAGAGACAATTGCACGATTCCGATTCTATCAATAAGTACTAAATTCAAAAGTAGGAACCATTGAGGTTGAAAAGTTGTTTTGTACTTCACGATTGTGGTAAAATCTTTCGAAGGTTAGAAACAAGTGTTTTGATGTTCAGATTTCTGACATCACAATAGATGTTTTTAAAAGACATCGTTTTTGCGCATGTGATATTTGTGGAATCTAGCTATCTACTTCACATCTCATTACCCATCGAATGAGTAACACTGTAGCTCACCTGTCTGACATCCGGATTGTTCACATTGAAGTTGATCTATTCACGATAACACGACTGAGATGGGTACAAATATGTAGACTATGTAGACATATCCTAACAATATACACTTTTGTGACGTCATATGCTTTGTCTTTATAAATGAATGAAGCATTTAGGATGTAGCCTAAAGCAAAACGGGAAAATGACTTGAACTGTAAATTGTGAAAATCCAAATCACTTAAGAAACGTTACTTTCACAGAACACAGGAAAAGTCAACCCGATGACAAGATACTGAGATGGGGATATGTTTCTGGACACTCGACTCCGGTTATCTCGAATATTTCTCGATTTGAAGCATGATCCGTGTATGTTAACATGTATTCTACTTTAATCGAATCACGTGGTCTTCAATAACTGCTTTATCCGTTCGTGAATTTCGGGATAGAGAAGTGAACCTCCTTAACATCATAATAACCTAAGTTACTCTTTAATTTCTGTTTTGTCTGTGCGAGACGAAACCCTTTCGTCAGTAGGTGATGCTGTAAGGAATGTTTAGTGTTGGATGGACGAAACACCGTGTCTGTAGTCTGTAATACAAACCTTGAAACAAATATATATAAAAAAACCAATGCAAGTCTAGATTTTGTGGCAAGTCTAGATTACCACAGTTTCACGCTCTGAAAATGAAGAAAGTCTCAGGGTTCCTTTTCATTATATCTTATTTTTTAAATTATGAACTTTTTTTATGCAAAATATGTTCATTTCAGAGACTCGTTGTTAGTCAAAGGCATCTGAGGCTATTAACAGCATCAGTCATTGTTGAACTTGAACAGACATTCGTCCGTCACACATTACATATATTCTATGTGCACACTCGTCAAGTAAAGCTTTGTTGTTCAACGTTGCATATTGCACAATCCAGAAATATGACGTCTGTCAATAATCGAATAAGGTAATCACGTGATCGATATTGTGAGCACAGATACACGTCATCCGCATACGATGACAGAATTGTATCCAGGTCCTTTTAGACTCGCCCAGTCTTATAGATAGTATAGTTTAAAAGCCAACTGTAAGCAAACTCCATAACTTGGAGAAGCGAGACAGCAGAAAGGAAAACACACGGACAGCGTTAAAACAGTGGTAACATTTGTAAATTTAATAACTTGGTTTCTGAAAAAGGTGTAGAGTTGTACGACAGTTTTCAAATTACCTTTAATAATAGGTCACACACATATTATATCGATTTAATTTCAGTTGTGGACTTGTGGTGATTGACATTCATTCATGCATGTTGGAGAGACGTAGACAAATCGAGTAGTGTGGCCCAAGTCTATGGCTGTCGTGTAAAACATATACACATGCTGGGATTTCGTAGAAGTATTACCCGATAGATGAACGACGGATTGTAATATTGTGGGCAAGTAGGGACATTGTACTCAACATCTGTGTAAACACAGACATGTTGTAGATACTTTGATCTCTGTCCCTTCTTACATGTCGTTGTCGTCTTTCCAGAATATCTTCTGAGCTGGCTTGCAATACGAAATGATTGGTATTTCTTATATGGTGCTCTTTGCACAAATATGAGACCTATACAGTAAATGGAAGTGGGTAACTTTTTTGAGAATATAGAAAATGTTAGAGTGGGTGAGAGTTTAGTTTTACGCCGCTTTTAGCAATAATCCAGCAATATCACGGCGAGGGACATCACAAATGGGCTTCACATTTTACCCATGTAGGGAATCGAATCCGGGTCTTCGGCGTGACGGGCGAACGCTTTAACCACTAGGCTACCCAACCGCCCATATCATGTTAGAGGTATTAATGGTGTACAAACATTTTGATTTGATATACCCATTGGTCAATAGCCACGTACAATAAGTAAAGAATCAGCCACGTACTATAAGTTAAGAATCAGAGGACTTCAAAAATGTTTGAGCATTTAATATTCAACACTTAATTTGTTAAACATCAACACAGTATCCTTCGAAATAACAGAGAATTACATATTGCACATGAAACATGTCATACACAAGAATGTTTGAGACATTCCAACACTACCCAGTGTCTCCCCAAGGCAGTCATTACATGCTAATGGCGACATGCACCTACTCAATAGAGGATATTTCATAATCGCTATAAATAATTAAGCCAAGCCTGTTAGCGGGAAAACGGCGAAGATATCCATTGAAAATATGGTACTTGTGCATGGACTACTTTCCTTACGGCTATCCGTTATTATCCGGACAAAGTGCATCCTGTGATGACACGACGATAATAAGTTGTGATGAAGATAGTTTGAGAGATTGTCTTGAGGGTGTTAAATATCTGATGGAGTGAGTCTTGTCACTGAGACGCTGTGTTAGGTAACCCTACACTGGTATGAACTATCGTCCATTTCTTTACGTAGCCTTATACAATGACAGTACTCCAGTGGCCAGTCCCAGTCGTGCGTCTAATGGAGGTACGCCCAAAGTGCTGTTGTCTAACATTATACAGACCCTTTAAAATATTTCAGAGGTAAAGGCAAAGATGCCAACACAGACTAGGGTAGCATTATGCCATTTTAATACAGATTGTGGTCAGAGAACTATCTTTCCGGTTAAAACGCCTGCTCCTCTCGTAGGTAAAGAAAGGAACCAGACACCATTTTGCATTAAAACCCAACAAATGTTTCGTGAAATTTAAAATGTGCTTAAATGTCAATTAAAGAAACATAATCAATTTTAAGATTCAATTTTAGAACACGTTACCATTATTTCATTTAGCATATTTAAAAATATAGACAGTGACTGGTTCTCTGCTACTAAAATTCAAACTATGGATCGGAACATTGTCCATTTCCCCCTTGTTTGTCTTTTTAAGGCGAAGTATATTTGGCGAATGACAACAGATCAAATGAGCTGGGTGGAGGTTGGGGTGGGGGTGAGGGGTGGGATGGTATCGTTGGCAGGCGTCGACATGAGGAGGTGGGACATGATGGTAATGATGGATGGAACTCATCGCAAGAATTGTTTTTATTCGAAAATGGACAACGTTTCACCATGATCGAACGAACTGTCGAGATAGTAGCAGGTTCAACTCTCGAGACAATACTTTCATGTAATGTTTTCTTCCTCAAATTGCATATCACTGATGTCTGCAACTCTACACAACGACGACAGCAGAAGAACTATCTCTGGACATAATCTGGCAAATGTCAAGAAATTGATAATATAAATATCATGACTCACGTAAACGGCCCTACTATCACCACAAGCGATATGCTAATCTATATGTTTGCCTACAGTCCCTGTAGATGTGTTTATATCAGGGCTGTGCTTCCTTAAATGGATTGTACATGATGTCTTGAAGGGGGGTGCCAGCGGGTGTCCATAAAACACTCTCATGACAGTGTTCAGCGGTATATGACCGTAACATTATGTCCTATTGAAAACACATCTACATTTCGATTATAGCAAATGAGTCTTGTGGCAATATAGAATTTAAAAAGACTATATAATGGTGTTAAAATATGACATAAAGAACGCATTAGAATGAGGTAATTACATTATGTTTAACAAAGTCATTCGAAAACAATGTAATGATGGTAAAGGATTTTAGAAACTAAATCTCCGCGATGAAGAAACAACAGAGATATCTGAATCACTAAAGGAATGCGCCTTTCTTAATACATCAATGCAACTCATTTACTGTTAATAATATCTAATCAAAATTCCATGCATATTCATGGGACATGCACACGTGACAGCATCACTTTTACATGTGAAACTAGTACTGTAGGAGGGGGGAGAGAGAGAGTGGCGCCACAGATAATTTTTACGGCAACATGGAGATGGAAAGACTATGTCTAAATGACAGTCTTAAATAGATTTGACATATGGGTTTTAGGGAGTGTAGCAAAATATACCTCACAGGTAATCTTTTGTACAATTGTATATAATGCTACAGAATGTTACTTACAGTTATTTCATCACGATGAATAAGTTAAGGTACACGAGTATAAATATAAGTTACGACAAAACCATTGCAATAATCATGTGAAATGTCTGCCAAAAATCTGCCAGAGTGGATAGGTCAACTGCGATTATATCACGAGCGTGTGTTTAGTAATTACTAACAAATAGTGATGATAGCAGGTGGTCCCAAAAATGACAGCAGATCCTGCCCCGCCGATGGCACCTGTCACAAACACATGTTAAGGAAAGTCAGTTGTCGATTTGAACAAACACGGGAACGATTGGAACTAGTTAAAATAGTGAAGCGAATCTGACATCATTTGAAACAATCCTATTTGGCGCTCTTTGAATTCTTGGTAGAAAGAGCGTGCTCGATTGTACCTCAAAAGTCGTAGTGTAAACAACGATGCCAGGAGCTGCAGGAATTCTGCTCGATATATAGGGGAAGTTGCCTATTGGAAAGTTGCAGTTTTCTACAGAGTGTTTGTGACATGAGTGTTTGTAATATGAAATGGTACCATTCAAACTGCATTTGAGAGCAATGAGGTCACATTGATTACTGATGCCAACCCAGGTGCTGACCCTCGTGGAACTGTGCAAAAATATATTTCCTATTTCTGTTTCTTTACTTGTAAGCAGCGGAATCTCTGCACTTCTAGGTTCCAGTCTGTATTCAAAATTAACGGCTTGACTTGTTGGTCTATCGATCACGTGATTGTCTGATTTGTTTGAGGCCGCCGTGTCATGGCAGGAATAATGGCTGTTTGAATGGCGGGTGCGGGTGCTGCGGCTATATCTCCTTTCTGCCATTACCCCCAAACTTGTACTCTTAGATGTTATCGATGAGGAAGTCAAGAACTTCACTTATCGTTTTCTCAGTAAACTAGAGATGGTATTTTCTTCACATTATTGACAAAGTGCCCTGAACGCATTCATTGAACTAACCTAGATAATTGAGATAATTATATAAGTTTAATGAAACATATCACATCTCGATCATTAAGGTGAGGACACTCCTTCGTAATTCCTTTTGCAACTAATTGAACCATACGGATTGTTTTATTGAATC